AACACGTGTTCCAAGGTGTTCCAAGCTTGTTCCTTGAGGAACACATGAGGAACACCGAGGAACACATTAGGAACATCGAGGAACACGACCCGGAACACGTGTTCCAAGTGTTCCAAGCTTGTTCCTTGAGGAACACATGAGGAACACCGAGGAACACATGAGGAACATCGAGGAACACGACCCGGAACACGTGTTCCAAGGTGTTCCAAGCTTGTTCCTTGAGGAACACATGAGGAACACCGAGGAACACATTAGGAACATCGAGGAACACGACCCGGAACACGTGTTCCAAGGTGTTCCAAGCTTGTTCCTTGAGGAACACATGAGGAACACCGAGGAACACATTAGGAACATCGAGGAACACGACCCGGAACACGTGTTCCAAGGTGTTCCAAGCCTGTTCCTTGAGGAACACATGAGGAACACGACTCGGAACACGTGTTCGAAGGTGTTCCAAGCTTGTTCCTTGAGGAACACATGAGGAACACCGAGGAACACATGAGGAACACGGGACACATGAGGAACACCGACGAACACATGAGGAACACGAGGAACACGACCCGGAACACGTGTTAATTTCAATTTCCGAGGAAAAAAAAAAACACAGAAAAGAAAACACAGAGGAACATCGAGGAACACGACCCGGAACACGTGTTCCAAGGTGTTCCAAGCTTGTTCCTTGAGGAACACATGAGGAACACCGAGGAACACATGAGGAACATCGAGGAACACGACCCGGAACACGTGTTCCAAGGTGTTCCAAGCTTGTTCCTTGAGGAACACATGAGGAACACCGAGGAACACATGAGGAACACCGAGGAACACATGAGGAACACCGACGAACACATGAGGAACATCGAGGAACACGACCCGGAACACGTGTTCCAAGGTGTTCCAAGCTTGTTCCTTGAGGAACACATGAGGAACACCGAGGAACAGATGAGGAACATCGAGGAACACGACCCGGAACACGTGTTCCAAGGTGTTCCAAGCTTGTTCCTTGAGGAACACGTGAGGAACACCGAAGAACACATGAGGAACATCGAGGAACACGACCCGGAACACGTGTTCCAAGGTGTTCCAAGCTTGTTCCTTGAGGAACACATGAGGAACACGTAGGAACACATGAGGAACACGACCTGGAACACGTGTTCGACAGTGTTCCAAGCTTGTGCCTTGAGGAACACATGAGGAACACCGAGGAACACATGAGGAACATCGAGGAACACGACCCGGAACACGTGTTCCAAGGTGTTCCAAGCTTGTTCCTTGAGGTACACATGAGGAACACCGAGGAACACATGAGGAACATCGAGGAACACGACCCGGAACACGTGTTCCAAGGTGTTCCAAGCTTGTTCCTTGAGGAACACATGAGGAACACCGAGGAACACATGAGGAACATCGAGGAACACGACCCGGAACACGTGTTCCAAGGTGTTCCAAGCTTGTTCCTTGAGGAACACATGAGGAACACCGAGGAACACATGAGGAACATCGAGGAACACGACCCGGAACACGTGTTCCAAGGTGTTCCAAGCTTGTTCCTTGAGGAACACATGAGGAACACCGAAAAACACATGAGGAACATCGAGGAACACGACCCGGAACACGTGTTCCAAGGTGTTCCAGGCTTGTTCCTTGAGGAACACATGAGGAACATCGAGGAACACGACCCGGAACACGTGTTGCAAGGTGTTACAAGCTTGTTCCTTGAGGAACACATAAGGAACATCTCATGCATCTAAATCTTCACTTACATGAAATCCAGCATACAAAATTTAAGCTTCTTTGACTAACAAAACCTATCCGTACAGCTTTGCTTAACCCGAACCAGGAATGTTTAGTGATCTCATGTTTGTCAGAATTTTAAAAATATAAAATAATATGCTACTATTTTGCACCAATCCTTACAGTGACCAAAAAACACTACTAACCAACCAATAACGTCAAGTCTTGGTATTACTTCAACCAAATTACAAAACCTACTCCTTGATCTTACGACGAATATTTACAAAACCTACTCTTTGACTATTTACAATATGACGGGTGGAGGTTGCCCCTGCCAAGATTTCGAAATTAAATTCTCCTAAATTCCAAGCCATAGTTATTTCTCCACTAATTGTAAGTTTCAGAATACGTTAATTCTTAGAAATCGATATGGTTCACCCTTTAGTACCTTTGGTTATTTTTGTTCATATATGACTTCATATTATAAAGTATCGCAGATATGTACTTTATAAGACTGCTCTGGACGTCGGTCTGTCCGTCACCATAACAACTTTGGATGGTGTACGGAAATTTGGGTATGGAAATTTGGGTCTCAGAAATTTGGGTATGGAAATTTGGGTTTAAGGAAATATGGGTATCGGAAGTTTCGGTCTGCAGAAATTTTGGTCTCGGAAATATGGGTATCGGTATATTTGGGTATGCAGAATTTTAGGTATTGGAAATTTGGGTATGACAAAAAATTAGCAGGAAGCAGAAATTTCCATACCCAAATTTCCGGGAATCTATGCTTTCAAGCGAGTTATTAACCTCCGGGATGTAGCTCATGTAATTACTTGTAAATAAACCGCTGCAAACGAAAAAGGGGTGGAAACACATGGAATTGTCTTTGTGGCACGGCGTGCCAGGCACGCCCACGTGTTTCAGCACTTTTCCGTCGTTGTCTCACATCACCCCACATCTCATTTTGTCCTAAATGACAAAAGTCATTTTCCGACATTCGACACCGCGGCCGTCGAAATTATTACGATTTCTGAAATTCCCGGTGAAAAAATTCTGCTCTCACCAAAATCTAGATTGTGCTATAATATGTTTTAATTATGCTTAGAAACATAGGGCCCAGCAAAATTCCCTTAATTTCCGCTTTTTCTGGGGAAAGGGGCCCAAAGTTACCATGAAATCAGAATTGGTCCTTTCTAGCGGAGGTTAACTTCGAAGATGGATTCACCACGAGTCTACGACTACACCCACTACCACCAGTGGGTGTGGTCAATCTTATTTTTGGGAAGCATATTTTTAGCCCGAGTCAGGGATTATGGGGTGACCCATACTGATTTTTTTAAATCGTCATATCGAGCTGAAATTTGGTAGATAGGTTGCTAATGGGTGTTAATGGAAAAATATGACATGGAATTGGTAAAATTTTTATCTGGAGCGACCCTATGGGGTGACCCATACCGATTTTTATAAATTGCTTTAAAAAGATGAAATCCAGCACGGTGATAGTTAAAGGCTTCGTATTAAATAGTATGAAGTTAAAAGTGAGTAAATTGCAACCAGAGTGACCCTGGAGGCTGATCCATACAGTTTTTAAAACTCGTTATTTCCATCCGAAATTTGGTATGGAGGCCAAAAACCACTTTTGGATTTAAAAAACTAGTTCCTAACTGAAAATTTAGAAGCGGAGTCTGACTTATCGAGTCAGGGACTCTGTCCCTGACTCGGGCTATATAGAGTCTGCACGGTAGGTTTTCTTTCTACATATATTGTAGACAAGGTTGATCAATAATCAAAACTATAATAATCCTAATTGGGCTTAATTATACCAGAAGGACCCCTCTCCGATCGGGGATATGTGATACATCAAAATGTCGGGTTTTTCATGCTGATCTAGAAAATATAAATTTTTTGACCGGCAAATGTATATTAAGGCACAGTCAAAGGTCAAAATTTCGTATTGCATTTTTGGACGTTTCAGGGCATTCTAAGACTTTTTCCCATGGCGGGAAATTTTGGGGGTAAAATAAGATTACCCCAATATTGGGATATTCTTCGTTTTTAAGAGACCGAAGCGAGCAGGTTAGGTTAGTTCTACTAGGTACGCGGAGAGCGTTGCTATTCTAGCTAGCAGTCCTAGCTAGCAATCCTAACTAGCAGTCCTAGCTAGCAATCCTAGCTAGCAGTCCTAGCTAGCAATTCTTGCTAGCAGTCCTAGCTAACAATCCTAGCTAGCAGTCCTACCAAGCAATCCTAGCTAGACACTAGAAATCTCATTTTACCCCAAAAATTTTCCCGCCATGGGGGAAAGTGAGACAAGGTCTTAGAATGCCCTGAAACGTCCAAAAATGCAATAAAAATTTTAACGTTTGACCTTTGATTGTGACCTTAATATACATTTGCCGGTCAAAAAATTTATAAATTCTTGATCAGCATGAAAAACCCGACATTTTGGTGTATTACATTTCCCGATCGGGGAGGGGTACTTCTGGTATATTTGTTCCCCTAATTGAATATCACACCCACCATAGGCCAGGGGGTGTGGTAAAACAGGAATAACACCAATTTGCATAACGTCGGAACGAGACAATATTTTTAAACCTGTTTGTACCATATGCATATGGTGTCATAAATCGGTATAAAAAGTGGTCCATGGTCCATCATGATGGGCTATGGACCACAAAAACATTGGTCCATCGATGGACCATGACCATTTTTTAGATGTCCACCGATGGACCATGGACCATAATATGGATAATATGGATTATGGATAGGATGAGTTTACCGAGAGTTATCGTGACGGACGGACGGACATGATCGTTCCATAAGCCCTCTAAAAAAATCTACATTGTACATACATCATGTCACTGAAAAATATTCTAGCCCCCCTCCCTTTAGCATGTACCAGAGGCATGCTATCATTGAAGCCATAGACCGCCCCACTCTCCAGCTACGTAGTTTATGAAAACACGAACACATCTTATTTAGCAAAAACAGCCGATAATGAAGAATTTAAATTGGACTTTATGTAAGCGAAAATCTCATTGTGTCCTAAAAGTCTCACTGTCCGTGACTACACCCCCTTAATGTTTTTGAACAAATCAGCTTCGCAGCACATCATATAAGCCAAAATCTCAGTTTGTCCCAAAAATCTCACTTTCCCCTGGACCACACCCACCGTTGGGTGGAATTTGTGGGGGTGGTCTGGAAGCTGCGGATGAGCGTTGCGCGGTAGCTTGATGCGGGGTGCGGGATAGCTTGATGCGGGCTGCGGGGTAGCTTTATTCACATCCCGGCGCCAACTCTTTCACAATTCACAACAACAACAACACTGCATGCATTTGGGTTTGGAAATTTTAAAACTAAAATTATCCGACATTTCGGACAGCGTAAGAACATTAGATTAGGGAGTACTTATATTCCCGTAAACAGCATGCAGTCACAAACTACAAATGGAGCAAACGAATTAAATAAGAACAAAGAGCAGGTATTCAAAGCATTCACAATAATGCATGTACGTGTTGCGTGTTGCATTTCTGATAATTAAATTTTAAAATATTCCTTGTAGAGAAACTCCACTGGTTCTACTAACTCTCTGTTGTTGCCCATTATTATATTCCATCCTGGATCAAAACATTTACGAATAGGAATATCATCGGATCCATCACCCATCACCGTTTTGCATGCAGTGGGACGACGAAGAACGATACAGGACGGGGTCGATACCTTAAGGAAGGATAACCTATTTCCGAATAATTACTGCGGAAGGAGAAGAGACGGTCATAAACCTCCCCCAGAAGTAGAGTCTGCAAGGTTGCAATTGTGTTACACATTGCAAACAGCTCTTCGATCGGATGGGAAAAGTAGATTTGCGACACCTACTCAAACCATTGCTGGGTATAATCAACTCTGCAAAGAAGAATGTCAAGAATCTGCTGCTGCTGTCACAAATGTGTTAAATGTGTGGGAAGAATATCCTGAAATTGACGTGATTTTTGGAGACGATATCTTTAGAGCTAACCCTGATGGAGACTTTAATATTCACTTCCCATGGAGAAGGGGCCAGCTTAATGTGCATTGCCATATTGGAGGTTCCCTGTCCTGGGTGATTAATGACATCTGCGATATATGGTCACACTGGGTTATGAAGGGTTTGCAAATTCCTTTGGGACATTTGAAGGTAAACTAACAATTTGTATTTATCAAAATATTTACCTCTCTGGCTATGCCTAATGCGAACAAAAAAACTCCATTAACAGTTCCAATGCTAACTAATTTTTGTAATAATATTATCCTATACCCATATTTAACTGCAGGGTTACAGAGCCTTGGTGGTACTGCCTACGATGTTTGATAGGAACCATGCCAAAGAAATTATGAACATGATTCTCAATACGATGGGATTTGCAAGTGCGATTTTAATTCAAGATCACGTTTGTGCCTCGTTCGGATCTGGACTGTCCACTGCTTTAGTAGTTGACGTTGGAGATCAGAAAATTTCAGTTTCTTGCGTTGAAGATGGAATTTCTATTCCACAATCACGAGTAAAATTAACATATAGTGCATAATATGTACTTAAGCATTTATATACGAATGTTGGCATTTACTGATTTGCTAAATGAATTAATTTTCTCCCCTTAGATATTTTTAAAATATGGAGGAATTGATCTCACCAGTGCATTACTTCATTTGATGAAACAGTCGGCCGTCCCTTTGCCCATTGACCGCAAGAGTATTTGGGATATTGAATTTGCCAACAAAATTAAAGAAAACCTGTGCCACTTGAATCTAGACCGGTGTGGTCCTGAAGAACATTTGGTGATCTGGGATAAACCGGGTCCATCACGCGTCGTCGTGAAGCTCCACTTTGGAGATGAGCTTTTAATAGTACCGTTGGGCTACTTTAATCCAGATTTGCTCAGGGCATCAATAGGACTGAAACCAGTATTGACGTACCGTCATCAACCGTACATTCCAGATGATCCATATGATGAAGCATTCATCAACGACACTTCTGTATGCAATTTAAAAAAAAAATAATGCTAGTCTTATTGTAATGCATTTAATATCGTGAATGTATTTATATTATGTACACTAATATGCAGTTGACTTTGTGTTTTCAGCGTAAAGTGAAAGAATCTGATGATGGCGATGAAGAATATATTGTTGACAGCAAATTGGATTTCGCAATCCACTCAAGCAGTAAAATTGAGTCACATAATCTCTTGGGAATTGTTCAAGCAATTATTCAAAGTATTGATTCCAGTGGTAGGATTTGTAATCAAAGAAGACTAATTTAAAATAAATTACGTACTCAATAAAATATTTTATTCGAAATTATGTTTATACATAGATTGCAACGAAGAAACAAAGCGTCGTTTATATTCCTCTATTCTACTTGTCGGTGGGGGTTTTAAGTTTCAAGGCTTTGACTCATGGTTGCAAACCAAATTGAGTACAACTATTCCGAAGCTGTTTAGACCAGGTGCTAAAAACATATTTTGCAAATGGATATATGAAAAGTTGGGCCATGTAATCTCTTCTAATAAAATAATATTAATATTTTGCAGATGTGCACGTAATTAAACAACTCAAGGACATGGATCCCTCTTTAACAACGTGGAAAGGTGCCACTATTTTAGTACAACTTGAAACTTCTACAGAATTGTGGATCTCTCAAACTGAGTGGAATAGATACGGCTCCAAAATCCTTCGAGAAAAATGTCTTTGTAGTTTTTAACAACTCGCGAAAGTAAAGTTACTTAGCTACTCACTCGCTGTGACTTTTATTGTAAATGACTTCGGTAAAATACGCTTATAACAAACTTGAGACTTGAGGTAGAACGTGACAGCTCTATCTACCCTTTACGACTATTTTCTTTGCGTTTCTAACTGTCATAAATATGAGCAAGTTAACTTATGTATAACTATCACTGTTGAATAACTTTCAAATGGAACCCGAAAATCCGGATCTTTTCTACTTGGAAAAATGTGCAATTTGTGAAAAACCTGGGTCCAAAGCTTGTGGCTCATGCGAATTAGAATACTACTGCAGTAAGGATCATCAAAGGAAAGACTGGCACCGTCATAAATTAAATTGCTGCAAATATGAACTCAGAAAACACGAACATCATGGACTTTGCATGATTGCGACGAAATTGATTCCTATCGGGGAAGTTGTAGCAACAGAGTCTCCACTCGCAACTTTCAAAGCCCTCAGAAGTACCCCAAAAGATTTAGAAAGGATTTTTACTTTATGTGGAGCCGATGCGTATTCATGCCCTTCTTGTGAAGTTGGAAAAATATTCAACCATGCGTATCATCAATGTTCCAAATGTGGAGTTCCTTTATGCCAACCACAATGCGAAAAATCTGGACTTCATGCAAAGCTAGAGTGTGCAGTGTTACAGAAAATTGGAGTCAGAGTGGTACAGCCTTGATAATAATAGCGCAATATTCTGATCGAACGTGTGCTTTGTTCTGTATAGTTTTTCTTATATTTTGTGTATGTGGTTTTCAGTCTGCAGACTCTTCTGTTCAGGACACATTGACTGATTTATCTGTTTTGCGAGTCTTTCTGAAAGAAGAAATGAAGGGGTCGGCTATTTCATTTGAGAGTCGCAAGTGGAGTCCCTTATTAAAAATAATATATGCAGAAAAGTTGAGTAATAATAATGATATGGATGAAGACGACTATGACAAGTTTACTTTGAGTGAAGACATTGTCGCGTCCCTTGATGCAGTGGAGCACTTGTCGCTAAGTATAAAAGTCACAGGCAGTAAAGAGTTGGTCATTTTACTTCATTGTGCGCTGATGGCGTATGGAACTACTTTTCCATACGTTGATTCCAGGTAGATTTACTTTGTTTCTTATCTTATTCTAGATATTTTTAGAAATTGTAAGTCCTTTAAAATTCCTTGTATTGACTTTTTTGCAGCAAGACCAAGTTTTTATTTACAAAGAATCATCGATTATCTCACTCCTGTGTACCCAACTCGGAAATGTGGATGGAAAACGTAGATGGTCACATGAATAAATTAATAATCAAAGCTGTCCGAACCATTCAGCCAGGGGAGAGGATCACAATTGACAGAGCTGGACAATACAGAGCCCTTCCGACCTTACTTCGTCGTGAGAAGCTACTTCAAGATTTAGGCATTGACTGTCGTTGTCGCCGATGCAAGGACCCAACGGAACTTGGGACTTTCATATCTGCAGTACGATGTGAAGAGAATTTGACTCAGAAAGCATGTGCTGGTCACTACGTTCCACTAAATCCGTTGAATGACAAAACAAAATGGAAATGTACCATAAAATCGTGCACCTCGTTTAAAACTTCGCAAGACATTCATAACCTGATTAAGAACTTGGAGGACGAATTGCCAGCCGTGGTAAATGGGAGAGCAGACGAAGTTCTAAAACAACTGAAAGCCTTCAATGACTACTATGCCGGGGATGTGATCAGTTCAACACATTATTTGATGCATATTTCAAGATCCAGAGGACGCCAAGTTGTCAAGTATTTTCTAGGTTCCAGTGAAAAACTTTTGCTTTGTGTACTAAACAGTTACCCCCGTAAGAAGCTTTCTATGCCTATTATGTAACGGATAGCTCAGTCAAGATACAATCTAAACCAGTTTTCAAAATGCAGGTGCGTATGAATATTGTGGCATGTTATTAAACTCAGCAGAGTCTCTGTGGCTATTTATCGATAAAATATGCCCACCTTTCTCGGAAGCCAGAGGTGAGTATATAAATTCATATGCATAATTATCCATAATTCGTTATTGGTTGACTATGAAACACAATTTGACACATAGTCATGCATTTATGTATTTACAGGATACTTGCTTAAAGAAAAATCCGCTGCAAAATTAGCTATCATTCTTTATGACTACCTAGTGCTTCATAAAATAAAGGTGGACGTATTGATTGATAGAGTACAAAAGGTGCGACAAACTTTGAAGGATGCAGCCAAATGTGTCTCCATATTCACTCATTCTCCTGTGAAATCACTTCGAGAAGAAATTAATTTTATAGATTCCGTAATCGCCAAGATTCTCAAAAATTGTACGTGTCCTGACACTAGTGACAAGACTTCTACAGACGAGACTGAAAGGAATTTGAAATGTGTATTCACTATGTGGAAATCTAAATCTAAAGAAATTGGGTTGGCATCATATTACATGGAACCCATCTCTAAGCCAATATGTGTTCAAAAATTACGCAGTGTTATAACTTCTTGCGTCTAACTCAATTTGAATAAAACGAACCGTTGATTGAAAATATTTTGTAAAAACAATGCGTTAATTTTAGAAAAAAAGGTTTGGCTAGACAAGAAAGTTTTGTGATCAACAGATTCTGACAAAAATATACTTGGTTGATTGACCTCATGAACGCGTGATACAAGAATGCCTACATATAGCAGTGATTCATGGATTGTAAATGCATGCAAAGTTTGAACCTTTCACTAAGGATCACTTCCTCAGTATTGAATTAGCTTTGTACACAATAACAAACGAATCCTTTGTTTTTAAATGCACCGTGAATATTAACCGATGCTTCCTACATTGTCCAAATATATTGTTAACAATAGTTAACATGTACGCGATGCAATTATTTTAAAGTTAAAATTTCATTTACTCATAACGTCCGTTAAATCATATCAGAGCTGTTGAATTTTCACTATACTACTTAATTGATTGATTGATTGATTGATTGAAGTTTTTATTAATGGTGTCGTATGAGCGTCAGCACGAGTGCTGGTTTACAGCCCTGGACATCAAGCGACAATTTCGAATATAATTTGACAATATACTACTACTGACTAATTAATTAGTAATCATTGTGAATAAACGCATAATTTTGAATTTGTCAAATTATTTTGAGTAAGACTTCACGTACAAATGTATGGCTAAAAAAATTCGATAGGACAAAATTATCAAAGTTGGATATTGTAGTCCCTGTCCCAATCACCTGCATTGCATATGATGTGACGACCTCTACAAATGTTAATCATACGCGTACATGTAACCAATCTGCACTAATCATGAAGACATTTCCAGGCTATCTTACTGATTTCGACACGTTTCACTTTTATCATGACGTGGTTTCAAGTTTTGACGGATTGATTTGATATGAAAGCGTAATGTTTAATTCAGGAACCATTATGCACTTAATTGGTTTATAAATAGTCGATTAAATAATTAACGCGAGGCATTGCATAGTTCCTTTACTGCCGTTAACTCTGCAATAATCATGTATAAAATTCTGATAATTTCAATTTTCTGTGTTTGCATTGGTTATACAATGGCACAAGAGGATATCATCTGTCCCCCGGGTTTAGACTTTTGGCCGCACTGGAACTGTAGCCTTTTTTACAATTGTTCTACTGATGGAAATCACTTGGTGTACGAGTGTCCGGTCGGACTATATTTTAATCCAAGTTTCGGCGGCTGCGACTTTCCATTTGCGGTTTCTGAATGCGTCGAAGGCACCAGAGCCCCACCAGGGTCAACCACCACGCCCATATCCGAACCAAGCACCACTGCAACCTGGACCACGCCTCCAATAACCGGCTCGACTTCGCCCCACACCACGCCGGTGAGAACGACTTGACAATTTGACAAGTATTTTTTTACAGCAGAGAAAATCTATAATTTACGATGTTCTTTAGAGTAACGACATTTGTCCAGAAGGAAGTGTTTTCTGGCCCCATTCGAATTGCTCACAGTTTTACATTTGCGTGGCTTGTGGCTCGCCATTTGTGCACTCCTGTGCGGCTGGCTACTTTTACAGTACGACCTTAGGAACCTGCGACTTGGAAGAAAATGTTGTCGATTGTGTTGATGGGACGAGACCAACGACCACTCCATCACCCGTCCAATGTCCTCCCGATGGAACTCATAAAGTGCCACATCCCAGTAATACATATATTTTCTGGTTTAGTCCTTCCTTTAAGTTTGGTTGCAGTTATTGAGCACTGTTTGATTTTTGAAATTAATTCAGCTCATGGTGATGCCTTCTTCCTTTGTGTGGATGGGATTCTCGATCCGGATTATTACTACTTCGTGTGCAGTGATTGTCTGCATTTTGATGCTCTTTCTGAGAGATGACCCAGACCTTGTCAACTGCAGTGAAATATGTACAACGTGGCGGCCCGTCAATATGTATTTCTGTATTTCATTCGTCCATAACTTTGTCATTATCGAACTATTAATTATTTCTATTATGCATTATGAAAATTAAAACGTCTAAAGAATCTGATATGAAAGTTGACCGGTACATACGTACATGCGGATACGCACCATAGATATGTTATAATTTAACATTCAGTCACTCATTTGTGCTAGATAAGGTTACATTACAAATGTTTTTCGAGTCCGTGTACACTTGTCAAATCCAACAACAAAGATTCCAGTTTTTTCTGTGTCACTGATTTAAAGAATGCATTGTTCCTTGAGCATCCTCAAATCGAATGACAAGATTCTTACTGAGGAAAGTCTTCTCGTGTCAATTCCATGAAATGCCTTAGGAAATGGTCGCCCGTTTTCAACAACTGTGTGGCTAACAGGATCAGGTCAACGATAATTTTTAGTGCCTGCCATGCATATGGACAAAAGAAACGTGCTGTGTTTCCACAACCCCGAAAAGAAGGGAAGGGCCCAAGGAAGACAACAATAAATTTGTATCCGACCATTTCAACAAGACAATGAATGGTTCGTATTAGCATTATTATCTCTCTCGATTCCTCCACGCAGGCCACTTCTCACTCCTCAGAAATGAGAAAACTGACGACAAAATGAGAATAAAAGACTACTTTCGTTCATTTACTGCCCATCTATCTTTGTATCCAAGCAGTAGCCGACCGCCCGTTCGTTGAAAGTTTTCCGATTACAGTCTTCCCAGCTTTTCGAGCTTTGATCCTTTCAAATGAAATTGACTACATGTTTTTCTCTTTCGATGCAAAGTTGAGGAGGTGATTTCTTATTTCGTAATACGTACCTTTTTAGGCGTAATCGTAAGCAAAATGATGCAATCAACTTTGTGAACGTAGTATATTTTTAAACAAAATCATGCATTTCAGATACAAATTGAACTCGTGGTGAGATTTGAAGATGAGCGTGCATCTTGGGATCAACAATAGAATATGATGACATAGTCTGCAATTCGTTTTGACGACAACTCCCATAATTGATAATAATAAAACCTACAGTGCAGCCTTCATTTAGCCCGAGTCAGGAAGTTATTTGACGAGTTGAGAACCTCCCACTTGGGTGTGACCGAACTTCGCTTTCGTCAATACGCATCGGAGAGTTTTACAATATTTTATTCGTTGGCGAAGCTGATTTTTGACACACACATTTCAAAGCTTACAATGAATTTATGCTACAAAATCTAAACTTTTGAAGCGTGCGTTCTCTGTATATGATTTTGTACACGCCAAATAATTTTCACTGGTGACAAACAAAGGCATATGTTACAGGGTCCACCACATGATTTTTTTTTATTCTATTCTTCCATTCGATGTCATTAGCAACCTACATGCCAAATTTTGGCTTTCTACGACAATTTTGAAAATCCCGTATGGGTCACCCCGTAGGGTTCTTCAAGATAAAAATTTTATCAATTTCACTTCATATTCTCCCATTAAGACCCATAAAAAATCTAGTTACCAAATTTCAACTCGATATGACGATTTTGAAAAATCAGTATGGGTCATCCCCCAGGGTCCCTCCGGATGACAATTTTTGCAATTTTACTTTATATTCTTTCATTATAAACCATTATCGAGCTCCATGTCAAATTTCTCCTTTCTACTACAATTTGGAAATTTTGGTGCATAATACCCCACCCACCTATATGACCCCCACCGGTCAACCACTTGACCGATTTCGCCCATCTTCGAACTTAACTCCTCATTTGGCCCATACTACACGTGTGCAAAATTCCAACTCGATCGGATAAGTTTAACGAGAGTTATCGTGAATCAGACAGACAGACAGACGGACAGACCGGTTCCATAAGCCCTGACTCGGGCTAAAAATCTGCTGAGTAGTTGTGCCGAGCATATTCAAAAAAAGAAGAAGATGCATTTCTTTAAAGGTTTGTGCTGTTGGTTCCGTTTAAATTAATGTCCACTCCCCGTTGAATAATCCAGTTCAGTTCAATCGAGTAAAATAATGAATTGAACGATTACGATCTGTTTGTCTGGACTGTCTTCTCTCCGTCATTTATTATTGGATTGCTCTAACGTGCATTTATCTAAAACTGAATCAAAAACTTACAAAGTCATCGTTCACATCCTCCTCAAAGCAAACTCTGGTTTGTTTAAAATTGCTCCATTAGATAAACAGTCCATGCATTCCTGAAGGATGGATACGTTACTCCGCTTTTATGTTACCATCTGCTTATTGAAAATGGTTTCATGGAGAAATAAGACGTGGAAAAAATGTAAAGATGCCGTATTGATCTAAAACAGACCGCAAAGTTAATTGTATTTGAAATATTACTTTTGGCATGTGAAATAGCTTGTACTTTTCATCATGCCATAATCCGCTGTCATCATTAGATAGAACTATCATGGGAGGCTTATTAATGATCACGACTTTCCAAATACGGACAACGTAGCGCAACCTCAATGGACAAGTTCCAGGCGGCCAGACCGCGTCATTTTTGCTCCCAGGTAAAATGAAGTTAGGTCAGTAACCCAGCCCATTTGGAGTCGATGGTGTGGAGGCATTCAGTTTACTATAATTTGGAACTGTGGTGCACATAATTACGGCATAATGTGAGACTTAATATTTATGCATGAGACGAAAAAACGCCTAACGTTTGCATTTTGGTTTGCCATATTATGCAGTCGAGTATAGTTTCTGAGTAGGTGTTTCATTGATCCATCCTTCGCATCTTGTGCAGATAAACACGCTTTATTTAATACGGAGGGTGTGCCATTCCACCCACCTGGGAAAGTAAAAGTAGCAGCCGCTGCATGTCATCCATTGACCAACAGCAACATTAATAACTACTCTTTTCCAATTATACAATAATAAAAACGGTTGAGGCTCAATTTGGATGGATAGAAGGCAGACGAACGCATGTATTCACCATACATCTTGGTTTTCTTTCGCCTCCCTCATGACATCAGCTCCACATAATCCAATCATTTCGATCGGGATGAATGCGCAATGTGCAATCTGTCAAAGTTCGTGTGGGCGGTGACAAATTATTATTTTGAGCTGAATGGAAGTTATTGTACAGGAATAATTTCCACTTCTGCTGCAGTGAAATTAGCAATTAAACAGGAGGATTGAATGGAATTCGTATGTAGCAGTCCATCTCACCAGAACAGGAATCGCCCCTAGTTTTAATTATTGCACAAAGGGTTGGCAAGCATAACGACCGAAATGGCAGGTTCTAATGAGCAGCATATACATAAATGTGAAGCGTTACTTATAAATTACACCTTAATGACGATGCCTACACCTTTTCACTCGGCGGATAATGAGATTTTTAATTAGCTGATTTAGCCGGACAAAGAAGCAGTCTCAGATGCATTTGCATTTCAGACGGTTTTCTTATGGGCCCATTTCTGTAGTTCCCATTAATTGCAACCGATTTGATATAATGTCCATGAGGTTTTACACATGTCTGATATAGTATTTGCAAAGGAAACTACGCATAAAATAGTACACAACTACAAGTTGATCGAACTAAAACGGTCGCATTTTATATGAATTTCATACATATTTTGTTATGAATATTTACATACTTGTAATACTTGATACCTTCTCAGGGAATGGTGGTTGGTGATATGACCGAGGTTTGTGTATGCAATCTTGTCCGAGAGTTTGACCATTTCTACTGTAGCGAAAGTTAATACGATATTTGTTTCAGTTTTAGGATTGGATTTCTAAATCGTAAAATTCTAAGTTGAACCTCAAACATGCCAGACGAGGTGATTGTACAGTGTCAGTCAGCAAAAAGTACTAAAACGAAAGTCAATCACAGACAGTGCAACATCACAAAGCTCGTCGTATTTACAATAACTCTGTCCATAAACAATTGCACGTATATCACGAGACTTTGGAGAGATTGATAATAAAACTCAACAAATAATTTCCAGTCCATTTATGTTACAATATAATTTACAACTTATTACCACAACCACAAACAGTTTAACTGGAGAAAATGATTGCAATGTTATGAGCATAAATAATTCGAATCTGATTAAGTGGAAGTGGTGCGTGTGCGTGTACTGCGTTGTGTAGTGAGATGAGATTATTATTGTAATGTTGAGGGATGGAATATGTACATTTATGCATTTATAAAGGCGATGCATAGGTAATTGCCCATGTCTGTGTGAACCAGTCAAGCACAAAGGAATTTATAAATAGAATTAATTTTGTTTGCAATGCACCTCCACGGGGGATTTCGTAATAAATGATCATAATTACATTGCCCTGTCCACTATCGTGTTAAATATTTGCGTCAGAATATTTACTACTCGTGACTTCTTACTTAGCCATTTTTTAGTTTCGACTAATTTGTACACTACATAAGTCCTACGTTGTATTAAAAAATGTGTTACAAAATAATTGCACCACGGCAGTAAATTTACAGCGTTATCAAACAGTTATGAATGCCGACGACGGCGACAACGATCAACCAGAAACTTGAGTGAGAGAGACAACAATGATATTTATGACAAAACAATGAAACGGTTATGACCATCTTCTCGTGATCTTTCCCATTTCCAAGGCATGTTTATCCATACTTATTCATTCAAGTTTATGAATTCCTTTATCCAGAGTGTATGCACATAAGTCTGACTTGTGCCAGTTGTTGAGGATGTACAGAGTTGAGAGAGGCCTTCACGGCCCTTTCCGTCGGCTGGCTGTGCGTGGGTTATTATTCTTGTCGGTTTGAAGAGGAGTAAGGAAAAGAGCAATAAGATCCTTAAAATTAAAGAGAGCCCTGCCAACTCAAAGGACACTCTGCGTTTCATCATCCCCTGCATGCAAACCACAGCGTCGGATCATATCTTGCTCACTAAAACTAAAACTAAACATTTAAAAGTAATAGTAAATACTCGTTCCAGCAAAAAGCTTCAAAGATCTTGAGACACAAGCAAGAAAAGAAGGAAAGGAAGGAAGGTTGCCTTTGCTGAGAAGATCGCCTTCTCGTTCGTTCGTTCGTTCTTGTTGGGGATGCGATGCACAATGGAGGAAAAGAATACATATCTAAAGACTTGGTAAATGTTGGTCTCAGTCCTCAGTTGCCCGTAAATTCTCACCCCTTTCACATCTCTCGTCCCATGCCCGTCTTCTGTAAATTGGTTTACAAACTTTGTCAGCACTGACATAAACCAAAGAAGCAGGTTATTTTCATCTCTTTCTGTATCTGTGAGAGTGCAGGTGGAAGCAAGTAGAACCGAATTGTTGCACATAAATAATTTGCTGGAACTTCATTAAAAAAGAGGTGCGTTGGAAGTGTACTACGTTGACTTTGTCACTCGTGTAGTGCTCAGATATTGAGGTCCGTCTGCGTGTCTATGCAATTGTGTTGGTTGTTCCCAGTTTATGATTGCAACGAAGTGTCAGTCATTGGTGAAAGATTACATAAATGAGAAGCGATACAAGAGGAGCTGCATCGCATCCTCAGTCAGACAATTGTGCTTTTTGTGCAGTTATAATAATACCACTGTTTTGTGTCTATTCATCCATTCTATTTCTGTGATTGTGGTTGGGAATCAAAACGAGCCGACATGACAAAGTAGTGTTCATTAGTTTTATTTACACGTTTCATTTGAGATGCAAGATGTACAGGACAAATGCACGGTTGATGACGGCACTGATCTTTTACGAGATGGCAATAACTCGCTAATTTAATATCGTCGTACAAGAATTGTTGCAGAAGAACTTTTTGGAAATAAATTGTTTCAAGAATTGTGAGTGCTGTCCAGCATTTCATTTAAATCAATTAAATCAATTCCCGTGAATGCATAATAACGATAACAATTTAGACGATGATATTATTCGATATGCAACCAACTCATTGAACGTGGTTGTTTGACTTGACACGATCTCACAGGGGATGAACCACAACCACGAAGTATATGTACTTTTTACTGCATAATAAATACTGAAAAAACGAAAAGTTTTCTCCTCGTTGACTTCTGATCGGCTCATTCATCATGTAACGCTACCCTCGTGGGTCTCATGTTGGATTGGATCGTTGCACCTTCAAAACGTGAGTCTTCCTTTTGATTTTATTAACTCGTACATTGTTCCGTCATGAAGTCGGAAAGATGATGGGATTGTTGGGTCGTTTGTGAGGTTAGAGAGCAACAGATCGAGAGTGACTCTGGTGAAGCTGTATCGCATTACTATCGTACATAATGAATATGATGGAAGTCCACTTTAAACTAAACCAAGTAAGCGGACGTTGATGGGGGTTGTCGGATCATGAATTTATTACTACCGTGTGTCAGAAACATTGTTGGTTTAGTGTACCATTCACCAGAGTAAAAGTTGGAATTAGTGAAAAGACATGAACAGTTGGACACGTTTTAAACATTGTGTTTGAATAAATTTTAAACACCTTCTCAGATTTTTTCTTGAGATGAAGCCTTGCATACGCAATTTCATTCGGATGTGTACAGCTCCCCAATTCATTAGCCAATTGTATTTACATGTATATTCTTGGTGTGTCGTTTGTATGTAAATACCTGTACGGCTTACATCACGGAACAACAAGACTCTGTTTACAATTAAAAAATAATCCGTGACCGATCCGCTCACACGTACAAACATGATGCGAGAATCTTGAAATAATAATCCCTCCGGGGAGAGTGAGAGTAGACACAAGGAAGGACGGCAATAGAAACATGCATGCAAAATCGCGACATATTTATTTACCTGGGCAATTTCAATAGTTTCGCTTTAATTTAATTCAGGATCACGTGTCCCAAAGTGTTCCTCATACTGTAAGAAGTAGTGAAAATCATTTTGGTGGGGTAACTTTTCCATTGTTTTTACCGGAGAAGAGAGCAGATGCAGTAGGAATGCACATATGTAGGTTGATGATGTCATGGCACATCTGCAAAGTTTTTTGTTCAGTTATTGCACAATCTGGACATACCTAAATGAATCATGATCGGGTAGTAAAATGAGAATGGTCATATACTATGCACAATGATTAGCTTATTAAGAATGAGTACATAGCATTTCATAAGTTCATGGATTTAGAAGTACATACAACCAGAGTCTCAATTGTGTGAGGATGCATAAAAGAGGCTGCTAATTCCTCTCAACTCATGCTGCGATGCTGTCGAGGATGTTGCTATCTTCTTGCTATTATTATTAGTAGTACATCCTGGAGATTCACGTTTAAATTTTACCCATATTTGCAATCCATTGATTGCAAAAGCAAACTTTGCACAAGCCATACATACTTCAGTATAGCAACAAAGCTCTGTGTACGTTTACTCATTGTGGTATCTAAAACAGAATGTTGTAAGCACTTTACGTTGGTTTCAGTCTCTCTAATTCTCTTTCGGAATTTATTTAATAGTTACGCATTTTGTTTGACTTCCTATTTTCTAGAGGTATTTGTGGGTATATTTTTATAGTGTTTACATAGTTAAAGAAAGAACGAATTGAATAACATCTGCAGTTCAGTATAAAACATGCTATTCATTGTGTCGTCCAAATCTAGTTTAATAAGTCTTTAAAAGCACGCCAAAAAGAATCGTCTACAAGTTTTATATAACAACAAAATTGCACTCATGTAAATGGTCATTGATTGATACAACTAAATCTGTAGCAATGTTGCTGTATCCAAAATTATATGAAAGGTAATCTTCGGTAGGTCGCATCGCTTTGTTTACTTTTTTATCATAATTTTATTTAAAGTGATGACCATTACTAATGGTCCATTAGTATGTACATATAAATTCTAGAATAATCCGAATCGGGTGGTCAAAAATTATGATGAAGAGATGATATGCACACATGTACGATTTCTAATGGTTTTCATTAATTTTTACTCAATTAATTGTGTCGTTTCAATAATGGCTTTTCATGCTTTGAAGGTGGAGTCGATTTGATGTTTATGACTTTGATGGTGAAGTTTTTTGCTAATATTTGGTGGAATTCAAAAGGTTGTGTATTTTATTACAGAGGATCATGTTCTGGGTTTGGAAACTCCAGCTGCTTCGCCATCGTTGATGACACGAATTGGAGGAGTGCAGTTCACGAAATTTACATATTTTAAAACAGTGGTCGAACCTTAACACGACGGCGAGGACTTTTAATAGCGTGCAAGTGTTCGAGTCGGAGTGATTATTCGTTCAGATGTATCGCCATCAGAAGCATTGTGCGAATCTAGAACGTCATATTGTGCAGGTTATCAGCATCGATACGGACGACGAGGAGAAATATCTCTGACAACCGAACTTCTCAAGATGACCACTCACAGGAGGACTCTTGTGCTCACACTTTTTCTCTCAGCAGCCACTTGGCCATGTGTTCAATCAAGTTGGTCTCAGTATTCTCACTCTCAGCTCATCCGTCCTCCTCGTTCTTTTTCCTTGTCTCAAGTTTTTGTTTTTCTCTCTCCAAGTAGATTACGAATAGAGTGCCAGTGCTATAAGGAAGATATTTACCAACCACGATTCACTATTGAAGGCACTTTTTTGTTTGAATTAGCGTGTCGTTGTAAGACAATTATATCCAGCGATTAAATGATAGCGTTCTTGTATCACATTGCCTCATGCCACTTTAGATGGCATAAGGCCATTCGTATGCATTTACATATTATTATACACGTGGATGCTTATAAGCATTATACAACTATATGCATATGTGAAACATCACGAACGAATGACGAGGGTCAAGTTTTTCTCATCAGATTGTGGGTCATGCCTTTTAAATTTACTTCCATTTCATGTTTCGATTGAGTAAATCCAAGTGTATCCGATATCTGGAACCACAATGCTAATGGTGCAATGAGATTCTAATATTTCTAATCAAAGTAGGACTTGTTTTTATGGTCGCACGCACTCTTATCCAGATTTATCGTTGACCATTTACATTCTTGTCAGCAAGGCCAGCTTGAAATTGTTCTTCGTGAATATAGCCACATCATAAAAGTAAAATAACTCTGAGCAAATTTCCTGCTCTCTAAAGCGAGGAAAAGTTTAATTAGTAAAAGTAAATTAAAAATACTTTCGTCCATGTGTTAAATTCAGGCTACTACGAAGAGACGTCTTCGGAAGAACAATTCGCTAACAGGAACAGAATAAATGGAAACTTTTCAGGAAATGGGATTACGCCTCCAGTATTAAATTTAGCCACGAGGGCAAATATTTTCTCAAATGCAACTTGTAAGTTTCTTTGAAAAAGTAGACTATAAAAGTAAATTATTTTATCTGCAGAGTTTCGTACGTAGTTGAAAACCACGATGCGAGTAATAACAAAGATAGCGACTAGTAATTCATTTTAAAAAGGTGGAGAACGAGAGCCGGAGACTTATTGCAAATTGGTGGAGCACGTTTACTTGGCAAGGGCAAGAACGTCACAGCAGTGCAGCGTTTGTGATGACCAAGCGGTGTGTGCAACTCTTGAAAAATATGTTCTTACAATCATGCAATTTATATCATTCTGTATGTAATTTCACACTTTTAGGGAAACGGGAAGCGTCACCCGATTAAATTTGCTATCGACGGGAGCAATCGTTGGTGGCAGAGCCCCAGTCTCCAAAACGGACGGCAATACGAATGGGTGACAATTACCATCGACTTGAAACAGGTGAGTCGCTAGTTGACAGGATAATTTACGATTGTCGCTGACACTTGTAAATTAGAGGGCTCTCATAACGAAGAAAGGAGCGGAGCAACAGTTCCAGTCCAGCTACCGAATTATTTTTTGAGACGGCAACGTGAGATTAGAAAGTGAAACTGAGATTGTATGTCGATCCTCTTAAAGATAATTACATTATAAATACGACGTGCCAACGTATATATTGAAAGCTGGCTAGTTGGAAGAAGTAAGTGGGCAGTTAAAACTGTAATTGGTCAAGTCAGAGAAGTCTCAGCAGCTTAGCTATTATGCAAATGAATTTGGGCGATGCATTTCGAAAACCAGCTACGCAATCATCATCTTTTACAAAGTTGAGGTTAACGTTAACTGATGCGACTGAAATCAACCATCGGTATTATTGTTTGATATGATTTTTAGGTTTTTTGAAGTAGTTTTTTGCGCATTGCATGAGCACTACTTATAAATATTCACATGAGCGAATATTTAGTTGACCTACGGACATATCATGTCCTCCTTATCACGACCAAAACAATGCGATTTATTAACATGTATTGTACATGTATTGACATATTGTTTAAAAACTCGGACGATGTGTGTCTTAATTCTGTGCAGGTGCACCAAGTTGCTTACATCATTATCAAAGCTGCTATTAGTTCTCGTCCAGGTAATACGAATATCCAATCTCGCGTGCTAAATATAACTTTCAAATTATCGACTTGTAATTATAACTCTAGGCATTTGTATTGTGTAGGAAATTGGATTTTGGAGCGATCTCTTGATGGAATTGTCTATATGCCATGGTACGTGCTGCACACATGGCGAGTTGTTTTCATGCAGAATTATTGTTACATGCTATCGAAAATTTCAGGCAGTATTATGCAATCAGTGATGAAGAATGTTGGACACGATATAAAATTCGTGCCAAACCAGGAAAGCCACAATATGACCATGACGAAGAAATAATTTGCACCTCGTACTACTCATCCCTGTATCCGCTGGAGGGGGGCGAGGTACGTACACAATTGTCAAAAGTCTTATTCTTGCATCCTCCTTCAAGAATTTCTGCATTCCGTGTAATTTAACACTCTTTGGGGTTGCGTGATAATAAAACAAAGACAATAATGAACAATGCCAATATCCAAATTGGTTTTATTAACTGATTGAGAATTGGTCATGCAAACACTGACGAGTTTCATTGATAGATTCACACATCTCTGGTCAATGGACGACCAGGTGAGTAAATAATTTCGATTGCAAATAATATGCATTGATTTAAAAGCTATTTAGTATGAATTTGCTTTATGTACAAACTTATGAAGTTTACATATGTACTTTATGGGCATATAATGTATATTTGTAATCTGTGACCTCTGTTGTGGTTTTGGTCGTCCTCAGGGGCAGATGGTCCATCGGAAAGACTGACAAAATTCACTATGGCTCGGTTCGTGAGACTTCGTCTGCAGAAGATCCGGACTCTCCACGGGGATTTGATGAACGTGGGTGGGTCGGAGAGAAATGGCCTGGATAAATCTGTCATGCATGTATGTCAAGTATTGCATTACTTTGTGATAGTGTTTCTCACGGGTTCGGGTCCTTACTTCGGGTTTCGGGTTCGGGTCCGGGTTCGGGTTCTGCTTCGGATACGAAATTTAAGAACCCGAAACTTTCGGGTTCGGGTTCGGGTCCGAAAATTGTCATGTCAAAATTTCGGGTTCGGGTCGGGTTCGGGTACGGATTAAGAACCCGAAACCCAATCAAACTTTTTTGGATCGATATCACAAAAAGATATTAGAAAAATTGTTGAACTACATGTGCTTCAGCGGTTGCAATACTGAAGTAAGTAATTCCAATTTCTAGTTGTCTTAAATTCGTTTAATTTCAATGGTTTCCAAAAAGGTAAACGATTTACAAGAGCCCGATTCAATTAGTGTTATGGTGCGAACTATAAAAGAAATCGAATTTTTATCCTAATTTTGCTATGCAATTACCTGAATCATACCTAATTACATAAGTAATAATATTGGAAACGTCAAACTGGAAACAATTATCCAATTTTGGACTGATTTTCAAATTTCTAAAGGTCTCGGAAAGCCACTCTGGGGCAGTTTTTGAAATATTATAAATATTGTTGATTTTTAAGCTTTTAAATAATTTTAAAGTACAAATTCAGCCCATGCCTTAAAATTAAAAATATTTTCGGGTTTTCGGGTTCGGGTTTCGGATTTGAACCGCCAGTTCGGGTTCGGGTTCGGGTCCCTGCAAACGGGTACGGGTTCTTCGGGTTGGCCTCGGGTTTCGGATCAGTGGTACCGGGTTCGGGTTCGGGTTTCGGATTTGCAAGAACCCGACCCGTGAGAAACACTACTTTGTGACGACAAATTCTAATCATATTTTATGCCTTGCATCATCAAAAACTTTCTACGTTTTCCATGTTCTTATAAAATATTCGCCTAGTTTTAAAACTTTTTCGAAAAACAACACGTTTGTGGGCCAGGTTGTGTTCATCTAATTGTTCTCCCACATGTACATGTATCTACTTATGTATGTATGTACATATGCAGCTTGTTGGGTTGAGCGGCGTGTGGTTATTGGTAATGCAAATTTGTCACTAATCAAGTGTTTTCTTTCTCCACAGTCGACCATTTTGCGGAGATATTTCTATTCAATTAAGGACATTTCGATTGGAGGTCATTGCGTGTGCTTTGGGCACGCGAACGAATGTGTGTTCGACAAACACGTTCAGGTATTCCCCCAGTGTTGAAAATATGTTACGCATTTAACATTACTGAATAATTGCAAACGTGTATCGTCCTTTCCTCTCTTTGACAATGAAATTGTAAAGTTTTCTTCCTCATGCTGGCTTTATTTTGATTCATCCTTCGTGGACGATACGAAAAATTACTGATTTCGTTTAAATATTATTATCCATAGAGTGAGATTTGTAATTGTCAACATAACACTTGCGGCCCGCAGTGTGACGTGTAAGTGTTTCGTTTATCACGAGATTTACTTTTGCGTTTCATCTCAAAATACGAAAAATTTTGAGATAATTTTGTCTTGCATTTGGTATTTTTTGTTTAAATTTGTTTGTGGCGTTATATTTGTTTTTAAAGTTGTTGTCCCCTTTTCAACAACAAACCCTGGGGGGCGGGGAATTCTACGGCAAGGGCGACATGCGAGGCTTGTGAGTGTCATGGCCAAGCGGACGCTTGTATTTTTGACCCGCTCATAGCGTCCCAGAAGTTGTCCATCAATGCTGACGGGGCGATGGATGGCGGTGGCGTCTGCCTTGACTGCAAAGTAAACACTCTGAACCCTTCACTTATAGATGAGCTTTGTCAAAATACGTATCGTGTTAATGCACATCGCTGATTGGGCAATATCACCCGAGCATTAACGATAATAAGACTAGAGAGTAACGGTTATGTTCTTGATGGTCACAGGCTCACACGACGGGGATCAACTGTGAGAGGTGTGAAGAGGGGTTCTTTCGACCTCGAGGGGTGATGAGGAACGATGCTCGACCTTGTGTCAAATGTCAGTGCGACGCGAGAGGCAGTGACGGGAGTTGCGTCGCCGATGACACTGCAGCCCTCCTCATGGGAAAGGTGAGACTCGTCAATACTCCAATGTTGAGATCCTCAGAATACTTGTGCAAACAAGTGTTGACTGCTTATTTACCCGTAATGATTTTATTTGGAATATCCCCAGGAGCCTGGGGACTGCATTTGCAAAGCGGGGTTCACTGGGAAATTTTGCGACCAGTGTGAGATGGGGTACCGAGGTTTTCCCAACTGCAACTCGTGCCCTTGTCATTTTCCAGGCATCGTTAATATGGAGTGCGAAGGTGACTGCGTTTGTAAGGTCAGTCAATACAAGTGTATTACAGTACAGTATAGTACACACTTACGAGGCAAGAAATATTCTCCTAATTGTTATTTAATCTGCAGGAAAATGTCCAGGGACAATTGTGCACTGAATGCAAAAAGGGGTTCTACAACTTGATCAAAGGAAACCCCACTGGGTGCACGCAATGCTTTTGTCATGCGGTAACTGACAAATGCACGTCCTCCAACTTCGCAATCACAAGGGTGCGTAGATATGTACATAGAGGCGTGGAGATCTGCTTGTCTTTGACTATATAGTTTTCAATAATGGTTGACTAATTGATGACGAAATGGTGCAGATGATGGACCACGACAACTGGTTCGTCACGGATCTGCATGGGACAAAAGTCATCGCCCTGAGCCCCACGGGAGGAACGTACCACATTGCCAACGAGGAATTCAGCTCCTTCTCGATGTACTATTGGGGCAATGCGAAGACTTTCAGTGGAAATCGAGTCTTGTCGTATGGTCTCCAAATGACGTTTTACACCTCTTGGATCCAAGCAAGGGGGGACACGAGTGGAAAACCCATCACTGAATATGACCTCATCATTCAGGTATTCAGAAGTAGTCAGAGGATTGCCTATTATATTGGATAAAATTACGACCATTTCGCGCTATTTAGAGTACCAACAACATGCTGGCGTTCAGCAACAAGTTTCATGATGGGAATAACGCCACTGTTCACGTTACCTTAAACGAAATTGACTGCGTCGTGCTTCCTGACATCGACAACAACATTATCCAAAGGTTAATAAGAGAGCAATGAGTGATAAGTGTGCCCTGGGTAATTGAATTGTTGTTGTCATAATAATTAGGAACCCGACACCTGCTTTGGGGACGCCGTGTACAAGGTTCGACGTAATGGAAGGGACGCATGATGTGGTAAAACTCTAATTTAACTGTGTTTTGAACATTAAGCAATGATGAATGATTATCATTTCGAGCTTTACTTGTGTTATTGATTGTATAATTTTTGGCTGTAGAAACGTCTGTTAGTCCGAGCAAAGTACCACACTGATCAAATTGAAGGGATGCTTGGCTATGCGTACATGGAGAAAGCAGACGTAAACACCATTGCCGGTCCTGGGGAGAAAACAGCCACGTCTGTCGAATTGTGCTCTTGCCCTCCAGGTATACAGTTCTTACATGTAAAAATAAGTCGCGAGTTCAACAGGATATTTTATCCTCCTTAATTCACAGGTTATTCTGGAACATCTTGTCAAGATTGTTCGTACGGCTATAGAAAAAGTAACTCCGACTCCTGGCTCAATTCTTGCGTAAAATGCGACTGTAATGGACATTCTCCCACATGCAGCTTTGATGGAAAGTGTTTGGTAAGATATTTATTTAGCAAAAAATAGTGTTAACACAAAGTTTGAAAGTTTGTTAATTAATTAAAGTCGGATTAATGAGTTATTTGGCTTGTGATTGTAGAGTTGTGAACATAACACGAAAGGTGAACGGTGTTCCGATTGTCGAACCGGATTTTATGGAAATGCTAACACTGAATCTCAATTTGCCTGCAAACCATGCGAATGTCCTCTGGCAATTGACACAAACAATTTTAGTCCGACCTGTCAAATGCTTGGAAATTCGTATGAATGTACAGCTTGTCCTGCAGGCTATGAAGGTACGCTTACTTAATTAAGTAATTTACATGTTGGTTAAATAATTAGGCCTTTCATTTAATTTCATTCAGGTCCTTTTTGTGAGAGGTACGTAATTCGGGACTACTTATAAATAGATATATTACATTTTTGTGTATGTACTAAACACGTAACAAACATTAAGGTGTGGAAATGGGTATTACGGAAATCCTACACAACCTGGAGATTACTGCAAGCGTTGTGATTGTAATTTGGATGGCAATCCGTCCAACGAGGGAAATATTTGCGATCATCTTACAGGAGAATGCTTAATTTGTCCACGAAACACGATCGGTTGGAACTGTGATGAATGTCTTCCTGGGCATTTCGGAAATCCATTAAATGGGACTTGCTCTCGTAAGTTGCATTATTTATTAGGAATTTACTTATTATCATAGTCACTTAATTAACAAGAATTGTTTATTTCCTGGCGCACCTCATGATGTGTAGCCTGCAGATGTGATGAAACAGGGAGTGCCAGCATTACATCCTGTCACCCTGACACTGGTCAATGTCCTTGCAAAGACGCTTTCACTGGACGGAGATGCAATGAGTGCATGGTGCGTTTCTTCTTCTGATAAAACTATCGATTATTTGTTCTTGCATATTTGATTAATTATTTTGATGAATGGGACTAAAGAAAGGTCACGGGAATCGTGAGGAGGGATGCACAAGTTGTGGGTGCAATCCAATAGGGTCAAAATCATTGGATTGTGATCCTGAATCTGGTCAGTGCCATTGCAAACCTGGAATCGGTGGTCGATTTTGCAACAAGTGTCTCGACCTCCATTTCGGATTTTCCAACAGTGGGTGTTTGCGTAAGTGAATAATTTCCATACCATTGCGTATTTATATTGCATGCAAACTTATCTAAAAATATAAACAATAATTAAAATTACACAGCTTGTGACTGCCATCCCGACGGATCGGACTCTGCGCTTTGTGACTTAAATACTGGTCAGTGTCACTGTCGTCCCAATGTCAGAGGTTCCAAGTGTTCAGAATGTTCTGTATGTTCTTGTTGTCCCATAAATATCCATGTGAGTTGAATATTATTGTTGACACGTTAATTGCTTTTCAGCCTGGATTTTGGAACATTCAATGTGGAACAGGATGTGTTCGGTGCGATTGTGATCCGGTTGGATCCGCAAGCAGTCATTGCGACTCTGAGACGGGACAATGTTTGTGCAAACCTGGAGTTGGAGGAACCAAGAGATGTGATCGTTGTTTAAATAACTGCTACGGATTCGGTGAAAATGGATGCCGACGTACGCTCTCACGAAATTTGTGTAGTGTTTCAATTCATATGTGCATTTATTTATTCGCGTACGAATCTTGCAGCTTGCGATCCTTGTTTGACCCCCGGACATGTTTGCGATTCTCACTCAGGGCGATGCGAATGTCCAGCAAATGTGGAAGGTGATTTGTGCACAAAATGCACGGTGGGCTATTGGGGAAATCCACGATATGGGTGCAAGGTACATGATCTCCTTCGGCATGGTCTCCTTCGGCGAAGGAATAGTCCTTCGCCGAAGTTAATTCAAGTCCTTCAACTAATGGCTGTTTCACGTGTTTCAGCCCTGTAATTGCAGTCAACAAGGTGCATCAACTCCACAGTGTTCACCAGAGTCGGGAAAGTGTAACTGTGCACCTGGTTTTTCTGGTGATAAATGCGACAAGTGCAAATTTGGATATTTTAACTATCCACAATGCACACCCTGCAGGTTCGTATTAAGAAAACAAGTGGAGGAATATTTTTTCTTCTCCAAATAAGAAATATATTTGTACTCTCTGCAGTTGCGACTCACACGGAACGGATGATCGATTCTGTAACAATGATGGACTCTGCAGCTGTGCTGACAATGGTCAATGTCATTGCAAAGTAGGACATCGATATTCTATTACATACGAGATTACGATTAAATAAGCCCGGTCTTAATTTGTGGACGCTAATCACATCACGACGCAATTTTAATTAAGTACTCAAGCAAGTATATAAAATGCATATTATTTAGGACAACGTAATTGGTGCAAAGTGTGACCGCTGTCGAGATGGCACGTATGGCTTGGAACCCGAAAATCCAGACGGGTGCATGGAGTGCTTCTGTTTTCATCGGACGACCAAATGTTCACATGGATATTTTAAATGGCAACGGGTAAGTAGCCGCGTGTAGAGATGGTCACATACGTTTGAAAATTTTGAGTACAAGTAAATATTTCTAAGATATTTTTCTATGATATAGTCAAGTCAATTATTGTAATGACTATGTTTACTTAAGTACATAATTTTTCATGCATAATTTTTCATCTAGTTTGGATTGTTGAATTTTTTAAATTCACAAAACCTGATGGTCATGCGTTCACCAGGGTCCCCGAATTACCACCATTTTAACCCATTCGCTCATTTTGAAGGTCGGCAGCGATGCTACGTTAACGTTAGTATGCTACGTTGGTTTAAACCCATTCACAATTCTCATACATATTTACATAACTGCCAATTCAAATGTTGAAAGCTTTCTAGCATTTCATTCATGTTTCTGTAAATAACTTCATTGGGAGTTGTCTGTAAAAACGGTAAATATTTATCAATGAATCCAACGCCTAATAAAACACCATGAATTTCACACATGATTCATGGGCATACATTAACATTGTAAAAATAAGGAAGGGGTCTGATGATGCGCTTTATTCATAATTACTACTGTAACACTGATTGTCGCTATGTAATACTTATGTGGGCGTGCTACTGCTATAAATGCTGTATATACGAAACAGAAGAAAAGACATGATCTGTACATTTGTATGTATATATCCATAGACAGGTAGTGTAAATATGATAGTTTGTGAATGGTTGCGGTGGTTAAAAGCAAAGTTGAGAGGATGTGATATACATGTATTTAAATACGTTTATTCTGTACATAAGCTGATTATTCGGTGTAAAAGTTGTTGTAAGCTTATTTATGTTGAGCTTCATGCCGCATTTCCGGTTTTAAGCAACACACTGACGCCGCATTTGATATTGTTTAGTTGGCGTTACCGTCCGATCGACATGTGGTCCCGTCCGCGAACAGCGAACACCAGTTGAGACTGGTGAACAACCTGATCATCATTCCGGATCAGGCGAACGACATCATAATTGAGAAGGACATTTCTTTCAGCGCCCCTCTCTACTGGCAGCTCCCGCACATCTTCCTCGGCGACAAGGCAAGCACTTATCAATGCCACTCCACAATAATTGGTATCAACCAGAGAATAAAAATTTCATGACTGTTACGCACTTGATAACTGAAACAGGTTTTATCGTACAATGGGTTCATTCGATTTAAAACGGATTCGATTGGTGGGACGACGGTGTTTCCTTCGGGAGTTTTGGCATCATATCCATTAGTTCAGATTCAGAGGTATCCCTCCCTGATACTGGAACACTACTCAACCGCATTTGACCCAGTGGGATATCATGAAGTTCGGTAAGACGGTTGAATTATTGTTTATCCGCACAAAAACTGGTCTCTCTATTGAAAAAAAACTACTTGTAAAGATTGCATGAGGACGAATGGAGGTTAAAAAATGGACCTTATAATGGAGTGGTGACAAAAGAAACGATGATGGTGGCCCTGCAGAATCTTCACCACATTTTGCTACGGGGGACACATGGTCCTGAGGTTACAAATGCAACGTACGTTTACAGTTCTCAATAACGAAAAAAATTAAAATGCAAAAATTATGGTGACAAAGGCACTATATTCGCCTTATAATTAATTAATTAATCTACTTTAATTAATTAGATTGTTCAATGTGTCGCTGGATATCGCAATACCTTCGACGAACATTGATAAGTCCATGGCTCATGGAATTGAAGTTTGTGAATGCCCTCCACAGTACAACTCAACGTCATGCCAAAACCCAAGGTAGGAATCTCTTGTACATATTTAAATAATTCTGCATAAGTCAGATAGAGCTGTATGTATATCTAAAAGATCATAAAACCGTCATTAGCACAATAATGACAACAAAAAGTAGAGTCGTGAAAGCGCCGTATGGTTTATTAAGTAAGCGTGAATCAATTAAAATGACAAAAGCAAGTAAAATTTAGTTTCCGATTTCAAGTAGAAATTGAAAATTCAGGTCTTAAAATGCTAAAATTTCAAAATACGTAGCTCAGATACTTCTTATCTTGCATACGTTCTTTAGAATCATTGGTACCGTTTCGTTCGCATGGTATAGTTTGTCTAATTTCACGGCGTGTACTTTCTTGGTTCGATCATATTTATGTGCTTGCATTCAGAGCAGCCAATTTCTTGTTCTTTTATTCGTTCAGTGTCCGATTTTCCTGATTTTTCTAACGATTTCAGACGAACCTATGTATATATAACTTTACCTTTATCACAGGATAGGTTTCTACCGGTGGTATAAACGGTAAGTTTAGTGTAAAATCATTTCGTCAATCCCAATGAATTATGAGGTGCATGTCTGAACGAGTAAGTTTTGACGATAAAACAAAATTTTGCAGGGACTACATAACCAGCACAGTAATTATTGACTTGGTTGGCGAAGCCAGACCGTGCGAGTGCAATGGGCGTTCAAACTCATGTGACACCGAAACTGGGTTTTGTCAGGTGTCCAATAACTTTTTAAATAATGGCTTGAATTGCGTTGAATGAAGGCAAATAAAACTTTTATCTCTTTTAGAACTGCTTGGAAAATACCGGTGGTCGACATTGTGAACAATGCGCGGTAAGAAAGTGCTCGCATTTACCAGGTTCGCAAGTTCATTTGACTTCCTTCTGCATTGAATTAACCTTATTTTCAGGTTGGCTATTACGGGGACCCATTCGAAAAGTGTTTGCCGTGTCCATGTCCGTCAATCTGGAACACTCACGCCGAGTCGTGTTACCTACCACCAAATTCCGAGCAGTTTGAGTGCTTTTGTCGTCCTGGGTATACGGGGGCTGCATGCGACAGATGTGCCTACGGGTATTACGGAAGACCTTGGGAAACTGGGGGCCACTGCAGTGCTTGCAAACATTGCAATGAGCATGGCAGTGTGAGTGACGAGTGTCATGAAGTCACTGGACAGGTATGTGCATAGGTTGGGAATTTTCTAGTTTCTCATATTCACATTCATTAATCAATGGTAACACATAATCAATAATTCCTCTTACATTTAAACTGTCCAATTTATTGCAGTGTAACTGTAAACCTGGAATTAGTGGACAAACGTGCAGTAAATGTGCGGATCGTCATGTAATAGTAGGGAAAACTTGCACCTCCTGTGACGACCAATGTACCGGAACGTTGCTGAATGAGCTACGCGATATGGCTTTGGAAATCAAAGATGTTCACATTGATCAACAGGCGGTATCTGCAATCAAACATTTGATGAATTTCGACAATACAACAAAGAACTTGGAAGCGCAAGTCAACAACAAAATAATCACGAGAGCTTTCATTGACGACATTCCCACACACGAAACTCTATCTGGACTGATGCTTGGTCGAGCCAGGGAGCAGGAGGAACAGTGCGGAAGCTCGCTGGTTGATGCTCATGCAACCAAACGGAAGGGACAGGATCTTGTCAATCGGGTTGAACTGATAAGAAATGAAATTCGCAGACAGATTCACAATTATGATCAAGGAAAGGAGCAGGGTCCGGATTTATCTGTCGTTGAGGAGGAAATCGCCACCATGGTCAAAACTTTAAACGCCACAAGTGACATTATTGAAGAAATATCGGACATGGCTGAGGATGAGCTTGAAGCTGTCAATGATTTGTTTGACCTTGTCCTCGTTAAAGTTTTCAACTCTACGGCCGTATCACTCCTTCAAAGTAAAATCATGAAGGTCCGGGAAAATCTGGAAGACTTGATGCAGTACATCAGCCAAGCCGACAAAAATTCTGATGAGGTTTGCCCTTTATAGAATTAGTATGCAGTGCAAATAAAATGTTCTTATGATTCAATTGTATTCTTTGCAATGTGCAGGCAGCTCGTATGGTGATCCTGGCAAGAGAATTTTTGGACACAGGGCGAGTCAATGTTGACACCATTGACGATTTAACTATTGAAATGGAAATGACATCCGTCATGACCACAACCACGCTCAGCGACACTGGCTACACAAAAACAGAACTTGAGCAAGTTTTATTGGTAAGCAGCACAGGGCAACTACAGTTAGCAGTTTGGCTAAAAATGTATAACATGATTTTTAATGACTATGGTGTTGCAATAATTGTTTGCCTATGCAGATGCTGGAAGATATCATGCGAGATTTTAGAAACCGGACCAAAGAGTTGGAAATTTTAGAAACCAATTTGTTCGAACTAGTTCCATTATTTCGTGTGACATATGCTCAACCTGCATTTGTAATTCAGCCAAATTATAAATTTCTTTTGCTTTTACGAATTATTATGAATTATTTGATGGTGCTTAGGACCATGTGAAAGGATTGGAGCAACAAGCTCAGTATGTGGAAGGGCTCCTCGTGCAAATAAATGGTTCCGAACCATTTGAAGCTGTGACTGCATATCAGAGAATCAAAGAAGGCTTTGACAAGGCATTTGAACTAGCACGTGACGCAGAAAAATATGGATCTGATGCAACGGAAAAGGTTAGCGTTTTTTTTCTGAAAACTACGCGAGGATTAGGATAATAACTGAGAATAATGTCTCAAATTTTGCAGGTGGAGGAAGTGCTGTCTCAGCATTCGGGAGAAGTTCTGCTTCGGTATTCTGCCGATATGATAAAAGAAGGCCTGGTGCTGTCTGGAATTGTAGAAAATTCAATGCGGAGCAATATTTCAGCGTGCAACTCTGCAATAGATTCTTTGAAATGGAGAATGAAGATAGCAAACGATAGCTTCAACAATATGAAGATAAAAATTGACGAGCTTGGAGAAAGTAGGTTTAGGAACAATTTTAGGTCCATATGCATATGAATCCATATTTACTAATGTGCCTCTTCAAGGTATGAATCTTGACAACCTTATCGAACGAATCGATGAGGTGTCCGACACTGTCAACGAGGTTGGAATGACAGTGATGGAAATGGAAGACAAAATCCAACGGGAACTAAAGTCCAGAATTAACTCAATCGGGATTGGAATTGGAGACGATGACACTAGTTCTCTCGACGCTGTTGACGCTTCTGTTCAAGGTATAAAGTACACAAAGTAATTATTATTGTATTCTTTTTTGACATCCATCAGTTTTAACTCTTATTTTTGCCATGTATTTATTAGTAAATAATGCGCAACATAGGCTCCGCGAGCTGAAATCGGAAACCAGTCGAGCTGAAAGGCTCCAGAAGGACTCAGAACAGCGGATGGAGACCACCGACGACAAGATGAAGTATTTGAAGGCGCTGATCAAACAGGCGAGACATAAAGCCAACACGGTCGGCGTCTCCATTGGACCTGATGAAACTGGAACCTGTTTCAGGCTGTACAAATGGCCTGTCGTCAACGGCGCAACCTCCATCAAATTCAACTTTGCTCCAACAAAGTTCTCCGACTCGCTGTTGTTTTACTGGCCCAGTTCCATCACTGTATGTACATTACAATGAGATCATCTCTAATTACAAAAATAGTACACCCGTGTAAAAGAGTAAAATGAATGATTAGAGCGACTTCATCTCCATTGAAATGGTGAGTGGTCAAATCAAAGCTAGCTGGGACTTGGGATCCGGACTCAGAACCTTGATTCATCCAAAGAAACTTTCCGATGTATCGGAAAATTCAATCGATCCCGACTTTTGGGTGCAAATTCAATTGGAACGGTAATATATTTATTATGCTGTGAGTATTCAGCATATGCATGCAAATTTGACACTTAAAATAATTTTGCAGCGTTGGATCATTTGTGACGTTGGATGTGAAACCAATCACAATATCCGATAATTCAGTCTTCATGGTTCCACTCCCCTCAGCAACATCCATCCTCTATTCCAATGATGATGAAGAAATGACCCTGATGACGCTAGCTGCTGACGACCTGATCCACATTGGAGGAATGTCAAAACTCATGAGGGAGGGGCTGGTGACGAATGGGTTGAGTGGGTGCATTCACAATTTGCGAGTGAACCATCAGTCAATCGGTCTCTGGAATTTTGTGGGCAACGAAGGATGCGCACCTTGCGTGGAATGTCCGAACATAGATTCCGAACCGAATTCTGGGGATTTGGAGTATTACTTTGATGGGCGGGGTTACTCAGTGGTCAATAGGGTCCAATCCAAAACATTCAATTCAAAGTTCTTCGACGTCAGCGTAGAGTTCCGCACGCTGTCCGAAAATGGTCTCATTTTTCTCACGGTGAATAAAACGATAGGACAAATGATATCTCTGGAGATTACTGGGGGAAAGCTGCTGCTTCAAGTCTGGCACAAATGGAATGACCAAGCAAGCTCTTTGAGGATTGAGTCTGGGCCGAACGCCACCTACAACGACGGGAATTGGGTGAACGTCCGAGCCGTGTGGGTTTATCAGAAGGGGATGCAAATTGGTAACATTTAAAGATAATAGTGCTGATTTTCTACAGTTTTTTCTTAACTTTTGGTATCTCAGGTAAATTGATGATTGGAGATAAGGATTTTACACAACAGAAACAGTCCCCACCTCTCTCACTGGATTTATTGAGTGCGGTGTATCACATTGGAGGGTAATAATTGGGAAAGGGTCATAATTTTGCATTCGCTCAACGAGAACAAATTGTGAAATTAATAATAACTCATCCATCCGTTACAGCGTTTCTCCCATATTTGACCCAACCAAATGGAAAGAGTTGGTCAGCGTCGTGCCATACGTGGGATGCATGAAGAACATTCTAATCAATAATTCTCCTTACGACCCATTGTCTGGAACATACTACGGCGTGGAGTCTCCTTGTGGCGGAAAGGTGACATAATAATTATCAATTATTCTTGAATATCTATATAACTATACTAGTAATATTTAAATTGGTATACGTATTTAATTTTTTAGACCGTCTATAAAACTAGTTTTGAGGGTGATGGGTTTGCAGAATTTGGCTCAAAACCTATGGCCAAAAGTTTCAAGTTTGGGTTCAGTTTCAAAACCTTATCCCCAACTGGTCTTCTTGTGTTGTCCACAAATGCTAAGTTGGTACGCACGTTTACTTATCGTATATACACAAGAACTTTTTTAAAATTAGAGCATTTCACCTTGGACTATGCCAAATACATTTTTGTACAGAATTCTGTGGACGACAACTACTACGCCGTGTATCTGGAAAATGGACAAGCCAAAGTACAAATCGGGACTCCTCATGGTCTTGTTTTCTTAGTTGCGAATGGAACCCGTTACGATGATGGGAAATATCATGCCATCCGATTCGTGAAGAAAAATAGTAGAAAAGGTTTGCATGTAGTATTGGGCTGAGACATTGGCTACGAACACACAAATAAATAACAAAAACCTGATTTTATTCCAGTAATTTTGTTCATGGACGATGAGGAAATCATGGAGTCGCGTCTTCCAAAATCAGTTTCGGTTGTAACAGCTCCAACAAATCGAGGATTATTTTTAGGAGGAACACATCCCGAAATCCGAACACAGTATCAGGACTCCGCTCTCACCGTCACTCGAGGATTTACAGGATGCATCCAGAACTTTTATTTTGATAATCAGTTAGTGCAGTTTTGAGATTTTAAATTAATCACCGGTGGTACTACGATTCATTATTTGTCAATTTTGTTGTTTCTTTCAGAATTATGAGCTTCAGTTTCCCTATTTCCCACCGAAATCATAATTTGGGCCAGTGTCCTAAACACCACGAGTATGACCCTGTATCCATTCCGACTCATTTCCTATACCCAAACACAATGGGTAGCCTTGGAATGAACAAGTATGATACTGTTTCTCGAGTGGTTGAGGACTCGTGTTCTGCACACGAACATGTAATTGAGCAAGAAGGTACGCATCAATCGTCCATTGTTGCTTCTGTTTCAATGTGTCTGAAATGTTGAAATTTATTTTATTTGCAGACCCCATCAGTTCACTCAAGTTTGGAGATTCGCCAAATTCATATGTCACTTTGAACCTTGAGGGCAACAAGCACTTGAAACAACGATTCAATTTGACTTTTAGTTTCCGAACCTATTACCCCAACGGATTGCTATTCCAAGGATTGGTTAGTCTTTTACTAGTGCCGTAAGTTTTGTTACGACGAATGATATTGACTGATTTCTCCCTGATTTTGTGGGGCAAACAGAGGAAAAAAGGGAACGGACAATGTCTTATGGCTTATTTGAAAGATGGTCAAATCATTGTAAAACTTTACGGAGAAAGGTCTCAGGATTTGGTTTCTCCGTTAACTAGTCTTAATGATGGAATATGGCATCAGGTATGAAGCAGCGTACCTCAACTTTAACCAGATACAATGTTTTTTAGACATACCATTTTGTTTTCTGTCGCCCAGATCTCATTAGTGAAAGCAGACGATAAAATGTTTCTGTACGTGGATAACAGAGATGCATCACAGACACAAGTTCCCAAAATTAAAGCAATTTCCAAACTTAACTTGGGGGGCATACCTCCACACGGACACGATTGCTTGGAAAATTCAGTAAGTGCAACAACTCAGCATTATATATACATAAATATCTATACGGGTCTACACACATGCAGATGATGAGATAATATGTGGAAATATATTTAACTCGATTAGATTCACAAACCCGAGCAGTTCAAGGGATGCCTGCAAAATTTTATCATAAATTCCCATGTCATCAATTTTGAAACCAACCATGCGACGCTGAACGAAGTGAATCCATGTTTCCGATCCGTCGAGAGGGGAACGTTTTTTAGAGCTGGAAGTTTTGCCATATACAGTACGTCCACATAAATACGTTCTAAATAGTTTTTCGCTTTTCGAAATTTATTAATTTTGCATGTGCTATAAAATGTTTGCAAAACTTGTAGCGTACAATTTGACTCTGGGGACCACGCTAGAATTAGAAATGGAGTACCGCAGTGACTCCAAGAATGGGTTGCTGCTCTCCTTCATTCCCAACAAGTCTTCAAGATTCCCAACATTTTCCATCTTCCTGGATAATGGCAACGTATGCAAATATAAGAATTTAAAGAATTCCATCGTCATATAGCGCATCAAAATTATAGTAAAATGACAAATTTGAATTGAATCAACAGGTTATCGCAAGAGAATCAACGTCTGTGGATGATTTTTATGAAGCTACCACAGATTTTGAAGAAGGGGACAGTGTTTGCGATGGTCGGTGGCATTCACTTCAAGCAAACTATGAAAAAGGATCAATTACCCTTCGGGTGGATGGGAAAAGTCCCATTTACGCCGTGGCAGAACCCACCAGATCGTCATACAATGGAAATTCGGTAGTTGGGTCCTTGTTCATCGGGGGTGTCGAAGGTAGGCGCATATTTATTCACTCGCATGTGTATGACAATTACAGATACAGAGAATTTCCCATTGTTATTTTAGAAGGTGCTAGTCGTTTAACAAAGAAGCTCCAATTTCATGGCTGCATCCGTAACATGTCAGTCAACCAAGAACGGAAAGACTGGACGGACATGCCGTTCTTATCTCAGGTCTACTTGAACTCTTGTCCAGCTGCATGATGCTAATTACTTAATATTAGGCTTTTATTCATTCGTTCCTCTCACGAACCACTCTCATGCAATTATTTGTTAGTTTAAGCGTGCGCCTATTTATTGGATGTGTGAAAAAGCAGTGATCAGAATAAATGACACGGTTTATTGTGTGAACTTGAACTTTCTAAATTACATTTATAATACATACACATTGTATAATTTACCAGTGCATAAGAAATCAAATGAAGACTAGTCTTGTTGCACAAGATTTCATTGCTCACTTCTGTCACTCGCCGTTGGCGAAATCATTGACTAGAAATAAACAGTTTCCGTAAAGTTGTGGTGAGCTTTCTAAAATCACAGGAAAAGTTTTAAAGTCAAACAACTTACCCCATCCGAGTCTGGAACGAAATTGTACGTTTGCGCCTGATAAATTAAGTTGTTTTCATCCGACGAGGTCCCGTCGTAGTCTCGCAGCCTTGCATTGAGACAGGCCCACATCATATTGGGCGGAAGACCTGCCCTCACCGCACCGAAACGCTTCTTGGTCGTGTAGAAGGACATCATTTTAATTTCTTCGGTTTTTTCGAAATCCCGCCCATTGTAAAACTCGATTGCCGGTCGGATGTAGACCAACCTCTTATCCTTCCTGGTGAGCAGGTGCACATATTTTCTGGCTGAATGGGCAAAATGTAACAAATTTAAGAATAAGTTTGGTTCATGCTCTATCCAATTAATTTTAGAATTAACTAGATTTAAAAAACGCGTAAAATTACCTGCAATGTAGTTGAGTTGCTCCCAAAAGGCCATCTTTGATGGGACCTGCGATGGGACCAGATAGATTTTGAATGGAATGATTGTAATAAAATGAAATGCCTGATATACCTTCGGCCAGTGGTTTGTGGGCATTGAATTCTGCCAAATGCATTTGATTCCGGAACATTCGTACCCAATGTTAAATAGCGGAATTCCATTCTGATCGCCAATATCGCTGGCCACTGAGGGACACAGATAACACAGGTTATGTAAACAATTAACTAGAAGACAAATCAACGTGTAAGTATTCGTAACGCATATTTATGATTACGAATGTATCTGACTCCTGACGCCCGCAAATGGTTACCTTTAGTTAAAACATGTATATTAGTTGGCATACATTTCGCATTTTGGTTGTATATAAAATGTTGCTTTTTAATTGTTTGCTTTTTAAGACCAGGGAGAATCTCAGAATAGCCTCCGTCCATTATCAGGTGGTCATCTCGGGGATTGATCAATGGAGGAAAGACCTGCAGTGTAAAATTCAAGCTGGTTATATTTACGGAACTTCCTTGGTACTACAAGGTGCTATATGTCCGAGATAATATTCGTAGTTGTCGCTAATTTTACCATAGTGAGAGTCATTGAAGCCCTGACATAGAACCACATTTGTCCATGCTTATGAGCTCGAGAGTGAAGCCCCGAAATATCTGGTCGGTCCAAGACACAATAACAATGTTAAATTATTTTATTTTGGTAAAATGTAACTTCGAAATGTAACTTCGAAACTTTCAGATCACTCAGAATATTAGGTCCAAATAATTTATTGCAATAATTCTTACCCGTAGTCACAGGGAAAAAAGGGACCCACAAATCTTCCATCCTCACGTCGTTAAAAGTACTTTGGACAAACTCGTCGAAGCACTGACCGGTGTACATGGATGAGTAGGGAACGGTCATGTCGCTGGAGTATCTGGACGGGGTTTCAAGCTCCTTGAGCAATTTTCGAACACGGTCTTCTACCTTATCCAAATCCTGATGAAGCGCCCAAACACCTCCGACAAAGGCACCGATGCTCACCCCACAAATATAGTCGATGGGGAGGTCCAACTGCATGATAAATTCTAGAATTCCAAGATGAGCCTGGAACGGAGAGTAATGGCGACTCAATGGTGCGGTTGTTACATACATAAAAGTAAGAATATTACCGCTCCCTTAGCTCCCCCACCCCCAAGAACAATCCCCACCATGGAATTCGACAACCAACGACCAACTCTTGCCACGTCACTGTATTTATCGACTCCAATCTTTTGTTTGTAATCTTCAAACTCGTCAAAGTAGCATTTTTTCAAGCTCTTCATGAATTGGAAGGCGCATATGGGGAATCTCACATGGTGATGCATATCTAACCAGGGTCGCCGATTCAGCCACAAACAGGATGCATACGGCAAGGGGCAGCTCAACCTGGGGGTGGACTCTGGGTGTTTCGGGTACAACTCGAATTGGGATGGATGCAACATTACGAAACTGGGGAACAGGAATAAATGAATCTAATTTTTGACCAGCAAATTTTATTTACTTATGATCTGCATATTTATGTTATAACCTTCGAATAGCCTTCCACCCTTCCACTTCGACCATTTTCTCCAGCCTTGTGGGTTTGATTGGGCATTCGTTTGTCCCCAAAAGTTGAATAAAGTCAGCTTCTCGAGCGAGGAAGGTGTTCCAAAGATCCACTTCGTCTGCATTCCCTAGCATGACGATTATTCCGAGATTGTCCAGCTCAAATTTGAATTCCAAGTAGGTAATCCATCTAATAGCAGTAAGGGCTGTATTTAAACCAACGTGCAGCCAACTTATCAATTAATTTGATAAACTCACTCTGTCAACTTGTTCACATTTTCTTGGCCTGGGTCAGTTCCAAACTTTTCTCTGAAGCAATCGTATGTCACAAATTTCGCAGGTTGGCTATAGTGTCGACCTGTAATTAATTTGTGCGAAAAACTTCATTGCGAGTCATTCTACCCAAATTTTGAGGAACTCCAACTGCATAAGCTTATGTATGTATTTACATATCTCGTGACAGTAAAATTCTCCTGGGATGTCGTTTCGTAGGGGAAAGACAGCCAGGATTGAGCAGGGAGGTTTCCTTTCAAGCGCGTATTTGGGGCAGGTGAAAGTGTCGAGACCATATCGCTCCTTCGGAGGATTAATCTCGTCGTAGTGGTAATCCTTATGAATTCTGATGGACAAGTAGTTGGTCATCGTAGCAATGACGCCCGGGAATCGCTGATACAACAGCGTGATCAGATCGGAAGGCAGCGTGACGATTTCGGAATATCTGTCAGCGATCACCGTCTTTTGCATCTCCACGCTGTTTATTGCACACTCCACGAAGCCGAACCAGTCGCCAGCCTCGTAGTGTCCAAACTTACTTCTTGCTTCCAGTTCCGTTCTCTTTTCGTACATATAATGCCCGTGAACCTATTTGGAGGAAGCATTGTTATTAATCAGAGTTGCAGCATATATAATTCTACGAATAGAAACACGGTATGCAAACCTTGTACCGTAGTCTTCCACTCAGCACTAAAAATGTTGAAATTTTTGCATCCCCTTTGCGATACACCTGTCAAAATAGAAAATAGGATCTATATACATACAATTTTTAGTGATGCTAATCTGTATATGTAATGTCCGAAGTAGCCAATTTTGTCGATTTTTTTAACAACTCACAATTTTTCCTGGTGCAATAAATGACCATTGCAGACAATAATCAATTTTCTTTGCAAAGTTGGACCATCGCTTCAGCATACTTCTTAGCAGAGGCATCATGGTTAATGGATCTTTATTCCAATGTTTCTTCACAATTCGGCCCGGCACTTCAAATACTATGGCCTTTTGACCTTTTGGGACCATTGCTGAATAATAATTACTGGAATTAGTGATTAAGCCCCATGCCCCCAGGACGGATCCCTCGGAGAGGAAGAAAAGTGGTGAGAAGTGATCCTCAAACTTGATAAACTTTTTATTTCGCTCCTTGTCCAACTCTTTGCTCACAGTTGTGGATCTACTTTCAAGCGTGCTGTAGTTTATCATGGCCATTTCCCCCTTGTAAACGTAGATGAGGCTATTGAGCCTAACTCCCACCGTTGTAATGGTACACCCGGATTCTACGGCTCCAATGTTGCAATGTGGAATGTCTTCGTCCGCCAAGACCAATCCGTACTTTGATAACCCTTCCCTCGCTTCCTGAATCATTCTTGAAACATTTTTTGCATCCCCCATGGCATCGTCGAACGGCTCGTATTGGGAGACACCCAATGAACCAACCATGATTTGCTTGTTGAGCCCCGCGACTTCAGCAACCCCTTCAAAGTACAAACCTCGAATCTTTGTGAGCATCCGACGCGCAAATGGGATCAAGTCATGAGGAGCATCTTCCCAGAAATAGCGCTTGATTGCTTCATGAGAGATTTTGACCACTACGCTGTCCTCGTCTGCACAAACTTGCACAGGTTTCGGGTCTGCCATAAAAATATGCAGGGAACTCGCTAAGTGAAAACATCTTTTAACTGGGAATGATCATTGAAGTTCTAACCCACACGAACTCCCAAGACGTAGTTGGTGATAACAAACATGGAGAGAACATGTTGATTTTCTGTGACCGTATTGATCTGAACATGTCCAAATTCTTCATCTTGGATTGAGACGGTAAGCGATCCAGAAAGGACGACGAGGAAATAATTGTCCACTTCACCAAAATCACAGGCCAATTCCCCTTCTTTCAAGTTGACTACTTCACATGATCTCCAGATTTTAATGCAATACTTGGCCGGGAAGTATCCAAGTATTCGAAGGGTTTTTCTTACCACATAGAAACCTAAGGGAAAGGTTTCACCCTCAACGGGAGCCATGGGATCATCGTCGACAATTGGGGTGAGTGGAGGTTGGAATGGAACATCGGCATAAAACTGAGTAGCTTTGTTGACGTTGTTCCCAGTGCTTCCTTTTCGAACTTGAGTTCGAAGTGGAATGTTGTAGCCGAGATGTTTCAAAAATAGTCTTGTTTCTTCGTCAATTTCCTTTACGGTGTTTTTCGGAAGCCACCGATAATACCCCAACCTGGAAAGTGAGACGAATTGAAAACCCAAACTACGTATTCATGTATTTATGCGCTATTGATTCAGTACTCTCGCAAAGGGCTTGAACCATAAGGCCTCCTCCGCTGACCCAGTACAGTTTCCGCAATATAGATACAGGTTCCGTAAAATATACACTTTCTTACAATCCACCAGCACCACAAGACCCCTGCGTGTTCCCAATGAGGGAGAACTTTATAGAAGCGACTCACTGCTAACTGCAAAACACTGTCGATGCGCATCCTTCAATATTCTAGCAATATAAATAGAATTCTGTACTTCTTCTGTATATGCTTGTATCGTTTTGGCGAGGACTCCTGGACCATAATTTCTACAAAGTAAATGATCACCACGATTGCCTGACAGGTGCTTTTCTGTGGGAGTAACCAAGGTCCTGAATTTTACTTTTTTTTTTCTGAATTTTACTTATTTATTACTATTACTAATCACTTGTAGTCAGTAAGTACAAAGTACAAATAGGATGATATAAACACAAATTCACAATATAATTAAAATTCATAGTACTTTTAAATGTAATAAATTTCGTTAAGTTTATCCCCTTTTGGGAGGGTTCCTAAGATTGACGCTACGTTGCCACGTTGTACTGTGATACTGAGTCGTTGGATGAGGAAAGTTGTAGAGCGTCGTTCTCCAGTCGCGGTGGTTATCCTTTGTCCAATGTCTTTAATGAAAGTTAACCCTTCCTGTCCCCATACTCCCGACGTCTCAATTGCAACGGGCACAAAAATGAATCGGTCCTGGAGAAAAGCGTAATATTTTTTCTTCTTATCTTCTGCTTTGGTGGCCGCAGCGCCTTGGTGGCGAACTGTGTTAGGGAGATGACTAGGGGCAAAAGTGTCCACACAGGTGAAATCCCACAGCAGGGATCTTCCTCTTGCCCAAGGGACGAGTGTCAAACCGTCTGGGTGTTTCCCATCTTGATTGGAGCATCCGGTCGGCTCAAGAATGCAGGGTACTTCGGCGGAACGGAGCGCCCTTGCAATCACATCGTTGGCCGCGCCGTGGCGGGACCACCTACCAGCACATCGTCGGCAACTGAGCCCGTGATAGCCACGCGAAGTGACTTGTGCTCCGCAGGGGCAAATGTGGGGTTGACAAATATCACAGCCAAGTCGAAGGGAAATGGCGATACGGAATGATTCGTCAGGGAGATGGGTCCCAAGTTGAGGTGACGGGAGGGCGTTGAGCCAGGCGCCAGCATATTTGTCACGTAGTGCATGATGGCGGGCGGTGTCTTCAGGAGTTGTAGCGTCCATCAAGAGCTGGGACAAAATAATGTCCAGAATTGGACGCTCCCATGCAGTCTGGACTCCTCTGACGGTTTCGGGAGGCAGTTCCGCGGGTCCAAAGGCAGACCATTCATCCTCTCCTTCTTGCATGGCGATATCAGTACCGTGTAAATAAACCGGAAGGAGACGTTCCATGTGGGGTAAGACGCTGTGGACGGACGCAAGAAAGCATGGTATCGCCACATCCAAAGCATGTCTAACTCCCAGGCCGCCTTCCTTCACGGGTAAAGATGACTGAATCCAAGCAGCATCAGAAAGAGAACAATTTAGGATCGCCTCCAGCGTGTTCTTTAGAATAGCATCATAATTACTGAGAGCGTTTAACTTTCTCCATGTAGGGGCGCAGCGGAGAAAATAAATGAGACGAGGAATGGAAATCGAAGCGCGAAGGAGAAAGAAAGCTGAGTGAGAGGAAATCTTGAAGAGACGTTCGGAGAAAGCTCTCAACTGTTCAGTTTTGGTTGTCAAAATCATCTCCATCGACTCGTTGGTGAGAGGGGCGCCGAGAAGCATTGCGGTGTCGGGGGACATCAATTGAATACCGGGAGCAGCTTGCTGGAATTGGAGGAATATGTCGTTAGCGGTGTCGCAGTCCGCCCCCAAAATCCCCAATTCACATTTGTCACGATTCAAGTGAAGTCCGACTTCTTCACCCATCCTTGCAATGGTCTCAAGTGCTATCAACACTTTCTCCGGAGTGTCTGCAAAAGTTCCATCGTCGAGATACCACACGTTAAGCTCAGTGTCTAAAGCTGCGATGATGGGGTGAATCACGAGAGAAAAGAGGGAGGGGCCCAATGGATCTCCTTGATGGCAGCCTAGCAGAGACGGAAGTGGTATGGTGCCATAGAAGAGTGAAGACGGGTTGGCGTAACACTGAGATATAAATGGAAAAATTGAGGGAAAATGATCCCGAACAGCGCGGAGAAGAGTGTCCCGACGTATCTCGTTGAACGCGTTCCTGAAGTCAATTTTCAAGAAAGCTTTAGGGGTGTGATGGGTGTGGTTATAGTAGACCCGAGCTGTGTGTGCGCCAATTTCTGCACCGTTTTTGATGCCCACTCCTAATTGATGTGGAGAAAAGTGGTTAATCAGTTGAGGGGTGATCCGAGACAGAACTACTTTGGCTGCAAGGCGACGCCACGAATTACCAACGGCAATGGGTCTAATTCCCCCTGACTTCTTCTTTAACGCCGCGAGCGACGCCCCGTAGAACAATGGGCAGATATTTTGAGGGATTCCACCGTTGAGAATCAAGTTGAGGAAGGCACAGATGGCTTCTTTGAGGTCATCACCATTTCCTTGACTGCATAGGTCCTTCAGAATCTGAGGCCGCATTCCGTCAAGACCACCTGCCGATCCTGGAGGGAAAGTTGAGATAGCTTTCAGCACCTCGTCCTCAAGTACTGGCATTACTAAAAGATCCTCTGGTGGTGACGGGAAATTGGTTGGTTGTGGGTGAGGTGGGTGTTTAGTGAGCAAGGCAGATAGAGTAATGTCATCATTGGGGGCAATGGTGTCATCGGAACATGCAAGACGAATTGCTCCGCGAATATCGCCATCCGCAAGTTTGGCCTCCACTTTCTTTGCGGTTGCATCATTTGTCGATTTAGTCGCTGATGGCCGAGGCGGACGCAATTGTGGGATGAAGAAATTGGAGTCCCATTCAGCAGTACGATTCTTGACCCAAGTGGTCAAATTCTTGACTTTGTCGGCTTTCTCGGGGACGGCAAGTGTGGCATATGTAAATAGGAGAAGCTTTCTCCAACTATCTTCCTCACCAGACTCGACAACCTCCTTTAAAAGTTTGGTAAGGCAGTTGGCGACAGCCATCCTAGCACCTCGAGGTACCCTCCGCAAAGTGGGTGTGGTCGTCTTGAGGCCGGCAAGGATGTCACCTAAATTCATTCCAGCTTGTTGCTGGGGTTCTGGCGTCGGCGCATCTTTCCACTGGATGCCCTCATATAAGTTGTGAGAATTGCCCCTCGAGCCTATGCGACGTGTTTTAATGCTGGGAAATGCAGATTTAATAAATTTCCCCAAGGTGGCTTGAGTAACTCCTGGATTTCCGGACTCGATTATAAATGTGGAATATTGAGCAAATATTTCGGTCTTGCTGATTTGTATTTTTGTTTGTGTATTGGGGTCGACAGAAACTAGGGATTGCTGTATCCACTGCTTTGCTGCTGCTGCTATTTCTTTCTTACTTAACCCAGACGTTGTAAGATGACAAGATGAAGTGGGTATGAATTGTGTTTGTGTGAGGAGAGTGACGCATCCTGGGCAAAACCAATCTTCATCTGGAACGACAATTAGTGCAACACATTTCAGATGATACCACTTTGAGCATTGGTCGCATAGTATCCAGTGATCTCCTGTAACGGTACTTGCTCCCGGACATGTTGGAATCGGGCAGTGGTCAGTTTCGATCTCTTGGTCGATTATTTCTTCTCGATTGGCTTCATCATCGTCCTCGTCATTTACTCCAGAAAAATTGGGATGGATAGCAGTTCGAGTTGTAGGGTTGTGATAATTTAGGTTCGACATTGACCTCAATTTTTTGTGTCTTTCGTCATCGCCCCCGCTATCGGTGGTGTATGGACTTTTTAGTTCAAGCTTTATTTGATTGTTTCTAATAAAAATAAATGTAAATAGCTGTAAAAAATTTTACTTAGTTACGTGTCTATATAAGGTTAACTCATTTGATGGTAAATTTTGTGACCGAGAGCTTGGGACGAGTTTGGGATTATTTTGGGGGAAAAATTTGTTGTTACGTGAAGTTAAGGGAATTTTAAGGGAAAGTAGGGAAAGTAGTTAAGGGAAAGTAAATTTATAAAATAATGATGAAGATCAAGGCCGGTGGTGGTCAAAATTTTGACAACACGACTTTATACAGATGCATAACAATTACACCGTACATCATAATTAGCAAATGACAAACATAAATATCACAACAATTACACTGTTCATATGAATTTAGGATGGAATTAATCAGTTCCAAATCAGCTTCGGCTGATCGGGAGGAATCTCGAACTCGTCGTCGCCATTTGTTTGAACATCGTCTTCGCCACCTTTACTTTTGGTTGTGGTGGCATAACCTGCTACATAATTATTTGAGGAGAAATGACGGCTGCAAACGCCAAACTTGTCAAGTTTAAGTGATGACGTCGTCCCAATAGCTTGAGAAATCCAAATACTCCGAAGAAGTGCATGTTTTGCATTTGGAAATGAGTGAACTTTGTGAGAGGGCTTTCCTTTTCTGTCTGGACAGTTCGAAATTGCACAGTTTCTCCCCATTATGCTAAAAATGACATCAAATTTGCTCCACGATCGTTAATTTTATCCACCACCGGCCTTGATCTTCATCATTATTTTATAAATTTACATTAAAATTCCCTTACCTTCACGTAACAACAAATTTTTCCCCCAAAATAATCCCAAACTCGTCCCAAGCTCTCGGTCACAAAATTTACCATCAAATGAGTTAACCTTATGTAGACACGTAACTAAGTAAAATTCAGGACCTTAGGAGTAACTAAGGAACTAAAATGTGACCCCCAATACTTTACTTCAAAGGGGCCATTCACGGTTGCTTGACAACTTTAGTAATAATTACAAGGTTGCGACAATTGCTTCGACGCCTAAAAAACTTCAATTTTCGAAAACCCTGGTAAATTTTGGAACCAGTGTATGTCGCACAAACAGTTTCTTGTTTTAGGAACGACGACTGATTACTGAAATGTTGCTTGATAAGGATTTGGGCTGGTGCTATCCGGATCGTCCATTGATGATCAATAGGAAGTACTCGTACAAATTGCTCAATATGCACAGCCCGGACAATTTTTCAATCATCGTGGTGGATCAGACTTCCGTGGTGATTCAAGGGCAGATTAAGGAGGCAATGGATCTTTATCTGCACAACATTGCCGGTTGTGCACCGGTTAACGTTGCTTGTCTGAAGGATAGACTTCCTGTACCTGTCAAATTTGAGGATGGGTATGATCATGACTGGGACCTTGCGACATGTCAACAACACCAATAAGAAGCATTGTGCTCATTTTGATGCAAATCGGCCGAGAAATGGCGAAATTATGGCATGGCGACGAAATTTGACGAAAACAAGGAGGTGGCGGCGGGTGTGACCTTGCGACATGTCGATAACACCAATAAGAAGTCTCTGTAGAAGTTTGATGGAAATCGGACGAAAAATGGCGAAGTTATGGCATGGCGACGAAATTTGACGAAAACAAGGTGGTGGCGATGAGTGTGACCTTGCGACATGTTGATAACACCAAAAAGAAGTCTCTGTCGAAGTTTGATGGAAATCGGACGAAAAATGGCGAAGTTATGGCATGGCGACAAAATTTGGCGAAAACAAGGTGGTGGCGATGAGTGTGACCTTGAGACATGTTGATAACACCAAAAACAAGTCTCTGTCGAAGTTTGATGGAAATCGGACGAGAAATGGCGAAATTATGGCATGGCGACGAAATTTGGCGGTGGCGATGAATGTGACCTTGAGACATGTTGATAACACCAAAAACAAGTCTCTGTCGAAGTTTGATGGAAATCGGACGAGAAATGGCGAAATTATGGCATGGCGACGAAATTTGGCGGTGGCGATGAATGTGACGTTGAGACATGTAGATAACACCCAAAAGAAGTCTGTCGAAGTCTTATGCAAATCGCCTGATAAATGGCGAAGTGATGTCATGGCGACAAAGGTTGTCGCGATGCCATGCATTTATTAGGGGGGAGCTGTTAGCCGCCCTAAGAAGGGCGTTTCCAGAGCACACGACGAGGACGTCGCTCCCTCGTGCTCCACGCGGGCGGGCCCCCACTTGCGCCCTGAGGCGCAAGGGGGGTCTACCTCCACCGACCGGGAAAGCCCTGCCCACGTCACCGCCTCTGCAACCGCGTTCCCCTAGGGGGCCCGTCTGACCCTCGCCTTACGAGGTGGGAGCGCACCCGTAAATCGGCCCCCATTAAGGCTTAGAACTCGGGAACCCGGCCGGCCCCAAGGGGAGTGCAAGCTAAAGAGCCCGGTCACCCAAGGGTTGGAGGTAGAGAGCCCCTCTCACTTGCCAAGCGCCACCCGCACTTTTGGCAAGCCCCGCCGGCTCCCTACCCGGTGAGTCTGCTGGGTGGGAGGGAGGAGCATTGGAGGGGGGACCTTCCCGTAAGGCTCTCCCCTTGCAGCGTTGCTCCCCCGGACCACCCCTCCAACGGGAAGAGAGTCGGGGCTGTGGGACAAACCACGGGTGGACCCGACTCCCCAGAGAGGCAGGGCGGTCCAGGGGCGCGGCTACAATGGGGAGCTCACCCAGGGCGCCGTCCGTCCCCCACGAGCGCCTCCCGCAGACTGACAAAAATTTCTGGTGCAGCTCCTTTTATACCCTCTGGAGGGCGGTGAAAGTTCTGCTATAAATAGCACCGGTAAAAGTTCTGCTATAAATAGCACCCAGTCATATGTATGACAGGGTGCTATTAATAGCCTATGTATATTAATAGCACCTGAAATAAGCGGCCTCACATGTTCCGTGTTTACAATTGTTACAAATAATTCATCATTAATAATTAATTGTTTCAACGTTGTTGAGGTTGGGTAAATGTCGATTCTTATAGTTTTTTGGTCGCTGATTTTGAATCTGGGTCAGTTTTTCGATTGCGACATCATGGGAACGGGCACAGGGCCAATTAAGTATGTTAAAATAACACGTAAAATTATAAAGCTGCAAATATAAGGCTGGGTTTGGTAGCAATTTATGAATAAATTAAAAGTTGACCTAAATTCATGTAACTCTTGTCGATCAGAGAGTGAAGCGTTTGGGAACCCATCACTACTGCCACTATGTGATAATTTTTGTAATAATCTACATGCCAACTGCAACTTCGTCTCTTCATAGTCTTCACGATGCTTACTTCGACGATGAAAAAACTTCAATTTTCGAAAACCCTGCTGGTACCTTTTTTTGGAACCAACTGTGCACGTACATTTCGTTCCCACGAATTAATAATTAATTAATCTATAAGGCCATCTTAAAAGGCCTAAAAATAATTTTTAGGCCTTTTAAGATGGCCTTATAGATTTGTCAGGATATCTGTCTGTCCGTCCGTCTGTCTATACGCACGATAATTCTCTTTAAACACAAGCTATCAACTCGAAATTTTATATACTTGATCTTCGGGTCAAAAGTAAGGATGAGTTCGAAGATGGGCATGATCGGCCAACCACTTGGTTGGCCGGTGGGGGTCTTTTCCACCTATATAAATGTGTTGCCATTAGCTACCAGGATGGCATTAATGCCATCTTAAAAGGCCCCGCAAAGTTGCTTGGAGTAGGTTTTTAACCCACGATTAACTGACATCGTTTCTATGGGCGGTGCCCCATAGAAACGTATAGAATGATAGTGTCAAATAATATTTTTTTTTATTATTTAAAAAGTTGATTTATTAACATAAACATTGATAAACTATGAAATACACTTAGGTGGCTTGGGGAGTAGAGGAAAAACCCGATGTTGGTGGGTTGGGAAAACCTTTACTTGATCCGGATAGGCGTCCGAGATCACCATTCGGCCCCTTACATGATTTTTGTAAATAAAACGACCTATCATTTAAAATATAAAATAATTCTTCTAATCCTCGTTGACTGGGAACAGCTCCCATGATTGATGCTGCATTCCCGTGTTGAACTGCCAAACTGATCCGTTGAATGAGAAATGTTGTTGACATTGGTCCAGTGACATCATTCATCCTCCTCCCAACATCTTGGATGAACTTCAACCCTTCCATCCCCCATACTCCTGATGTCTCGACGGCCACCGGAACAAAGATGTAGTTTGTTTTAAGTTCAGAGTAAAGTTTGTGTTTTTTAGTTTCGGCTAATGTGGCTGCAGTGCCAGCTTGTCTAAGTGTGTGTGAGATATAAGAAGGGGCAAAAGTATCTGTGCATGTAAAGTCCCAGATTAGAGAGCGTCCTTATTTATATGGTATTAATGTTAGACCATCCGGTCTTTTGCCATCTATTCTACTACAACCTAGTGGTTCCCTAATGCTTGGTATGTCTGCAGAAATTAAGGCTCTCTTTATAATATCGTTACATTGTGTATGTCGAGAGTGCCTGCCAGCACTTTTTTCACATGAAAGGCCATGTAATCCTAGTTCATCTATTTGTGTACCACAAACACATTTATGGGGGAAGCACAATTTTAAACCTAACCTCAAACCAATTGCAATCCTAAAGGAATTATCGTCTAAAAGTGTGCCTAAATTCCTGGATGGTAGAGCTTGCAACCATGCACCTGACTCTTTTGACCGAGATGCCAAAATCCTAGCAGTATTTATTGGGGAGGTGGAAAGTTCCAGGATACGTGAAGAGACTTGATTGAAAATTGGAATTTCCCAAGATGATTGAAAAGAAGTAATTGTACTGCGAGGTAGTTCATCACAACTAATTGACTTCCACAAGTCTTGCGCCTCGGTCACAAGTGAATCGGACAAAGCAGTGACATATGAGGGCAAAATTAAAGAAACCAAATCTGTAGTGGCAAATGAAGATGCAAGGAAACATGGAGTTGCTAACGTCTTCGATCGTCTAATTCCCAAACCACCTAATTTAATCGGCAAAGCAATTTCTTCTAGAGATAGAGGATTAATTTGGCCGTTTGTAATCTGCTCTAGAGCATTATGGAGCAAAGAATCGAACTTTTTCTAGCAAGTGAGGAGATTTAAAAATTGGGGCTGCCCTCAGTAGGTATACTAAACGTGGAATCGCCAAAGAATGTTTCAAGAGATAATACGCAATATGGTTGGGAATGGAGTTTAATCGACCTGCCATATTAGAAAATGCGTTAATCTTTTTGCGGAAAACGTGTTCAATGGATTCATATGTTAAAGGTGCACCTAAAAGTTCAGCATTTTCCTTAGTCATACATGAAATACCTGGTGCAACTGATTGGAAAGATTCTAGTATACATTGTGTGTTAGTTTGAGGACCTAAAAATGAAACCTCACATTTATCAAAGTTCAATTCTAAACCTACTTCATTTGCACACGAGATAATATGTTTGAAATCGTCTAAAACTGTAGTAGGCTTGCCACCTAATGTACCATCATCTAAGTACCACATATTAAATTCTGACCCTAAATTTGAAATGACTGGATGCAAGATTAAATAGAAAAGTGGTGGGCCTAACGGATCTCCTTGTTGAACACCTCTACATGATTCAATTAAAGAAGAATTCCAGACAAGGCTGGATGAGAATCTATAGCACTGATTAATATAAGGATACAAACTTGGTACAAGTTCGTGAACGGATGAAAGCAATTTCCCTCGATCTACCATATTAAAAGCATTTTTGAAATCTATTTTAAGGAAGACTGTAGGTGATTCATGTGGAAAGGAAAAGAATCTACGTGCAGCATGTGCTCCTGCTTCAGCCCCATTCTTAACGTTGAAACCTACTTGGACTGGACTAAAATAATCTTGAAAGACATGATTCATGACCTTGACACTAATTTTGGAAACTAATCGACGATAAGTGCATCCTACGGCTATAGGTCTAATACCACCTGATTTCTTTTTAAGGGCCGTAAGACTTGCACCGTAAATGAAAGGACAAATGTCTAAAGGAACTTTTCCTGCTAACATAAAATTGCAAAATTTTGTAAGAGATTCTAACAATTGAGTTCCTACGTCACCAGTATGTTGTGAAACTAAATCTTTCAGAACTTGTGGTCGTAATGCATCTAAACCACCTGCTGAACCACTAGGAAATGAGAATATTGCTGATATAACCTGTTCTACTGTCGTTGTAAAAGGTGGAATGTTAGGCTCATCTAAAACGGTAAAATTATCTAAAGGTTGTGGTGGGTGCTTTTCTACAAGTGTTTCCAGAGTTTCTGAAGAATTCGGGGCGATAATATCATCTGAAGTTAAAAGCCGAATTGCACCACGAATATTTCCCTCGGATACTTTAGATATGACCTTTGGCCCTATCTCGTTAATGATGCTTTTTGATTTATCATGGACTGAATTTTTTGAAGAAAGAGTAATGAGATAATCCTGATATGTATTTTTGTCCAAAGATTCAAAGATAGATAAGTTGTTTCGTATTTTGCTATTAAGGCTTTGACCATTCTTGATATTTGCCTTTGAGTCGCATTGCAATGTAATATATGGGAAGGTCAAAAGAAGATGCCATGCCTCTGGTGTGTTTTCACTTATACACTTATCTATGATGGATTTTAAAACTTGGGCTACAGGAATCCTACAAGCCTTGGGACATTGTTTGAGAGTTGGACAATTTTGCCTAAGAGAGGAAATGATAGATTGGAAATCAAAACCAGTTTCTGGAACGTGGTCTGATTTAAACTGAATCCCTACATAATGATATTTGGAAGCACCATGAAGTTCTGTCCTAAGTCTTTTCGTCCTAATATTTGAAAATGAGTTTTTTATCAATTTCCCCATTTCTGCATCGTTAAAGGGTTTGAAAATGTCTACGGAGTCCTGCCTGTATTTATCATGCAATACTGTTTTCTGAATTATACCCCCTGGTACTATATTGTTATTTAGCCACTCTAACGTAAGAGATGTACATGTTGCCTTACTAGATATAAAATTTGAAAGTGGTGTACTTAATGTAGAAATTGGTTTTGGTGATTGTGGATTTGTACAGGGGCTTGACTGTGTAATTTGACTATGTGTGCCTAAAGAAGACTGACTTGTTGGCGATGGTATGTATGATTTTAATTGGGGATCTAATTGGAGGTCTGTTTGGGGGCAGTTTGTGCAGAACCAGTCATCATCAGGAATGGTCTGCAAAAAAAGACAAGAGGTGTGATACCACAAAAGACATGAAGAACATTCTATCCACTCATCTGTTCCAGTAGATGATGGTCCCGGGCAGCCCGAAACCGGGCAGAAAAGGTCATCGAAAACGGGATTCAAACCCTCGGTGGTATGGGGGAGTGGTTGGGAGGATGTGGGAGGAGGAAGTTTTCGAGGGTCCGTCCTCTTCTTCTGCTTCTTCTTCTTTCCTGGTCCGGGATGCAGTGGTTGGGTGGGCGATGGTGGTGGTGGGGCTGGCAGAGGCGATGATGATGGTCGTGGGGCTGGCAGAGGCGATGATGTTGGTGGTGGGGCTGGCAGAGGCGATGATGATGGTCGTGGGGCTGGCAGAGGCGATGGTGAGGGTCGTGGGGCTGGCAGAGGCGATGATGTAGGTGGTGGGGCTGGCAGAGGCGATGATGATGGTCGTGGTGGAGAGGATGACGATGATGGAGCTGAGGTAGATGTTAGCGGTGGGGGAGGCCTTACATATTTCCATATCTGCAGAGTGCTGAAGAGTGGCATCGTGGTCGAAATCCGCGTCGGTTTCGTTCGGCTGGGGGTACTTTGCACAGCGAGTGGAGATCAGCAGTCCACTGACCATAGAAAAGTGGTTCGTCGAGATTTATGATGCGTCGAAATTCGCTCGTCTTGAATGAATCTCGTGTAATAGTCTAGAAGATGTCCAGGATAATTTCGTCAATGATTTCAAGTATGATGAAATCGTAATCGGTCGGTTCACTTCGGCGACGATTTATTGTCAAATAATATTGTTTTTAACCATGGATACAAGAATCAGTGCAGTTTTCAATCACGATTGCTTGACTCTTGGTATCTTAGGAACTTGTATTGTAATACGGTTACGCAGAATGAGCGAGTCAAAAATAAAATAATTATTTTAATGGAACATGTTTTCCGCAAAAAGATTCACGCTTTTACTAACATGGCTGGTCGATTGCATTCCATTCCAAGCCATATTGCGTATTATCTCTTGAAACATTCACTAGCTATTCCACGATTAGTTTATCTACTAAGGGCAGCCCCTATTTTTAAATCTCCACATTTGCTAGAGGAGTTTGATTCATTGCTCCATAATGCCTTAGAACAAATTACAAATTGCCAAATTAATCCTTTGTCTTTAGAAGAAATTGCATTACCAATTAAATTAGGTGGTTTAGGAATTAGACAATCTAAAACATTAGCAACTCCATGTTTCCTTGCATCTTCATTTGCCACCACTGACTTGGTTTCTTTAATTTTGCCCTCGTATGTCACTGCTTTGTCCGATTCACTTGTGACCGAGGCGCAGGACTTGTGGAAGTCAATTAGTTGTGAAGAACTACCTCGCAGTACAATTACTTCTTTTCAATCATCCTGGGAAAGTCCAATTTTCAATTACGTATCTTCACGTATCCTGGAATCATCCACCACCCCAATAAATACTGCTAGGATTTTGGCATCAAGGTCAAAAGAATCAGGTGCATGGTTGCAAGCTTTACCATCGAGGAATTTAGGCACACTTTTAGACGATAATTCCTTCAGGATTGCAATAGGTTTGAGGTTAGGGTTAAATTTATGTTTCCCTCATAAATGTGTTTGCGGCGCACAAGTAGATGAACTAGGCTTACATGGTCTTTCATGTAAAAAAAGTGCTGGCAGGCATTCTAGACATACGCAAGCCAATGACATTATAAAGAGAGCCTTAATTTCTGCAGACATACCAAGCATTAGGGAACCATTAGGGTGTTGTAGGACAGATGGAAAAAGACCGGATGGTCTAACACTAATACCTTACAAACAGGGACGCTCACTAATATGGGACTTTACATGTACAGACACTTTTGCCCCCTCTTATCTCTCTCACACACTTAGACATGCTGGCACAGCAGCAAAACTAGCCGAGACCAAAAAACACAAACTGTACTCTGAACTTAAAACAAACTATATCTTTGTTCCGGTGGCTATCGAGACATCAGGAGTATGGGGGACGGAAGGGTTGAAGTTCATCCAAGATGTTGGGAGGAGGATGAAGGATGTCACTGGACCAATGTCGACAACTTTTCTCATTCAACGGATTAGTTTGGCAGTTCAACGCGGGAATGCGGCATCAATCATGGGAGCTGTCCCCAGTCAACGAGGATTAGAAGAATTATTTTATATTTTAAATGATAGGTCGTTTTATTTACAAAAATCATGTAAGGGGCCGAATGGTGATCTCGGACGCCTATCCGGATCAAGTAAAGGTTTTCCCAACCCACCAACATCGGGTTTTTCCTCTACTCCCCAAGCCAACTAAGTGTATTTCATAGTTTATCAATGTTTATGTTAATAATAAATAATACATTATTTTAAAATCATTGGTGTTAAAGTCCCTTGAAAATACACCAACTACTTTGACCTTTAATAACTTTTGAATGGGCAGACACAGAAATTTAATTCTGAAAGATGAAATCATCGTAATTTTCAGCTTGATTTTTTAAGCTAAAAATCTCGAAGGTCAGTGGCCGCGGAAGATGATTTGAACGCGGAAGATAATAATCCATATTCTCTTGCAGTTGCTTCGATAGCCTCAAAAACCTCCATTTTTGAAGTGCTAATTATTTGGGCCGTCGCTAACGGTAATTAAAGCACAAAAATTTCTAACAGAACGCCGAAATAGCCGATTTTAATATTTACATCTCAGTCTGAATGAGTCGATGCGAGAAAGGTCGCACTCTCTCACTATAAGAAATGCAATGAGATCACAAAAGTTCATAACGTCTAATTACAAATTCATGAAATGTAAACAAGAATCAGCAGCAGCAGAAGTGGAATATTTTCCAAGTGGTCTCTTCATTTGGGCGTTTTATACGCAGCGTACATCTCTCGAGGAATATGACCCTTTTGATTCAAGGCTTCAATGAGTCGCAACCGAGCGTCCGAAGTGACTGTCCCAGGTCTGCAAAAATTTTATATTCAGAGAATTATTCGCACAGACGCAGAAATTCTATATGTATGTGTAAAGCTGTAAAAGCAAAAGCGAAACGTGAAGGTAATTGAAAACATGGAGATGGAAGCGTGAGACAGTGTGCTCAAAAATTCATTTGCAGTCTCTAGAGAGCAATTTGCTACGCAAATACAAAATATAAATTTATTCTGTTGTCTTACGGCTTTCTTAGGAGAGCGGGCACAAATTGGTCTGTGAAATACTTTTTATTGAACAGGAACATTTGACCCAAGCTGAGGGGAATCTTTCGTGTCCTTTCGTAATCCTTTATCGCCATTTCCACGTCGTGAAGAAGCTGCGATTGGAAACAAACAACAAATATATCAGCCTACATGACACCATTATTAGCATAGAACATCAGGTAGGAATAACACATTGAGCCACCCTGTTTGATACTATGATAGAGTGCTGAAAAAAAAGTCTCAGACATAATCCTTTATGTCGTGCACAATTCATAGGTTACATAACTTTACCAGGAATTTTTCATGCTATTGGTTCTATCTTCTGTGTAAGTATGTGTGACTGTGTGACTACTAGAAGAATATTTTAACTTGTTATTCCAAAAAGAAATCATGTCCCACATTGTATGTAGTATGAGAATAAGGGTCTTGGACCAACGTTTTGTAAATTAAATTTCATAAGAATCTGAGAAGTTCCCACAATGAGGATTCCTTATATGAATATTTATAGAGTCACGACTGCACAAGGAGGAGGGCCAGGGAAACTGAAGCTATATACCGGATTATTAAGGTTAGGCTCCAGTGCCATGGCTTCCTCAACTTCATTATATTCAGCCACACGTTTTCTGGCGAGGTCCTCATACAACTTCCACATAGCTCTGCATTCCTCTGTCTTTGGGATGAAAGGTCGAAAGATTGCCTGCGTTTGGAGAAAACAACTGGGTTCGAACGGAATCCATCGAGTGAGTAAATTGGAGAGGAAGGTGAACGTGTCCACATCTTTGGCAGGTGAGTATGGCTCGCTAAACGTTTCCGAGTACCAGATTTGATAGCGTGGGAAAATCTTGGGCGTGGTAGGAGCAACGAGGGAGCAGTGTCGGGCCAGAATGAACGCAAGGGAAACGAGCTCTTCGTTCTGAGATTGGACGCCTTCTCGCATTAGAATGTTGATCATCTTTTTCAACACGGAAGCCGCCTCGAATTCCAGCCTCCCTATCCAAGCAGTGATCAAGAAGAGAATGTTGTCCCAGTTTCGGCTGCCATTTCTAATTGATGTTGATAATGCTTGAAAAACATCCTCGGGTAGCATGGGTTCACTAATCATCTAGATAATTGGCAATACAACAACAAAATTTACAACCGAAAAAGTAAATGATTCACATTAATAATCCTGCTAATAAATACTTATGTAGAAAGTACTCGTTATACCACATGAATAACGTCACTTAAAATGGCAACCCTATCGTCATTTTTTCTGGAGTCTTCTGCGAGTTTCTCTTGATACTGAATAACCTCGTCCAACGTGTAGAACTTGGCACCAACATCGCTGCTTGGTGCTGTTAAAAGATGGTTCAATTGGTGTGACAAATACTTCTTTTTCACCGAATTTGGTACATAAGCTGAAATAACAACCAGTATATTAAATACTTATTATAATCCAATTAAATGTAGATACGCTGCAAGCTGACCCCTTGCATAGTATTGCTGACCTTCCTTGATAACTTCAAGGATGAATTGGCGATTCATCTCAGAAACCCCTTTCGTACTCGTGACCAGGTTAGTGCTCAACTGGAAGAGGATCTCAAACACGGTGGCTTGAAGAGATTCCAAAATACTTGGCCGTCCAGGATTACAATATCCACAAATGAGAAAGGTGTGGAAAAAGTGCTCAAGAACGCACTGATAGCGATCTCTTGTGCAAGAGTTGAAGTGCACCGAAGGGGAAAAACAAAGTGCCAAAAATTGCCGTTGAATGTGTTGCACTTTGTGCGGAGACTTCAACCTGATGTAAAAATATTTCATTCATTTAATATTAAAGGTAGATTGAATCTACTAGATTTATACTTCAAGTTGGCTTGAAACTAGAAAAGAAAAAACATACAAATTAGTTAATTTGCATAAACTTACGTCATCAAATAACTGCTCAGCGATGCAATTCGATATTTCACGTCCAATAACCACAAGAGCTCCAAGCATGGAAACTCAAGCTAGAGCAAAAATGACCAAGTTGATCTTTTACAGAATTACTCGTCGCGTGACGTAAATGCATACGTCAATAAATTATTTAAATTTATGTACCTGTTCGACAACGCAGTCCAAGATCTTTCTTGAATCCACCTGCAATAGTTCTGTGGCCTCCTTTGCAAATTTGAGCACACGATGGACAAAGTCTAGCGTCTGGTTGGGCAGTAGAAAGGAGCCTTCAAAGTCGACGTACTCCTCCATCAGGGAATCCTCCCCCCATTGGTCAAACGACAACGATATCTGCGCAGGTGGTTGGTGGACGACGGTCGACTCTTCGTTCCTACACAGTTTGTCCCTCAGGAGGTTTGCGACGTAAACAGGAATAAAGTCTTCTCGTAAAACATGGGGCTGGGTCTCACGCTCCTTCTCGCAGAGGATGTACAAGTTTGCGACACGATTCGGATGCATAGGTCAGCCAAAGCCACACAAAATCTATAAATTAAAAACAATACAATTCGAAATGCAAAAAAAAACGAACATGTAAATAAGTGAACTATTCATAATAAGAATGGAACAATTTATGACATTTGATTTTATATACAGGTAAAATCAAGTTAAACTGGTCGGAAAATCCTCTTTTTAATAAATTATCATACATTTCATGTCGTATTCTTGTTCGTATTTCAGTTTATTTGCATTCTAATATAATTTCACAAAGTACTAGACAACTTAAAAAAATATTATGCAATTTTTCAGTATCGCTATAACTTAAAGCCAGAGTGAATTGAAGAGACGCCAAAAGTGAGATTTTCAAATGTGACAAACCGGAATCCAACAGCCTCAATCAAGGCCTTGAAATCTTCTTGACTTGGAAACTTTCTAATACTTTCGACCAGATATTTGTAGGAATCGTAATCTCCAGCAATCACTTGCCCCAACGCAGGAATAGCCTGGAAGGAATACTGGTCATACACCCATTTTAGCAGGGGATTGTTAACTCGACTAAATTCTAGGCACATAAATCTACCCCCTGGTTTCAAAACTCGATATGCTTCTGTCAATACTTTATCGACATGGACGCAGTTTCTAATCCCGTATGCGATAGTATAGGCGTCAAAGGAATTGTCAGGAATTTTATCCAGATTCTCTGCATCCCCTTCCATCCAGTCTATTCTCTGCTGCTCAGTTGGAGTCAGAGCTGTTTTGGCTCGATTTCTTCCAACGTCCAACATTTTTGGATTAATGTCGCAAACTAAAACGGACCTGTCCTCTGAGCGCAAGTCTGTTGATCCAGTAGGGAATTCTTCCATTGCTTGATATTGCGCCTCAACTTCATTCTCTGGTCTCGGATTGTTTGGGAGGGTTTGAAGGGGGAAATCAAAGGGGAACACCGTTTTGGTAAAGTCCCTTTTCTGTTTCTTATATTTAAGAAATCTGAACGCAATATCACCAGTGCCACCAGCAACGTCGATAAGCTTCATTGAAGACGTTGGGTCTAGGCGATGAACAAATATGTCCTTCCATACCCTGTGAACGCCAAGGCTCATGCAGTCATTCATAAGGTCATAATTCTTTGCCACGTTTTCAAACACGGCACGGACTTTCTCTGACTTTTCTTGCTCTGAAACAGTTTCAAATCCGAAATGTGTCTCCTTTGTGGATGAGTATTCACTGCTCCCTTTGTCGCTGTTGGATGGACCGGAAGTGGTATTTCGGAACAATGATGAATTGGGCCTGTGCCGAACCCAGGTCAACAATACCCACCGTGCTGGTTTCAACAACATCTCCACCTTCCGTCAGACTCAGCAGGGCTAGCAATATTAAGCAAAAGAGACCTGAAGAGCTATAATTAATAATAATGGAGTGCATCTATATTTTTTCTAGCAGGTACAACACCAATTTACAAATATCAATATCAATGTGAAATGAAAATAAATCAATAAATGAATTATTGGTGGATGGACTAGAACTATTGTTGGAGCTTTTCTACATGTAACCATTAAATATAAAACTTACAGATTCTGTCCTAAATTTGTTTCCAATCAATCCTTTGTTTTCTTTCGCAGTGCGAATTTTTAGCGACGTTTACGGATGACGGAGGCGAACCGCTGCACAAAAGCACATGAATTTGGGGCAGCGTAGGTTCCCGGTCAACTCAACATCACCCACCAGCATCTCATCTGTTTCTCACATCAACATTTTATTAGAAGAAGGGCACGGGTGGAGATTTTTATTTTACGCCACACAAAGGCCGTTTCTGCCTCCGGACGTTGGGCGTGGGTGTGGCTGACGAGGAAGGATGTCGTACCTTCAAACGGAGCTCATATCACACACACGGAAAGTGTGCAGTCTGTACAAACAGGCCCTTCGCAACATTGAAGCTCACTGCATGCATCGGTAAGTTGCCCATTAGTTTATTTCTCATTTTATCTGTAATTATGCTTCAGTCCAGTCCGACCTGCCTCCAAGTGAGAAATATGTAAGTTTTCAATTTGAGAAGATTTGTCCGAAGGAATCGATGCAGTAAATCATTTCATTTCCTTAAGTCGAAACAACAAACAGATTTATTTTAAGTACTAAAAATAGTCAACATAGTCAATGAAATATATATCATACACGTATAACACAATAATGAAATTCATTATTAATGATAGAGACACCCATCATTATTGAATATTAACGTAACGTAACAATTCATTCAGTTATATAACAATTATTTTTTAGTTTGACTGGTAGTTTAAAACGGTTTTAAATAATTTGTAGGCAGACAATAGATTCATTAGTCTGTAATTCCGCCGATAAGTCCTTGGAATGCTGCCCTAATTCTGCCTGTCATGGATTTGAAGTATGTTTGCATCGACCCTACGACGCCATTGCCACCGTTGTTGCTGTTCTCCTCGTCTTCGTCCCCACCACTGCTAATCACGTACACCTGGGGAGGTTTTTCCGGTCCTTGGTATCCCATCGTATTCGTGGGCACTGCAAGTTTAGAATTCACGAGGAGACTCTTTACCACTCCATTTTCTCAAAACAAGGGTTTAAACTTTGACAAACCTACCATATTTGACCTTCTTCCCCTTCCCATTGAGCAACATGGGAGCGTCGTTTGGCATCTCATTCTGATTTTGATAGTTGGACTGTGACGATGCCGATGACGTTTGAGTATTTCTTCTCCCAGATTTTGGTCGGTGAAGAATTTGTCCCCGTTCCGGATCTTGTTGTTGTGGGGCTGGTGGTGGTGGCCCACGGATATTGTGATGATGTCCAGGTCCTGAAAAAAAAAGATTCTCTGTACAGCCACAGGATGCAAAAAAGAATATCATGTCGTATGCTAAAATCAGTACCTGGAAATTGGTAGATTTTCCTTGAAGTCAGCCCTTCTTCTTGCTCTTGGCTACTTTGCGACGAAGACGGTGATGATGTGTCCAGATTGTTATATGAAATTCTAGGATGGGACACGACCGATTTAATTAGCACGGGTTTTAGCTCTTTATATTTTGTGGATCGTGCATTTACAACCATGAGGAGACAACCGAAACAGTAATAAATTGTACAAATGGATACTATTAGTTTCGAAACCATTTTGGCTTATGTCACTGGCTTGAGAATTTGTGCTCACTCACTATGACTTAATCGTTACCTAATAATGTCTGCAAATGAAAGCATTTTGCTCAGTCGCACCAGTCTTTATATTGACAACGCAAATCCCATCGCTACGTTCTCAGTAGTCTAAGTAATTCATGATCGGAACACTTTAAGGTTTGATCTTGGTATAAACGAAAGTGAAAGCCACTACGGGGGGTCCTTTGTTCAGAACTGCTGCTTCGTGATCTCAGACTCGGCATCCCTGATCAAAAAACAACTCGGTTAAGTTTTTTTTCAAATTTAAAGTCGATGTCATTCCAACAGTAACTCGAAATATAATTACTCCCACTACCCTCACCACCACGGATGCTAAAAGTTTATTCTAGTATGGGGCATATGTAGTATGTGCATATCCGGCGTTGAATTGAAGGATTGAACAAATCGGTGTGGCGTGGCGTCTGGCATGAAGAAAGTTATGTAAAAAACTAAGTTCATCACTGTTTTGTTATGAAACTCATTCAGTCGCTCGGCTGTGAAATTTTTCTGAGGAATCTTCGTGTCCAATTCAAATCGCAACAACGGCGATGACCATGTCAATTTCTCATTGAGATGCTTAATTGAAAATCAAAGGACGAAAGATTGAGCGTGCGTTTAGCAAGTCATTCTCCTCTCTTCTCGCGTTCTGTTTAGCGTTTTAGGATTTCTTGGTTTGGTTTTGCAAACAAGAAGACGATGGTCAGCAAATCCTATAAAATTTCTTATTTTTTTTATCAACATGTTTTTGTCGTAAATGAAATTTGCGTATTTTCCGAGTGATATGCTGCAGCATAATACACATGTAGGATGTAACAGTGCAAGAACTTTGTATGCAGATGGTTGTTAGTGACTTGACTTTCCTTCACAAGGTCTTCATTGATTTTCATTCTTCGCCATCTGCATGGCTTGTTTGTTTGGTGGAAAAAGCTTCGAAACTTGACAATGAAACTCGTGGCGTTAATTTCAACAACTTTCATTTTACCCAATTGTACCTATTTAAAAGAGCAAAATCATCGAGTTGAGCTCATGTTAACGGATGCTTTGTTAATTGGAGTGAACTGACAAACTGTATGATTCTCATTATTGTCGTAACTTGAAAGCTGACGATCGCAACAATTTACTTTTGTTACGTGAAAATTTTACAACCACGCGGATTTTATTATGCTGTAACATTTACTTAACTACTCGTCATAATAATGTTTAGCACATTACATTTATTTAACAGGTCAAGTCATCATGTGTAATTTAAAAATGTGTATTGTACATATACATTTGACATTTTCAGACACCATTTCCGTTACAATGCTGTCCTCATGCGACAACGCTTTGAAGAAAATCGCAACATTTTGGATATGAGAAAAGCAAAGGAACTTATTGCTTTGGGCCAAGAAGAACTCTTCCTGTCGCAGCACTACCAACCTCTGAAATGTAAGAACCATATATTCTTACACTATATGTATTATTATATATACTCCATACTAATAAAAACCACAAGTAAGCAAGATTTCACGACTGAAATTCATACATTCTTGCAGTTCCCAAGTCTCCTGGTGGCGTAGCTTACGATCGGGAAACGACTCCAGCAGACTGGACCCTCGACTACTGGCACCCTTTGGAGAAGGCCCAGTACCCAGAATATTTTGCCCGTCGCGAACAAAGGAAAAAAGAATATGTAGAAATGTGGGAAAAACAGTATGGAAAACCAGATCCTAGCGAATCCCATCATTAAGGGGGCGTGTATAAATAAAGATAATACATAATAATTACATAATAATGCGCAACTTTGTAAATTAGACAGTTTGATGAGATGATAGAAACGTCCAAAATTTGTGTAGCGTGTATAAAATTTAGATGATTACACATTTGTTCAATAATAATACGGCTGCACTTGCCTGTTGAGTTTCAAAACTAAAATAAACGAATTAAACTGTAGTTTCAAAAGTGTTATTGGCATTTAAAATCTATTTTATCAGTAGAAACGGGTTTACAAATTAGACATTAATCAATATATACAGTACATAAAAGTTTGTATGACGTTTTACTTTTTTTCTTTGCACCCACTTTTGTCTTCCTCTTGCTGTGCTACAATTTTCCTGCCACAAAGATCTCGAACGGGCAGATTTTCAGGGTCAGATTCGCTGCTCGAGTCGTCTTCCCCAGACTCGCTGCTGGAATTTGAATAAGACTCGAGCCCAGGGAGTACTCCAATGCAGACTAAATTTCCTTTATACGGAACACTGGGTATTTCTGAATTGTTCTCCGCACTCGTACTGACGGCTGGTGGAGACTCGTCCTTGGTGTGGCTGTCTATATAATATATGTATGGGCACAACGGATTAAAATTCAAACTCATAACCTCACGATGAATACAATTTAGACATTATAGTTTGATTATGATTGCGTACCATGTCGTGGCTTTTTTGCATCTGAGCAGGTTTCTGCAGATGATGATGACTCGGTCACACTTTTCCGTTTTACCAACCCTGCCAAAAGTTTCGACTGCGAAGTCTTTTTTGCACCAATGGATAAGAGATCGTCGTCTGTAGATACCGCTGGCTTTTTGTCAGTCTTGATTAATCCAATTTCCTGTTTGATTAACACATCCAAATCTTTTTCCCGAAGCTCTGCAACTTTGGATCTAAAATCTGAGAGCTCTTTTGCTTCTTCCACTCGTTTCTGGTGCTCTTCCTCCCATTTCTTCCTGTCCACATGGTCCAAGAAGTCGGCCTCATCATCATCTAGTCCCTTAACAAGATTCTCTGAAATTCATAGTCGGGAGAGTACTAAAATCAGCTGGAATTGTCTCCAAGCAAGAACCACTTACTGAACTTGTGGGCTTCTTCAAACTCTTCTTGTTTCTTCATCTTTTGTTCATTGAGCCTATCGAAGAGTGATCGACGGTCAGGCAACTGCTCGGGAGCCAGTGGAACCTCTGTGATACAAATAAACCATTGTTAATTAATTCTTCAATGAGATCTAAGCAGCATTAATTAACGAATTTAAGGTTCTCCAGTCCCCACTGACCTTCCGGGTCATCTGGCTTTCTGACCCGATCCCATTCTTCCTGACGAAGTCTCTTTGTTTCTTCCACCTCCTTCTCCGTCACAAATCCTGAACTCATCCTTCAAGAAGACTTGCCAAGTTTGCAGATATTTTATAAGTGTTATTAAACTACTCACTTTCGTCGTATAGATTATAGATTGTTGTGTTTTTTTTTTACTTTTTATCGAGATTTGGATTCCTCCAGCAGCACAAAATAATTTCATTTTAGTAGCAACAGAATACCCGAATGGCCGGAATCGTGCAAGTTACCCCGATCCCTTCTGAAGAATGTAATCCATAAATAAGCGTCATGTTTTCCAATGCCATATCCACTTCCAATGCTAATTTGAACTTTTGAACATCTTATCAAAATGCTACCCCAGATTGCATCCTTTACATGATGTAAATTACATATCCTTTATTCCCTCCTGAGCTACCTAATGTGCTCAATTATAACAATACAATTTCGTTTGCAATTTTGGTGTTTGCATGTCCTCAACTTGAGCTTATTGTATATGTAAATAGTAAATAAATAATTCTTGTGCACTCAGGATACTTATCATCATGTTTCATGAATTTATTTATTCGCTAAGCATGGCTTGGTGCTGTGAACTTGAATACACTCGAATAAGCACAGATGGTAAAAATAGACAGCCAATTCGACATACACATATGCGTTTTGTACTTGTAGCACGATGCAGTATTTATTTAATTGGCTGTTTACAATAAAAATAAAATATGACTTTGATGTATATAGAAGATTAGCTTATGAGTAAAAATATGCAAGGTGGTTTGGTTTGGGTGGCATTATGAGGCGGCGGCGGCGTAGAGTTTGATAATATCTGCTTGGTAAAAGTCTTGTAGAGGTTTCCTCTTCAACTTGAAGGCGGCCGTGACCAGGCCTGATTCTGGCGTCCAGAGTTCTGAACACAACTTTAGTGCCCCAGGAATCTCAAACTTTTGCAACTTGATCTTCCGAGCATACTCTTGAAGCTCCTAATTGATCAATATCAAATCCATTATATTTTTTTGTGGATCCACTTCAAGTACTTTCTGAAGCCCTCAAATTATGAACATGAACTTACCTTTAACACGTGCTTGACCACGTCGGGGTCGTCGCACAACTTTTCCCAACTCACACCACTCTTGCCTAGCTTGACACCCAAAGCCTCCAACTGAACACATTATTATCAACACATTATTATGCATCAAAGCGAAATATTGACAAATTTTTCAGTCCATGTGATGAATTTAGTGGCTCACAGTGAGCCGCTCACTCACCTGCACTTGAGAAGGTGCAATAAATGCTATGCAGTAGGTTTTCGAGGACTCGCCATAAATACAAATATTGTCAATCATTGGGAACGTCTTCAATTCTGATTCCACTTTTCCTAAACTTATGTACTCCCCAAACTGCAGTTTCACCAAGTCCTTTTTCCTATCTGGAGGAGGAGGAAATTAGGTTTTGTATAACCATTTCAACTCTTGAAATTGGAAAAATCCCGTTAACTTACCAATAATTTTGAGAACAAAGTCGTTTTCCATGAGTCCAATGTCCCCCGTGCGGAACCAACGTTTGCCACCCTCGTCGAAAAAGTCTTGTGCGGTTTGTTCTGGCAGTTTGTAGTAGCCTTGAGCCACGGCGTCACCTCCGATGAGAACTTCCCCTCGAGGATAGGGCTTGTCCGTGACGCGGTAGTTGCCCTCCTCCCAGTCGATCAGACGGACGTCCACACACCCAATCGGCTGTCCACAACGTCCCACCGTCATATCTCCAAACAGGGTCACAGTCGCACACGCATTTGTCTCTGTAAGTCCATAACCTTGCATAATGGCCGCATTCAGAACATTCCTACAAAATTCTTGCGTGTCTGGAGACAGTGCGGCACCTGAGTCAAATAATTTCCATTTAATCATCATCATCAGTACTAAAACTGGGGACTTATTTGCAAAATATTCTGGTAAACGAGAGAGAAGTTACTGCATTGCATGTACCTCCAGCAGGCATGAATCTCATGCGCCCTCCAACCATGGCCTGGATTTGTTTAAAGATGAGGGCGTTGACGATGGGACAGTCAAATCCCCTGTAGTACCACTTGAGTTTGTAGTCGTAAAAGAATTTGAAGACGGCGCTCTTTGTGGGTCCACCCTCCTTCACTTTCTGCTGCACCCCCTTGTAAATCCTGTCCAGGATGAGTGGAACGACCGTCATGGCCGTGGGCTGGAGGATGGACGCGTCTCCTTTGTCCCCTCGCTTGATCTTTCCCGAGGTGTCCGTCATCGTAAGGGAGGAGGAGTAGCCGATAGGAATTCCGGCCGTGAGGAAGAAGCCTTCGCCCATCAACTCCAAAATGTGTGCAAGTGGGAGGTATGCAATGTAGACGTCTATTAAAAAAATGGAATAATGAACTCTTGTGGCGAGTATAGCGGTGACGAAGCCTCTCCGCAGGCAGGCTACTTACCCCATGAGTAGACAGGGGACACAGCGTCGGAAAAGCCCATTATGCCGCTGGTTATGTGTTTGTGCATCATTTCCACCCCCTTTGGGATTCCCGTGGAGCCGGAAGTGAACATGATTACAGCCGTGTCTTCGGGGGTGGGTGGGGAAACGCCGTAGTTGGACTTGGACCCCATCTCCAGAACCTCACAAAAGGAGAAGATGGAAATGTTGGGTGGAAATCCGGACCGATCTGTCTTGTGAAGAGGGTCCTCCATGTATACGATGTACTTGACGTGGGGACACTCGGCGAGCAGAGTGCGAAACTTGGGCAGAAGGTCATGGCTCGTCACGATAAGTTCCACCTCGGTCTGCCTCACCCCATGAATCACACCCTCGTCGCCCAACGTGGAGTAAAGAGTGACGACTGCAAGTATGACATGCATGAGTTTGAGTAAGGAGTACGAGGCAAGTTGAGACCATGCAATACTTACTGGCAAGATTTTGTCGAAACGCAGCAATTGCACTGATAAGCCACTCAGGCCGGGTCTCGGCAAACAAGCAAATTTTGTCCTAAGATAAGTTCAAGTTTAAATGTTAGTTGAGCAAAGAATCAAAAGTGAGACGACGCAAAGGGTGCGTATGCTGACCTTTGGCTGAAGACCTATTTCTCGAAAACCTCTGCTGATGGTGCCTACCAGGTTGTCCTACGAAATTGAATTCTCATTAAGCTAAACTCCATTTTAGGAGGAAGTTGCATTTATATACCACATAAAGTGATAAAATTCAACAGAACTCACCACTTCGATGTAGTTTTTCCACATGTAGCCTCCCAAGTTGAACTTTTTGAACACCTTCCCGTTCGGCTGCGTCTCATCCTCCTCCCCCAACACTTCTCGCACACCTGTTGGGAACAGGACGTGAGTTAAATGATAAGCATCACCTGACGGAACATCTTGTCGGCGAATGACCTCATATTTCTACACAGATTGTTGACCTACCCAGACATTTCTTGGTCCCATTCTTCTTGAAGGCAAAGGAGAAAAGCTTGTCCAGAGTGTCCACCTTGGCCGCTTTCATCTCCGACGTGGCCTTGGACTGGGCTCGTATGCATCGGTACGTAATTCCTCCCTCCTTGCTGATGATTGTGGTCTAGTCATAAGGGAATAAAACAACGTGTTCAAATTTGCCTAAAAAATTCGCCCCAGAAATCCCCATCAATTTAAGAACATTGGACTTTCCGCATAATTCTTTACTGCTTGCACATTTTCATTGTGACGAGTTCAAGTCACGAATAGTTGCACATATTCGGACGGAGGAGGAGACGAAATTAATTGTCTCAAGTTGTGTTGCATGAAAACAATTTTGTTCACAGGTAGTTACAGCAAACGTCGTTGATCGTCTTGATAACCAGTGACCAGAGCAGATAAGTATTTATTATGTAAGCTTGTTAACCAGTATGAGCTGACTGACTGAGCTTGCTATGTTAACTGGCAATCTTCATATCTAATTTTATTAAACAAGTCAACTAATAAGGACGTAATGTGAGAAGTGCATGCTTCACATTTCTCAACATGGCACCACCACCATTTCGATGGCATTACTATTTGTCTTGTCAATACGTATGCAAAACTAGAGTAAAATATGTGTGTATGTACGGTTGGTCAGTTTGACGCATGTTAAGTAAGTGAAAGACATAATTTTATGACAGATGCAAAACAAAACAAAATTTCTGGACCTTTGCTATATTTAATTATGCAATACTTTATGTAATTCATGCTTCACTACTCTCTCGTCGTGGTCACATAATCCGCATCAATGTGTAAACCCAAATGTCATGTAACCGTTTTATACATTAGCTGGATTTAGCTAACTAAACGAATGCTGATGTTTGGATGTAAATGTTTATGATGGACAATCCAGTTGCAATTGAAGTCAATAAGATGTCAATAAACGGATTCATGTAAAACCCAGTTTTGTCACCGTCCAATTGAGAGTTGCGCAAAATTGTCACGCCACCAAACTAATTGACATATTATTGAATTGAATGTATGTACAACTGTGTGTACCTGAACAATTTTAAACATCTTTTCCGCACTCCAGACGAGAGTTGGAGATAATGAATACGTACTTGTGTCCAGCAGAGGTAATTCTATTAATATTTCACATACACACACACACATAATGTCAACGCTGCGTCGTTTGTCCGAGACAATGGATCAGTTCAGTGTGATGACATCTTTGCAATGTATGCAAATCACCAATAGCCAATACCAATGACCACGCCATGCAGTCAATCGAATTGATAAATGTACACAATCACAACTAATTACATATGAGTAGAAATACATTGTAGATAATTTTGCATGTCCATGAATTTAGCGTCAATTTCCCCACGAGTATAATGCGTAATATTTTGCTATATAATAATAAATCTTATGCAAGTCTTTTCCTCGTTCATTAAATTGCAAAGAAAAAATTCTGAGGAAGTCCGGCAAAATCGTGACCCTCGTATTCCCAAGAAGAAAAATAATAATTAATAAGTAGTTTGTGAAGGAAGAGTGGTGAATTGGTGGGGTGAAAGTCTCTGTGTTTTCCAGCTTATTTTGTGCGATTACTCGTTATGTATGAATGACGTGATTCTAAAGATGAGAATTTTTACGCTTTTGTATTCAACAGAGTTTCCTTTACTTCGATAACCTGCTGGCTCGCAATGTTTGCACACAGCATTTTCAGAGACACGACATTGTGCAAAATTGTGAATGAAATCGTTCTACTTATTTGACCAGCTCGCGTGCAGCAGGGATAATACCGGTACCCGAAGCAGTGTCATTATCACGTCATCAACAATGCACCACAAAACCATCCAGAAAAGTAGTAATTAATTTATAGCAGCTAAAAATGTGTACCTTTGCCTCTTTGGGGCGTTTTGAGGCATTGAGACGTTTCCAGGGCTGTTGGACGATTAGGTAGATGGGGTACGTCAAGATGTCGTAGACGAAGGTGAAAATGGTCAGAATAGCGATCAAGACGAAGGACATGTTGTTGTTGAGGAATGTTTTCCTGTGGGGAAAGCAAGAATGGACGAGGAGAGAAAAGAACGGGACGTCCTCGAGGGTGGAGATTGAGACGCGAAGTGGGCCTTGCTCCCCAACTGGACCTCGTTTTGATTGATGGCCTTCGCTCTGCTTGAGACACCTCACTCCTCGTTTAATTAGCTTCCGATAACTGATAAGCGCAATCGATCGATCCAAATCAATGAATGCCTGTTGCACATTCCTCGTTATTGTTCTTTATTGACTCCTCTGCATACGACCGTTGGTTGCATGGATTCGACTTGACAATGACATTGATGATCTCTGCTCACCGGTGGGACCACCACGAAACGCACCACCAACCTTATCTCAAAACCCCAAGGTCTCTCTCTCTCTCTGTGTGTAAATAGTTGACGGACGGGCGGACAACGGAGTAAATAGTAAATATATGCTCGATAAGCCGCACAGAAAGATCTGATTTCGGGTGACAATTGGATGATGGTGTGTTGCTCAAGAAGACACTTATTGCACTAGAACTAACACTCTGCGACTAACAGAATAATCTGGCTTCCTCATGATTTCGACTTTGCAGTGTCAATCTGTGGTACGTGTGATTGATGGGAAAAACTTAATATGGTTTCACCAGCAGCATTCTAAGCATGTGCTACATATTAACGTCACGAAGGCTAGAGTACGAAAAAATGGACCTACTTACGTGCAACAAAATATCGTTGGTCAAGCAATGATCGTCAGCAGCATCGCTGTTTGTTACCTTACCCACTTGCTGCCTTTGCATATGTGCATATTTACATACGATCCCTTACAGTACCAAATGGTGCAGTATGGCTTAATACTAATTGGAAAATTGAGTTAAGGCAACCACTTGGTTATTAATAATCTACGGTGAACTCAATGGTCTTGACTCTACATGGTGTCAAATTACATTATGGGCTGATTATCTAACACACGCTGGAGAATTGGGGTACGTCATTAAGTACTAATTTAATGTACAGGGAAGATTTTATTACAACGAAATTGCCCCACTCGTTCAGTTTGCGGTTTAGTTCTTGATGCAAAGGTTAATCAGGCCGGCTCTATTCTTACTTTTTATTATATTTTATTATTATCCGTTTGGCAATAGTACTCAATGTATGTAGGTACATATATATGTGATGTGTAATATTTATTTATTTGTGTATGTATTGAAAAATTAAGAATGCTCAAGATAATTAGCATTGAGAAAGTCTGGTCCAAAATATTCTTGAATAAATAATACTAATTGTAAGTAGGAAACATATTACGCTTAAGTAAGTTCAATTTCAAAGTAATACACATTATTCTCATGAACGAGCAGGAGGTACCGGGGCATTTATAAATATTCTTCCCTTTCAACGAAGCTCGACATAATTGGCAGGGAAAAGGCCGAATTTTCCATTGCACTCGCCACGCCACCATCCCTCGTCAATCTAGGAACAAGGGTCAAAAGTTGCGTTGTAATAAAATAATTTAAATAGCATAATTTAGCCTACAAATGATTGCAAGTTAATTACCATTTCAATGTTGGTTATAACATCGCCAGGGTCAAATGAAATCTCATCTTCGTCGGCTGTATTTTAGTAATAAAAAAGCTTATGTACACATATCTTGGCTAATCTGATTTGGATGTAATCAGAATTGATGATAAATATTTATTAGCAATAATGATGGCACTTGACTTACCAGCTTGATAGTCATAAATTGCGACAGCGGCAATGTCTTCTTCACCCTTGGAGCTACCACCACCACCGTTTTGCGACTTGACGACATCAACAGAAATACTCGAACCACCCCCTACCACGCCTGTTTTGGATTGTTGTTGTTGTTGGGGAACTTTACTAGATTGCTCTTGGTTATGATTGATTTTCTTGCTTTTGACATCTTCCTTCTCGTCATCGTCGTCCCACTCTTGGTCTTCCGCCTCGCTTGAGGAAGCCTTTCTAGTTTTATGTTGGGTTTGCTGCATAGCGTTTAACTCACCCTCTAATCTCTTCAGTTCATCCATCCCACGCCGAGCCTCTTCCTCTACGTGACGATTCTTTTCCTCTTGAGCCAGTCGCCTCTTTTCCTCTTCTTCCTGTTCCTTCTTTAGTCTTTCTTTCTGCCTTTCGCGCTCCCGTTGCTGTTCTTCTTGGCGACGATTATCCGCCTCACGCTGTTCTTGTTCTTGGCGAAGAATTTCCAATTCTCGCTTCTCTGCCACCAATCTTTTTTCCTCTGCAACTAATAGCCGTTCCTCTTCTTCAGCTTCAAGGCGTTTTTGTTGTTCTTGTAGCATGTCTGCTTGTGCTTGGACACGTTGTCGTTCCTGTGCTTGAAGAGTCTCCTCGTCTTGAGTGGTACTGCTCACAGTTGGAAGAACAACTTTTTTTGGAATGTTTGATGAGGTTGACGATGGTTTTTTGGTAGCCGACATTTCATTATTATTATCATTCGATTTGCCCATGGATTCGAATTTCTGACGAATGTTTGACGTTGAAGTTTTCCTCTCGACCTCAACTTTTTGCTTTGGGGGAGATACTTCATTTTCAGCCGAGTTTTCTTGTCTGTCAAAAGATATTCTAGTATTTTCCAGTTTACCTCCAGAACTCTAACCAAAAATAAACATGTCATAAAGTTAGGCTATAAATATAAATATACTTGGTACATATCATGGGAAATGTTCCATTCTACGTCGCATCGATTTCTTCGAATTAAATATAAAAATTTGCAAGTAGAATTCTTGGTGCAACCGTCAATGTAGCATAGCTATTTTTGAATTATATGCAACCACCCCCCCTTTAAAAATTGAGAAAAGAAACTGAGAAAAATGAGAAAGCCATCGTACATTCGGTATAACAAGAATTAGACCTCAAGTTGCATTTGCAATTCTAATTTCCCCATGAATACCGACATTTTGATGCATCCAAAGTTTCAAAATTCGAAAATTGGCGGTTTTTTGACCTATGCATAAATCCTTAAAAAAGTCATGGTCCTAGGCATTTTGAGTCTGACAACCTGATGCCAGAATTTTCTCCGTTAGAAGAGCTATATTTTCAGCTTTTGTTGCCCGACTGAAAATGCCTAGGACCTTGAGATTTTTGGGGTCAAAGTTTCTGTGGGAGTGGCTTATACAACAAGAGCCATAACAAACTCTGGCTACTAATGAGTGCAGAGAGAGAAACAGAGTAAGAAAATGGATCGCGCATACGACCCTAACGCACGATGGTGGTGGATACCCACCGCCAACCACTTTTCTCACTCTGTCTCACCTTCTCCTGCGAAATATGGGAAATGATTTTGTGTTACATTTGGCCTGGTTTTTATCACTTCTTTTATATTCTGAGCACTCTTCGAAAGTCGACAACTTGTGGTCAAAAAATTACGTATTATCATCAACCTCCTTCGGAAACGTTGGCGCTGAGCACCCCAACGACGTGGAGGCAGTGTTATTTGGCTACTAACTATAACTATTTACGAGTATCGATGCCCGAGGAGTGTGTAGTACAATGATTCTCAAAATATTATTCATGAATAAACCTTGTAGTCCGTGGTTTGGCTTTGATGTTTCTCTGGACGATCGTGGTGATCCCAACCTAATGCACTTTGATCTTGACGGTCATTTTGCACTCCAAATTTTCCACCAAATCCTTTAACATAATCTGCACAACACATGTTTGAAATGCATGATTGAAAAACACAGCAGAATAATCATAATTAGTATTATTATATTACTAAGCACACCTGTCTGTGACTCGTGTTTTTGCAATTTTTCGACATGATCCCATCCTACTGCAGTTTTATCCTGGCGATCATTCTGTACGCCAAACTTTCCTCCAAACCCAACAGTATAATCCTTTTGACTTTCATGCTTCTCTGATTTCTCCACATGATCCCATCCAACAGCACTCTTATCTTGTCGATCATTCTGAACACCAAACTTTCCTCCAAAACCAACAGTATAATCTTTTTGGCTTTCATGCTTCGCTGATTTCTCCACATGATCCCATCCAACAGCACTCTTGTCTTGTCGGTCCTTTTGAACGCCAAACTTTCCTCCAAAACCAGTAGTGTAGTCCTTTTGAGACGCGTGTTTTTCCAACTTTTCAACATGTTCCCATCCTACTGCACTCTATTTTTAAAACAAATTAAACAAATTTGTTCAACATGCACAATAAAAAATTAATATTAAATAATCTTATCCTTATTATTACTTTATCAAGTCGGTCTGTCTGTACGCCAAATGATCCTCCAAATCCCACCTTGTAGTCTTTTTGCGACTCATGCTTGTTAAGGGGGGAAGCATAGTCGTTTCCCATAGCGCATTTGTCCATACGATCAGACTCCACCCCAAACTTTCCACCGTATCCAAAACCTGGTTTTGATTCGTCCAAGTACTTTTTCTTATGATTAGCATCACTCTGTTTAACCTCTTCTGCCAGTTTCTTGACACTGAAAAAAATTCCAAAGACAATAAGGCCATTTCTTGAATGTGACAAAAATATTATGCATTGCATACTCGATTGCTCCGCCGCTGCGTCCAGAACCCTCCACTGAAATAAATTATATATCACCATCACGTAATTTACCTACATCATTGATAAATTATCCAACAGCATTAACCGTAATTTAATGTATTACCCGTTTTTGATCCCCATCGTTGCTCTTCTTCAGACACATCGTTTATAAAATCTGGGTCCGTTTCCCAATCATCGTTTTCTTCTGGACAATTATTGGATGGTTTGGAAGGTGTTATTCCTGTGTATTAAGGAGTAACAATTACTTATTATAAAATTACACGGTTAATTATAATTTAAATAATAATATAATAATAACATACCAACTGATGATTTCCACATGTCTCTAACCTTCGTCTATTCAACCGTTTTAAAAACTGTGCAAATTATCTATCCTTCAATAGGGAACTATTTAGTAAATTTTTACGTATTAGGTTGGAGGGAGGACACACACTTTGAGTAATACTTTGCACTCGTTTATTGAGTGGATATGACAAATGACTGATAAATGAGATGACTCAGAGTGTGACCACAACTGCTAAATATTGTAACAACAGCAAAGCCAAATAATAATTACAGTTTTGACAGCTTTGATTCGCAATTCGCTCCCAGAAATAAAGTTACACTTTCTCTTTCTCATTGCCGGCCTGTAGCAGAATGGTGTTGTTTACATATTGCATATACAAACTGGAAGTGGTGGATAATGACATGATTTTGAGACATGCAGCTTGTTGACACATGTACTAGATGAACATTTATCTCCTCTGCTGGTAGTATTTATTCTTTTCCTATACCGTCAGCCAAAGTACCCGGGTGAGTTGCCGGAAAGGCCAAACCGAATCGAAATTCTTCGATCGGAGCAGGTTTGTGTTTTGCCTGCGTACTGAGACGACCATCGCAGCTGCCTGGATAACATTATTCTTATATGGAACTGAACTTGTATAGAGTGGAGGACATACATAATGATGACCAGACGAGATCATCATCTTATTTGTAGTGAAGCCCAGCAGCTGATGATTCACACTTGAGGAGCGCTGTTATTTCAAGGCGTGAACAATTCATGCATAAGAAGAAGAACACAGAGTCAAAAAGTCTTATAGTTTAGTAATCCTGGATGGCATTGCGACATTCGTCGACACGCCCAACTTCCCTGACAAGATTAGAGAGCATCAAGCTGGATGAGGTGATTGCAACCACCCTGCGTATGTAGTAGTAGTGGTCGTAGTGGTGGTGGTAGCAGTGACCCCGCAGGGACAGCCCTTCTGAACAAGGCTCCATTACGGCGAAATGAGTGGATTTGCAAGCTCTACCCCCACGGCGCTCCAGCTCCTCATTGACGAAATAAAGTTTCAACAGCAGAAGGAGCTTCAGTTCGCTGCACTTCAAGGTAGTCATCAGCCCATTGTAGTCTCAAACATTGTTTGCATAATTAAATATGAAAATACATATTCTTAGATACTGGCGGATTTCTAAGACACGGGACCACGTTTTGGACAGATATCTTTGTGAGACACTTCTTGTTCCAACTGGATAGATCCATTGATGCAGACGATTTACTCTTCTTTATTCGCAAGCGTCATGTTCGAACCACTCTCACGATGCCAAAATTTCAGGTATAAAAGCCAGCAAGTTTGTTCGCCATGTTGGTACAATAAACTGTGTTGTCTCAAATCTTGTTTGTATGTAATGCTTTGTGACATTGTTAATCTAGACGGATGTGGAAGTGTTCAGAAAAGATAGCAAGAAACTGCCGATCGGTGACCCAGAAATTGAATGGAAAGAGACCGTATTCCTCAATCTCATTATTCATCACTTGGAGTACACGCTAACTCTTGCAATTTGTACGAGGACTAGTCCAAAAGACCTCCAAGTTCTCAAGAGACATACTCAGAAGGTGTATGCGTCGCCAAGCCGTCGTAGGATGGACACCAAGGGGGACTTAGAAGAGATCACATATCCACACATCTCATTCATGGTTGACAACTTTGATGAGGTATTTAAATTTATGCCCCCTCCCCAAGAAAAATTCATCACTCGCACTAGAAAATATGTGCTTTTTAATTCAGTACTTTAATTATTGCGTATAAAGTACCTAATCTTCTTGATTGTTATATCAAATATAGGTGTACAGTGACATGAGCGTACGAGATGGTGAAATGGTGTGCGTGGAACTCGTAGGTATGTATAAGAGCAGATAACCCTAAGTATTTGTTAGTCCTGACAAGTAAAAAATTTAAAGGCATTCGTATAATTAATGAATCTATTTGATGCACTTTCTCCTTGGCAGGGTCAGACAGAGATCATGGATTTCAAGTGGTCCTTTTCCTCGGGTCCATTCGGTATGATGCCTTGAAGAGAGTTTACGAATCTCGGGTAGAGAAACATTTTCACATACTTATGTGTACGTATACAGAGACAACATGACGTATTTATTGTCCTATTATTTGTACATTTGCCAGGCAAGTCTTGGCAGCAAAATGGCTCAGAAAATGACGTTTGGATTTTTTGGCGGCTCGAGTCAAAGGGTGGAATATGTTCGTCTTCGTGGTCCGCATGACAAAGGACATGCAGAAATTGCCGTATCAAAGCCAAAAGGTTTTTATTTCGAACAACAAAACTTGTGAACTATGCATATACATAGTATGCAAATGGTCAACTTATATGCATATAAGTATTATTTGACCCATGATGTGTATAGGTTCAGGGGTTGAAACACCTACGTCAGAACCAGGATTTAGCATGACGGATGGAATGTGGGATTCTGAATCAGAGTCTGACACAGAAGAATTTGTGTTCAAACATCATGTACGTATGGTCGCACTACTCTTTTGAATTTGTTCATGAAGTGCAAGTTTGTGTTGTCAGGTTAAACGGGATCAATTTTTATTGGTTGGTTTTACATTTCAGAGAAGATTGAGTGACCCAAGTTCCAATTTGCAAAACTACACGCGCAATACGGGTTGGAAACCCAAGGGAGGAGGTTGTAGCTCTGGTGCTGATGGGAAAAGAACTCGCTCCCAAAGCGACGGTTTGGACCATTGTGGCCTTGCTGAAATAGAAGCAGGCGATCTGAGGGATGGTATGTACCAATTAGTTCTGCTAATTCATACTGCCAACATATAACCATCACCACGATCAGTTTATTTTTGCACGCCGTCCAAGGTTTGTTTTAGACCGAATGAACCATGCCACGTGTTTGCATGCTTATATAATGTATCATAAAAACCACACATTTTGTGCTTTCTCCCAATTATGATTACGATTATTATTATTGTAGTAAGTAGAATAGCAATGGTAGCATTCAGCGTATTATTCATTGCGCTTTTATTATTTGTATTATATTCGAACGAATCAGCTCTATTTTGCTTTTCCATTCCAACCTTTTTATTTTTTGTTTTGTTTTCAGAAGGGAGGGAGGACGAGGTTTGGTCCTTGCGGGGATGTTGTCCCCCTAGTCACAGGACTTGTTCAGAGTGCTGTTCTTGCGCTTGTTGTGCTTGTCCTCCTCGCCCCTTTCCTCGATCCCAATCCCTTAGACTTGATTCCATACCACTAAACCAGCTAGGAAACCGCTCGCATAGTCATCATCATCGACACCCACCGTCATCACAGCATTATTGCGAGTTGGAGTCACAATTTTATCATCAGCAGAGACGACAAAGCAGCAGCCGAGTCCGAGTTCGTCGACACCCACTCATTCCGAGCAAGACGGTGGTCGACCCTCCATGGCGGAGCAATTCCTTCACTTTCCCAGACAATAAAAAGTCCAATTCCGTGGCGTGCCTGACTGATGCAAGACTGATTTGTCGAGAAAAGCTACTCCAAGCCGTGCCCAACAAATTGAGCAGCACTGGGGTCAGAGTCCTCTACGTTTGCGACGTCCCTCTTGAAGCGGAAACCAATAAGACTGGTACGCAAACAAGAAAGCGTTGAATGTGGGTTCTCAAAGAAGTCTGCTAGTACAGATTTTAAATGTTTTATTAGTTACCCCTGTCTTCCAACCACTCATCTACCTTGTACTTAGATTTGCTTATTATTCTTATAATTTTGCCATGACCATTTATGCATATCGCAACATCAATTTCGAGGACGCTTACGAGTTGTTGTTGGCTAATCCAATGTTGAATGTGGTTTGAATTAGAACTGGATGACGGAGCTTACAATCCGCTGTGGACTATGAGAGGAAATACGCAGTCATTTCACATGTGGAGAGAAAACAGACGGCAACAGTCCACCCCTCTCAACGCTTTCCTCACCTATATCTCTTTACCAGCTTCGACCATAATCAAAGGTGAGGAGGAGTTGTCCTATGATCCAAATGTGTTGGAAATATGGAGTACAAGTACACTTTGATATGCATAGCTATGTACGTGTGTATTTATGTTGTTTATTGTGGTTGCAGATATTCTGGAGAACCATGAAGAACCAGTATTGACCTTTTAACAACTCAAATTACCTTAATGAACCATTTTGGATTACTCTCATTCCTTGAGGTTGCTGCCGTGACACGATTGCCAAACAAAAAGATATGCACATTCACATCACGTTGTTTCCAAATTTTGTATATTTTTTGTCATTTGCACTACCCATAAATAAATGTTGTTTACTCTGTAGATTTGAGAGATGAGCTTTAACCAAGTAACATTAAGTAAAGTCAGTTCTGTCCCGGTTAGAGGAGGTCACGATTGATGTGGGTTTAGACGAATGGGGAGCTTATATAGCAGTGGCACGTAGACAGGCAGTATGAAGAGCATCACATGTGACACAAGTTGACATCTTTTTAATCAATGTGACTCAATTTGGGGTTTCCGGGTGCTGTGGTAATGTGAAAAGAGACAGGTAAGTAAACTTGGCCGATTTTCATGGCAGTTTAACACGAGGTGGTTACCTTGAGGAAGAGAAGTATGAACACGGTGTACACCACGAACGCTAAACTCATCGACGCCAGAGCGAACATGAAGAGGTTCAGTTCCGGCTGTTTGTATCGATTCTTTTGCAACCACTCCAATACGGCTTGCTCATCCCCCAAGTCCCCTCTGTAGATGGACGGGAACTTGCGTCGGAAATATACGATGGCTGGGATTTTCGCCACTCCCCATTTTTTGGCATACTTGGTATCCTCGATCCTCACAAAGAGAATGTCCAGGTTCTCCACTTCTACGTCCACCCTTTCAAGCTCTTGTAAGATTTCCCCGCATTTCGGACACAGGGACTCTTCCTCGTCTGCAAGTGTTTTGTGGCATCTCATTAGAGAACATCTTAGCATAGTTTAGTACTCTCATAAATGTATATTTTTCAGGTAAAAGGGAGGATACAAAATTAGGATATCCTTGTCGTCACACTCACAGAAATAGACGCAGACGAAGGCATTTTCATCCAGCAGTTTTTCCAACATCCTTCTGTTCACTTCCTCGATTTCATCCTTGAGTTCGAAGGCTTCGTTGGATGTGAGCTAAAGAGCATCAGAGCTTAATTAATTATAATTTATCATTAAATGTTAAAAATGCAACCTACCCAACCCAATATGGAGGCGCTGTCCATGAGATCCCCTTCGTAAATGAGGGCCGTTCCCTTTCGGAAATAAACCATGGCAGGCAAGCTCATGATGTTAAATTCCGCTGCCGTGTCCCCGTCAACCACTTTGACCATGTCGATACCTTTTCAGGAAAATAATACATTAACTCATAAATCAAAGTTTAGGCGAGGGGAGGATGAGAAAAAAGTATGAAATTATCAAAACGTATTCGATTTGGCACACGAACTCACCATATGCATCTGCCTCGTCATCAATTTCTATAATAATAATTTAAATTATAATTACCGTATTATAAATGGCATATAATAAGTGTGGTAGTAATTTCTAACCCTCTAAGCCAAGCAGTATATTTTCACATTCTTCTTCGCAGTCGTCTTCGTCGTAGAAAAATACGGCTAAAAATGGGGACGAATCCACAAGTTTTTCCTGAAAATTTGCAAAGTTTGTTATCGCTTCTGCATGTTTTGTTTGTTTTGTTTGTTTTGCAATTCAGACCAGCATTTTCAAATTAACAGCTTCTATCTCGTCCGCCAATTCTCGGTTCTCTTCGTCAGTAAGCCAGTCCAGAACTGAAAGAAATAGAGATTGTTGCAAATGAGGGAACAAATAAATAAGCGTTATTGAAAGTCACCAGAGTCTTCATTTTTCAAGTCGCCGTCAAATAGCAGAGGGTTGCCGTTCCTAAAATAAAGCAGGGCCGGAAAGGTCGTGATGCCGTACCGCTTAGCCAGTTGTGGGTCCGCAATTTTGACCATGTGGATCCCATACGAGTCGCAGTCATCATCTAAAGATATTAGAGATATGAGAGAGTAAAGCGATTAGTAATAGTGAAAACCATAATCTCCGATGATGTTGTTCACTTCAGTGTGCATTTTACATGTACGTATCGACGTACGTACATGTCCTCGGGTTCAACTTTTGGGGGCTTTGGCCAAACGACTCTGTGAAACCTGACCTTCACGTTCAAAAATATGTTCCATTCAGTACATCAGCCAGGTTTGTTGCACATGTATATAAAATATTCTACAAAAATAATTTCTACTACATTCGAGAGTGAGAAATATTTAATCACAAACTATTCGACAACAATAATTTTTAATTTAATTTACTTTATGAGAATAAGAGAAAAAGACAAAAATGTTGTGATACACATCGTATCTTAATTATGACTAATTTGCATTAATTGTATCTTTAATAATTGGCGTTAAAGGTTTGTTGTGGGCACCGTAGTCTTTGGTTTAGTTGAAATTCTTCAATGGTTATATCGGATCGGGTTTTACGAACGGTACATCGAAAACGAAATTCAGCATTTCGTTGACCTCTGTACCATGGGAAACATTAGGTTGGTCATCACGTTTCTCCAGTGTTTTCCTATTTGCTGCGTGTATTTGATTGTGTTTGTGAAGCTAGGGGTTTCTTTTTTTTCTTTGGAGGTTCGTCTTCTTTGTTCTCAGACTCTTCGTCGCGTTGTTGTTCTTCTCCTTCATGGTTACTCTAGAAGATAACTGACGGTTTATACAACATTAAAATAAATAATTATAGTGGAGGGTATACTTTGTAATGTCTGATAACGTTGTGGTAAGCTGCGGAGGAATAGATACATCCAGACACAGGACATATATACGGCCTCAGTTTTAAATGGGTGCAGACGTGATCACTATTACAACAATACTATTAGAACACTATTTTATACACCAAACAAAATTGACTTACCGAGAATTGATTACCCCAATCATTATTTTTCCACATTTGTGCCCATCTTCTCGTGCCCATATACAACGGGATTTACTTATTTTGGAACCTTCATCACATGGGACAATCTCCAGGAAGGCATCGCATGCGTCCTCGTCACTCATGTCCATGATGCCGAACGTATTCCTTTTTGGTGGTTTGGTTCCTGCGTGAATGTTGGCTCGATGAGCTTGGAGGCTTGACGGTTTTTTAAAAGAACATGGACAGCAATCACAGGCCACTGCATCGGGGCCAGAATAATGGCATTTCTGGAGAAATTAAAAATATAAAAATATAAATACAAATGAACCAGAGATAGAAAATATCAGTAAATATGTACATTTATATGCTCCGTTAGATTTGTAAGATCTCTATGCACAAATGAAGAACACAATTCACATTTCAGTTTCTCTTGTACCGGCGGGGGTAGACGAGCATTTTCTAATTTGTCAGGAGGGGGAGGGGGAGGATTGTTGAAGTATTCTTCTCTGAGTTGAGGAAGTCGAGGAAGGAACTTCCTCAGATGATCATAAATTTTTTCCTTGTGTTCTGCTAACACAATTTCTGCAGAGTACGGTGCTTCAGCGCAAACAACGCCAAACTTCCTACGGGTGACGTACTTCAGTTGGTCCGCTACCCAAGACTCATCAGTATACATATGGAAGGAGTATGTCATCTCAGTGTTCACTTTCCATCCCCACTGTTCCTCCAGGTCTCTGTAAATTGATCATTTTATAATTTGGTTTTTGCAATGTTACTTTCTAATGCAAACCTTTTGTCACGTACTTTACCTTACATCCGTTCGGGTCTAAAGCATCATTGCAAAACGTAGCGACGGTTGACTCCGTTCTCTCAATAAGGCAGATATTGTCACCTCCTTTGTTCACGGTCATATCACGCATATCCCCATGTCGGTCGGTTAACAGAGAGAAATATATTTGAACTAGATTCTCTAAATCATTCAAAGAAATTACGTTTGGTTCACAATTTAATTAATACTAAATTCAAATAATTGAATTATTAAACTCACTTTTAAGGTCCTGCTCCTCGATAACTCTCATTTGAATCTTGCCGTTCCCGTCTCGCCAGAAAAACAAATCTTCCCCACATTTTGCATGCTTTCGCATTAATTCACTGTCACTTATCATTGCAAATCGATTCAGACAAATGGATACAAATAATCCGATTCACGAGGGAGAGAATTAGACAATAAAACTACAAATCTCCCGGTTTAAGATTTCAGTATGACATTTCCCTTTCACAACCGATTTCTCACAGCCTTTTTGGGAGCACTGGTGGTGTTAATTAATAATTAACACCACCTCTCATTTATAAATTATTAATTAACATCGTGGTGTTAATTATTACTCACATAAATACGACTCACAATCATCACAGTCGTCATCTTATCATGAGATAAGATGATAATAACTGTAACTGTGATCGTACTGTGATTTACGAATCACAGTCGTCATCTTGACGAGCCAAATAATTACCAATTTCATATTATCCTCACTTTTATTAATTATTTAATTATCACCTATGTGTTCCAGCTCCATCAATATGGCGTCACAAGCTCTGCAAGGTTGTTTGTAGAAGAAGACGGCCAAGTAGGCCTGCATATATATTCATCAAACGGGAGTATTTTATTTGTTAAATAAACAGTGCCTCATAAAATAAATTAGTGCAATTAATAGTAGTCATTTTACAGTTTCAATTAATGCTTGCTCCAACATTCCTCTGGTAATAAGCTCTATCCTGGACTCTGTCTTGTGCTCCACAATCCAATGCAGAACCTGGCCAACGAACGGGAAATTAGGGGACATTTGCAACTTGACTAACATTTTCCTACTAATGTACTGAACGATAAATATGTTATTGAGAACTTGCATCTTCTTCTATTGTGAGCTCCCCTTCAAACACGCTGGCAACGCTGTCCTCAAAGTAAACCAAAGCTGGAAATTCAGCGACGCCAATTTCGCCAGCAAAATCAGCATCCGCTGTCCGGTAAAAGTTGACCCCATGCCGAGCAACCTCCTCATCCACGGTTTCCAGCTTCTCGAGTACCTCCCTGCACATTGCACACCCAGCCAAGCGTTCTAAAAAAAAGTCATCGCCATTTTCATATGAGAAGAACCTTTTCAGTTAACGTGAGACTCGTGTCGTCACTACCAACGTCATAACCCTACATTTTCAATTATTTCTCAGCTACCAGAAGGAATTTTGGAATTCTTTCTACGGCTATTTTAGATAATTCCGTTGTGGTCATACTCGAAGGAGAGATTCAATATTTTGGTGGTTTTTGAAAGCTGAGGTACAAAAAGTATGCAAAAAGCATAAGACCAAACGTTATATTAAATTTGTACCTCAGCAAAATTGGTCCATCGAAATTGAAAAATTTCAAAAGAATCTTATTAATCAGTTAATTATCTACAATAGCGGTAGAAAGAATTTCAAAATTCGAGTTCAAAGTCTCAGAAAATAGTTTTAAAAGTTGAAATAACTGGAGTGAACAAGTCCAACAAGACTTGTTGTGTGAGGGCCGTCCACTAACTGTGTATTGTATTGGATTTTAGTGAATCAAGTAAAAACATGAATAAAAATCGTTTTACAAGAAATGCAATACTGTACACAGTGAATGCGTGTCCCCCCACTTTCTTTCGTAAACAAAAAACATATGGGTTTTGGGAAAAGTAAAGCATGGTGAAAAGATTTCGCGCCGTATTTTTCCTGTGAGATTTTTTTGAGACAACCACGTCATCGAAAGGGAGCTTAACGAGAGCCGGAGGTTCACCTGCTTCCGCTTCTGCCGACTCTTCCGACGCTTCTTTGCCCTCCTTCTTCTTCTCCTTCCTCTTCTTCTTGTTGTCTGGCTCACACGCCTAAAGTATGTACATAAATTCTAGTCAATTAAGTATTTACTTGTCTGATACCGTCCGAAAAGTTATAGAGCTTGATATTTAGGTTTGATATTTACGTAGTGGGAGTTTCTCAGAGAAAACATTCCCAGATTTGAACGAAGATAATTATGAATAATGCTGAACGGATAGTACCGAATTGCTTCTTTATTAAAAAATAAATAAAAGTAAAAAGTAAAAAAAGCAAGTATGTTTATGATTGTACTATAAAGGAAAAGTTTAGTAACTTGCTACATTGGTGGTTGCTGAGATTTTGAGATTAATCAGACAGTCACCTATTGTTCGCCAGAATAAAGTCATCATACGGATAGTGTAGAAATATGGGGTTATCTATACATGCGAAAGGTTTTCAAATTCATCGCAATATTTCTCTTTCTATTAATAATGACCTACACAGTATAAATTTCATAATGCGGTTTTCCAGTGAATCCTTCAATGAGATGTAAATATTTATATTCACATGCTAAGTCATAAGCTTACGTGGCTCTTTTCCTTTAATAACGTATACTTTCTTGCCAAGATTATTTGACACTTTATCAGTCTAAGAGACGCCCAACTTACCTACTACTATATAGTAATAGTCAAGGAATCGTCAGGTCTTACCTTGCAAACAGTCTTGTTGACTACGAATTATTTAATTATACGGAACAAAATTAGAAAATAATGCTCATTTTTTGGTACTTTAATTTTAATTGTGGGTTACAAAAGTAGACGACGAGTGAGCTGCCTTCTTCCTCAATCATCTTCCCAAGCTCTTCGCCTTCTTTTTCCTCAATCGCAGTTCCACTTGGGTCCTTCCTCTGCGACGAAATAAGTGGTTCCACAATTTAATTATGATGGATAATGCAGCCATATTAAGAATTTCTACGACATTACTACATACTCACCATCAACAACCACTCCAAAATTTTCTGGGGGGAGCGAAGATCTCCAGCGAAAATTATGGGCTCGTCACTCCCAAGTCTGGGGGTGAAGTAGAAAAATATGGTCAAATTTTTACTGCACAATCTACTATCCTTACAATTAGTATAGTAAAATAAGTAGATTGTGGACATACTTGAAATAAAGTAGGGCTGGAAGTGCGTGAACGCCAAAAGATTTCGCCAACTCCCAGTCATCAACTCGGACAAAAGCAATTCCGTTCTTTTGCATAATAAGGATTAGTAAGATTACTGCTGGTGTTGTAATATTTAGCACTATTTGCATCGAAATACTCCAGTATTTATTAACTTACCTCGTCAGCTTCGTCGTCTATTTGCTCTAAAGATTCCACCACGCGCTGGCACTGTTTGCAGTCTGTTTCTGAAACTAATCAGGAATAATATTTTTGGTTAGTAAAGCAGTTTTGTTAAGGTAGAGATTTGACATGCTTGGCTCCACTCACAAAACATGGTGGCCAAGTGCTCCGTTGTCTCTCTCATCCGATCCAACATTTTACGGTTGACAACTTCAATCTAGCGAAACATCAAAAACGGTACAATCAAGTAAAGTGCGAAACCAAAAACGGATTTGATCATGTAACTAGAAATTCTCTAACCTGGTCTCTAAGGATCATATTTTCCGGAGCGGTCAACCAGTCCAACACTAACAGACATGACATAATCATTTAGTCAGAGTAGCATGCATCGATCAGAGCTTTCATAACATTTGAATATGTGTTGGACGACCTACTTTCCTCTTCGTCGTCCAGATCGTCGTCGTATCGAATGTGTCGTCCCCGTCGAAATAGCACCAGCCCAGGAAGCTCCTTAACCCCGAACCTGAGAAGAAATCAGTAAGGAATTGGTGAGATGGGGGAGACAATTAGGTTGTGAATAATATCAGCGTTATAATATGATCGTCATTTGTTGATTTATTATTAGTGAATAAATCACATATGTAAGCATTATGAAATGGTAAATTTATTGGTAACCTCTTGGCCATCAGGGCATCGTTCATCTTGGCGATGGGAATTCCAAATGTTGCTGATACAATGAGTGCAATTATACAAATTATCAAAATTGCACAAGAAGTGCCATGTTTTTCACCAAACCTGCGTCCTCCGCTATGAGAGAAGCTCTTCGCAGCGTCCTCGTAGACTCCTCGTGAGTAAGGTTGGCATCTGAAAGAGGACATTACCATTTATGAGCAAAATTCACACGTGGTAGTGCTCAATGAGATATAAGCATGATCACAAACAGTCCACGTACAGAAAACGATTGACAAGTAGTCCGAGTCCTGAACCAAATCATCCAAGTCATTCCTCGTCAATTCCGGCAGGGCTTCAAACTTTCTCTGATAGACCAACCAATGCAAAACTTCCCCCTCTTCCTCCAGTGAGCCTGAAACGGGAGCATTGCAAAAGTCGTGCGTGAGAAAAAAAACGAGATGGCATCACAAAAATGACTTGGTGGCAACTGTCCCACTTTTCAAGAGTGATGGTCATGTCAAGTCGATAACGAAGAGTTGGAACCCAAGAAGAATAAACAACTAAATATGTATGTCATGCACTGTAATTAGCTAACCCACTCTAATTTCATGGTGACGTTGAGCGGCGGAGAATAATTGCATTGGCACCAGACCAAGACGAGGCTTAAAATAGACATCATTCATTTATTGGCAGAAGTGATTGAGCATAGAATGTGAGTGACAACCATAGCAAAAGTTGAAATTATATGTGTTGGGTGGACGGATCATGAGGTCGTCTCCGAGGCACTTTATACGGACGGACGATGGATGGATGGAAGGATGGGGAGTGTGCCATATTATTAGAATTGGTCGCTTGCCTCGTCGTTTTTATCGTAACTTAAATAATCTCCAGTTTGGTGGTGCCTGTTCACTTGAAGAGGCGGAAAATGCTGCTGATCACGGTGGCTATCACTCCGTCGGACGATTTCCTCTTCCCCTTGGCCCCTTTCTTCCCATCCTCCTCCACTCGCCCTGCAATAGAGGAAGCAAGAATAGGATGACCTTGGCACAATCTCTGATGATATTAAGTACTTGAGGGAAAGTAGTTAGAAATCATGAGTTGCGTTGATGGAAGGACCATTAGGGAGGTATTGTTAAGGAAATCAGTGGTGTCAATGTTCTCGCTACAACTGTCGTCAACTACTTGCAAGAGATCCTCTGGGTGGGCCCGAGGTTAGATGACGAGAGGCTAACCTGACAGTTTTCCTGTGGACAATATCCTCCTCCGCACAGCCTCTCGGCGTTTACTCTCCACGGGGTCGTCGTCGTCATCTTCGTCGCTGTCGTCGTCTTCTCCAGATTTGGCATGCTCGTCGTCGTCATCTTCCTCTTCGTCGCTGTCATCGTCGTCGTCGCCCCCTAATAATCCTTCCGACAACGCATCAGTATCTTTACCACAAAAGTCAATGTCCGCCGGACAGCAACGGTATTGACGAAGGAGCTGGGGTTTTTTTCTTCGGAAATTATATTTGTCATCATCATCATCATCATCTTCGTCGCTGTCGTCGTCATCATCATTATCGTCGTCGTCATCGTCATCCTCTGAGGCCAACGTCATTGTGATGCACTTGCCTGGCAAAATTACTTGATAAAGGAAGGGCTCATAGAACAGGACCCTTGAAACATTACCATCCACCAGTCCATCCAATAGCCACCCTTTGAAAGTACTAATTTCGAAAACAAACCTAGCTTACGAAGGGACCTCTTTGAGACGTGCGAAATTAGTCCATCCAATGGATATTCACTGGGTGGTAATGTGTCAAGGGTTAAATTATTAAATTAGCCTACCTTCATCATCATCACCATCGTCATCATCGTCGTCGTCTTCACAATCCTCACCTTCTTCTCCATCCGCACAGCTTGAAATCAAATAGATGCGTTTCATCCAACGGAAAACGTTGTCGATTTCTTCCAAATCCCCTTGAGCACACATGAAACGCTTATTTACTACCGCTAAACAGATCTAATTTCCACAAAACATAAGAATTGTGTGCCAAGCTTGGTCTGTGCCGGCCGTCAACTGATGACAGCCTGAGTAAGAATGCCTTCAACATCGTAATTGGGGGTGCCCAATGTATTAACGTATTTTGACATGACATGACCACCACCACCACCATTTTTAGCAGGGGTGCACGCAGGTGTATGAAAAGTGTTTGATGCGCACAAATACTACATTTGCCAGAATATGGAAGAAGTGGATAATGAGGGTGGGTCTGTACCTCGATAAATTGAGGGGAGGCCCCCTTGGTAGTAGACCAGCTTGGGGAATTCCGTCAGCCTCAATTCCTCCTCTGCCACGGACGTGTCAGTCGTCTTAACAAAGTGAATTCCAACGTCGCTCGCATCGTCATCTAGAGAATAATTTGTGTATAATGAAGATGGCCCCATAAGACCGAGTCCTCTCTTTTCTCCAAGTTGCTTACCAATGTGTTCCAACTCTTCCAAAATCTTGTCACACGAGGAGCCGCAGTCATCTTCAAAGTAAAACACTGCCTGTAGATTTGAGTATCAAAAGTTTAGAACAATTTGTGCAACCAAACTTTTGATATTTTTTTAGCTAATTTTTATTTTACCACATTGTCCATCTCATCCAGCAGCATTCGCAATGTGCGATGGTCCACTTCTTCAATCTGGTCACGGTCTGCCTCTTTCAGCTTGAAAACCCAGTCCAACACGGCCTGGAGAAGAAAGAAATAATTAATGTGAGTTTATATTGTCTAGAAAATTGGGTAGCATTTTTAGCAGCAGCAGCTCCCTCGTGGTAGGACGACTGCTAGCCTTACCTCTTCTTTCGACATGTCCCCAGGATAAATCATTGGGAATTTTTCATTGAAGTAAACTAATGCTGGCAAAGGATCGAGGTCGTATTCTCGCAGCATGGCCTCGTCTGCCAATAAAAGTAGTCTTAAATTTCTTTCGACTCGTGCTTTACTTCTCAGAATTCAAGAATATTTATATCGGAAATTTAAAAATACAAGACCTGATATTTTTACGAAAGCAATGCTGGCTGCGTCAGCCTCGTCGTCTGGAATAGAAATAAGGTTAGATAACCATACAGTTGGTTTATCCAAGAGGGCCTAACCAATATTTTCAAGCTCTTGCAAGATCCTTGCCGACTTCTTATCGCCCGAACGGTAAAAGAACACAATGACGTGCTCCGTGGTGTGCAAGAGCCCTGTGTAAGTTATTGAATTATTAAATTCTCAAGAATGGGCAATGAGCAAATAGATGAAAAGTAAACCTACGTTGGAGCATCTTGAGGTTGACCTCCTCGATCTGATCGGGGAGCTCGAGATTGTCTTCATCCGTGATCCAAGTAAGAACTGGAAAAATGCACGAGAAATGCTTATCTGATACTGGCACACTCCAAACTTGTATCGATTTGGGCGATATGCCGAATTTGTGTCATACCTTCGTCCTCATCCGTGATGTCGCCTTTGAAGAGGAGAGGATCACCGTTGCGGAAGAGCACTAGCGAAGGGAAGGACCTGAGGCCCAGACTTTTCGTGGCGAAAATAGTTTCCTCCGTGGTCACCATTGTGATTCCTGCCTCATCTGCATCGTCGTCCAAAGATTCCAAGTCTTCCAGGATTTTGGCACATTTTTCCCCTTTGCCACAGTCTCCACCTTTTCATTTTCAACAAAATGGTGAATACACGACTTGCTCTCGATCTCTAATTTGTGATTTTCTTACTAAAGTAAACCGCAACGTATTGATTTGTTCCAATCAATTTTTGCAGCATCTCATCTGTAACCTCCTCGATAGTGTCCGAGTGTTTCTGTTCTAAAAACCATATACATCACATCATTGGTACTGTTAAATTTCGTTCACTCGCTGTAGTTTTGTTAGAGGGATTTGCTTATACCTAAAAGCCATTCCAGGACTTTCTCCTCGTTTCCTAAAAGAAAAAACAAATGGGTAGAGATTGATGTACTGTTGGGCAATGTCAGATTAATCTTAATTTCGTTGTACCCAGGTCTCCCTCATACACGGAAGGTATCTTATTCTCGAAATACACCTGAAATCAAAGTCAATTAACCTCCGAAGCGACTGGCCTTATGGTAAAAATGTGAAAATTTCTTGCACCAACCAAAACTGGAAGTTCTTCAAATCCATACTCTTTAGCTTCCTCATCGTTGTCAATCTTGACGAAGAGCATGCCATGGCCGTCCAACTCGTCGTCGATATTTTCTGTTACGAGCAATTAGAGATACAACAAGTTACATAATAAATCAATAATGCGCACTGTAATAACTGTGAAAAATATGTAGTAACGTTAGGCACCTAATTCAGTGAGGATCTTGAGGTCTGTCTTGTCATCTTTGTCATAAAAGAGAACTGTGACATAGGGATGGTGTTCAATAAGTTGGTCCAGCATCTCATCCGTAACCTTACAAAAAGTGAAAGTGCGTGGAGGTTTTTAGACCATTTTGTTTACTAATATAGTGATCTATTTATTAGTAATAAATTATGTTGGGAAGCGGAATACCTCTTCAATCTCGTCCGATTTGAGTTGATGAAGAAGCCACTCCAACGTCTGCTCGAGTATCGAAAAATATGAACAAAATTTAGAATTGTTTCAGAATCCTAGGCATTTGCAAGGTTAAGTGGAAGTGAAAGCACCTCTTCCTCGTCTTCAAGCGACCCTTCGTACAAGTGTGGTATCTTGTTCTCAAAGTATACTAAAAATTCGAGTTTGTTAAAAAGGAAAATGCAAATAATTATTTTAGAGGCGAAATGACGGGAAGTGAAGCGTGGAAAAAAAACCCACCTAAAGATGGAACGGGAATCCCAAGTTCTCGTACTTTTGTCTCATCCGATAACTTGACGAAAGGAATGCCGTGCTATTGTCGATCAAGAAGAATGAAAACATGGCCCAAATTATTTGAGAAAGTGATTAAGTATTCTTTCATACCTCGTCACATCGAGAATCAATGTTTTCCAGCTTGTCCAAAATCTTTTGCGATTGTCGACTGTCTTTGTCATCTGCAAATATCACCAGTCAAAGCTTGTAATTTAAGCAATCCCAAATACAACTTGGATATCATTTTGAATAAATTGAAGAAAAACGTTCAACCAACCAAACCAAATCAAACGTGTTTATGAGCATGATTTATAACGTTCCAAATATTCTGTTGGGATCATGTAACTATTTACTATCGTCGGCACGCTAATAACTATTTTTTGTCTCGTCACCCCCTCAATAGTTTAGGTTCAGTTTATTGTCCTAGTTTAAGGTTGACGTGGTAAAGGCGACAGCCATCCCTAAAAAGGACCACGGACGGACGGACTGACAAGCCAAGGAGCATTTTACCACCAAAAATTGTCTACAATCTAGTTGGAAAACCGTGTAAATGAAAACAGCACGAGCATGCAAACGGAGTTATCCTCTTGAGAATAGATAACACTGGGCCATATAACACTAGATATTTGCGGTGGGTGGTACACAAAAATTAGGGTGACACTCGGAGTTAGATATATTCCTAAAGTGGAGATAAGTCTCAGAGCGTGTTAGATCCATGTGGTCGTCGTGTGGGGCTGGTGAGAGGGTGAAAATGGTTATTAGTGACTGAAAGAGCAACGTGTTTGTGGTGAGATCACTGCATGAGAGGAAAAGGTGCCTTTTTGTAGTGGTGGTCCGAAAGATGAGAAAGTAGAGAGGAAAGGAAGGAGCAGACTATAATCGGAGGAAAGAGAAAGTGCATTCTCTCCTCCGCACAGCAAATCAATGGAATACTTACACCGCACCCGCATTAATCGACTTACTTATGAAAAGGACAGCAACATCATGATGTTCCGCTGATATGAGAGAGAACATAATAGAAAAAAAACGGTTTAATAGGTTAGTCAGCTGAACTCAATAAATAATAAATGGCTACGGATACGGGTTTCCAGAATTTCAAGACTCTTTTTCTTGCAGAATAACATGACGATGGCGGATTAGATTTAGTATCGGGATGAATCTTCCGTATTACAGAGAGACACAAGAGATGTGACAACTTACAAAAGAGGACAGAGAGCTGCTGGTTGTTATTTATTAGCATGTTCAACATTTCGTCTGTGACCTCCTCGATCTCGTCAGTCTCCTAAACAGGTTAAAACAGTGGTTTATTATTCTGATGCTAAATATATTATGTGTCTGACGTGTCTTACCACTTGTTCGATAAGCCACTCCAGCACTACATTCAAAACGAGAATGTTCAGACATAAGACAAGGTGTACATTCATTCAGATAAGTATTAGTAATTGGACCTTTCTCCTCCTTGGTCAGATCGCCCCCGTAAATGGATGGGATCGTGTTCTCAAAGTAGACAAGCCTAATAACATGCAATAAATAACCCAGATTATTTTTGGGACAGCAATAAAGTAATTTCTACACGTACTTTGGCGTGTCTTCAATTCCAAATTCCGCTGCCTCTTTCATGTCATCAATTTTGACAAAGGTCACACCGTGTTGATCACACTCGTCATCGATGTTTTCTATATTTACGCATTTAATAGTAATAGTTTAGGCTAATATTTTATTACTTTATTTAATTTGTAGGCATTAGTGTACCTAGTTCTGCGAGTACAGTCGATGACTCTTTTTCATCATCGTCGTAAAACAGGACTACCAAATGTTTCTTTTCTGCAAGTGATATGTAGATATATACATAAGCAGCGTGGGTAGAATCCCAGTCTCATTTTGCCTCCTGCTCCTGGATATCAATTTTATATATATTTATATATCTTTATTACTCACCCTTAATTAATCTGCTCAACATTTCGGAGGTGACGTCCTCGATCTCGTCAGAATCTTTTTGATGCAATAACCATTTCAAAACTTCATCCTCGTCCCTCAAATCTAATAAAATATCCGATAAATTAACAACTGTGACTCGAGTGTGTGATCGAGTTTCTGATTGCCATAATTAAGCCGACTCTACAAACACGAAAAGACACATAAGACGCACCACCATCGTACACGTTGGGTATTTGTTGTTCGAAGTAGACGAGGGCAGGTAAATTTTCCACGCCAAACTCTTTCGCTGCTTTCTTATCATCAGTCTGAATTCGCGCAAATTCAATCAGTTACTCCTCGTGTGAACTTTTGGCATAAGCATGTAGATAAAGTAAGGAAGTTTACTTTGACAAACTCGATGCCTTGTCTGGAACAGTCGTCGTCGATCAGTTCGAGGTCTTTGAGGGCTGCCTCGGACAGGGGGCTCGAGTCGAGGAAGAGGACGGCCAAGTGGTCGATCGAGTCCACCAAAGTCCAAAGCTGGAGGAAAAATCCTGTCGCATATTATATGCACCCCTCACATCGACTTGCGTTTAAATTTACCCTGCACTTACGGCCTTAGCGCTAACGGCTTCTATTTCGTCATCCTTGAGTAACGTTATGGATGAAGAGTAAATATGTATTAATCGGAAATGATCCTTCAATTGCTGAAACACAATACTGCTCTCACCTCATCGTCACCGCTATTTTTGTTGGTGATGAGCCATTCCAAGACATCTTCCTCATTTGTGAGATCGCCTACAGATCGTCAATTTAAAAACTAATTAGGTCCGACGTACAAGTAAGTAGTGGGAAATGGATGGCTACCATCGAACACAATGGGTACTTCCAGCCTGTAATAGACCAGGGATGGCAATGACTCCAAGTTGTACTCATCTGCCAGCTCATCATCCTGGATTTTGACGAAGGCTATGCCCAACTAAAGAAGCACAATGGTCAGAAACTTAAGTTACATATTGATAAGTGTACTAATACCACGACGACTTTATTCTGAACGGAGACGAGCAAATTCTAGTGTCTCATCTTACCTCGTCCGCCTGTAAAGCAGAATAGATCGGTATATTACATTATCAATGGATCATAAAATTACAAAAATGACTTATCATTACCTCGTCATCAATGTTCTCTGCAAACAAGAAGGTGAGAAAGTATGTATAAGGTGCAAGGTCTTCAAATACATGCATGTCAAGTGATACATATTAAAGTGAAAGTCATACCCAATTCCCTCAACACCTTTTCGCATTTCCGACAATCTGGCGTGTCTGAAAAGTTTTGAAGCATTATAAATTAAATTTTATTCAGTCTAGACTTTGATGATAAAAGAAATAATAAAAACTTGGTCATTTTGTGTCTGAACCAAAGACGTTTTTGTGTTTTGGAATAAAACTGTACTAATGAAAATAATAATAATAATAATCATTATGAACTATTGTGCTCAGCAACTCGCGATTTTTTGTTGTGGCACACTACGGTGTACAGAAGAACTGGGTATCTCTGTAAAATTACTAGTAAAATTGTTGTCAGTTATTCATTAAAGCGGGTTAATAATTGTCAACTAAAACTCCTAATCAGAGGAGTAATAAATAAACCCAACTAAACTTTAGTTACTAAAAAAGATGAGAAAACTCAGAAATTAGACCGAGACAAAGAAAAAAAATCATAAAGTATTAGAAGACCCATAAAAAAAGTAACAAGAAGATGGAGAAACTTTCGACCTTACTTTTAGCTCTACATGCCTCCATCGATCTACCTTTAATTACACAGACTTCATTTAGTTAACGGGTCCCAATCGGTTCTGCATATGTTATTGTTCATTGAAATATTCAAATATATTGGAATGTTCATTGCAATACGGACGAATGGAAGTGTTGAAATTTAGTTTCATGTTGTGTGACACTAGAATAATTATGGGAATAATGGGACAGCTGCTAGAACCCCGTTGGACATCGGGGGACTGGGGGGAAGCAATTAAATCGATGAGAAATACATCAAATGGCTCACAAAAGAGGACGGCCACGTAACTTCCGTCTTCGTGAACAATTCGATCAAGTATCTTTGCGTTGACCTCTTCAATCCGATCTCTCTGAAAGACAGGAAGAGAACGTAAGCAACTTATGCCATCATTCAGGAGGTAAAGTCGATAACGAATTTACCGAATCCATTGAGTCGAGCGAGGTAAGAAATTCCAGCACGGCGTCCTGTTCCACACCAGTACAAAGTTTAATTTATTTATGCTTAAATGAGATAATCATTATCCTCTCAGCCCCTGTCTGACCTCATTCTCCAAGTCTCCTGTGAAAGGGACGGGTTCCTTGTTGCGGAAATAGGTCAGTGTTGGAAACGAGTCCACTCCGTAATTTTTAGCCGTGCGTTTGTCGATGATCTTGGCAATATACAAGTAAAATTAACGTACAAAAGTCGTAACTGGTCAAAATGGATGGACAATTTTAGTGAACTACGATATAATTTACTGCATGGGGTAACGTTTTTGGTCTCAATGCAGATATTAACTTTAAACAAATTTTATTGTGCATATAATGAGTGGGTGGGGGGGATGTAATTTGGGTCTGTCCGATGATATTGACTCATCCTGCTTTATATGTTAAATAAATAAACTATTTGAGAATTTGTACCTTGACAAACTCCACACCGAACTTGTCCGTGTCGTCCTGAAATTTTGCACGTGCATAATATGCATATTTATGTATAGAAAGCATTTGCAAGTTTAGTTTTGCTCATATTCTTACATCTATCTTTTCTAATTCTTGGAGGGCGGTTACGCAGGCAGGACAGTTTTTTGTCACTGAAATAGAAATTGTTGGAACACGGATGTCAGCTAGGATTGAGTAGGAAAGCATAGTGCATATTTGTCACCAAGCAAACTTACTCCAGAGCACCGCAACAAAGTCTTTCTCATCCAGCAGTTTGGCTAGTTGTCGCGAGTTGACCTCCTCGATGACAGAGGAGTCCTTGCTGGCGAACACATGGTTATCGGTGGAGAACACCAACCCACCCACGAGACACCAGAGAAGGGTGGTGATGATCTGAGCCAGGCCACCCCCTCCCACGCCCCCTCTTCTGTTGCACCTCCAGGGGAAGAAGTGCAAAAAAATCATGGTTGCGGCACAATCACGACCCACTCGTATATTTCTCCGACAGTGACTTCTTCTATGGCTCCAGCGGCAGCACACACGGTATGCACCACAAAAAAATGCTCTCTCTGGCTGTCGTAGATTGACCTACAAACTACTGATGTCCCATTAGCCGTCTTTCTGGGATCTTCACGATCATCTATTTCTGCCCCAACCCACAATGCCGTGTCACCAATAAACTTTGGGCTAAAAATAGGTTTTGCACACATGGGACGACCCTTTCCGAACATTTCGCACTCATCTGCAAACTGATACTCGTCTCAACTTGACTTTTTGAGCAATGCATGTCAATCGATTCACATTTGCGTAATATGTATGGTTGCTGAAACAGTGGATAAGTATTAGTCCAACTGAGGAGGAATTCCTGTGGGGAATTACAGGATCATATTATGTATAATGTTTGTACAGCATTTTATTCTTTTCCGGGCACACCTAACTCTTTACCCATTTAAACCAATTATATGAATGTAGAGTATTTGTCCTTCAACGTTGCTGTTAATTTTGCATATTACAGAAAAATGGTAAATAAGTCAATACTGAAAGTCCACAAGTCCCATCAAACCTGTGCAACTAAATAATTGAATAAATTTCAAATTATCAAGGTGTATTAATTTTTCCGTTGGATAATTAAAATGATGGAGTGGCGTAAAATTTTTGTTATTCAAAAGACTAGAATTTATTCAGTATGACGTGACAAGGTTATACTGTTGGGTTTACAGGGTCAACTGAAAACATCAAATAATAATCTTTTCTGTGGAGGATGGCAGAAGCCTTCTTTGTGAGTCATGTTTCGGTATTCGACCCGAGACGAATGGAATGATCAGTAATGACAGTCTGATGAGGAGTTGGTGTCTTGCTTTGGATCCGCTAATTTCGTCCAAAAATAAACTTTAACAAGATGTTCACAAATTCAAAAGTTTGATCCTCCACCAAAACCTGTGGAATATTGGAATACTTAAATTCAGCCACCATTACGATGTTTCACATATTTAAGATATTTTTAATTTTAAGCATGCATACCACATCAAATGTTTCCTCATACAGACTTAACGACTCTTCAACCTGTGAATAAACCACAGCGAGATGATTTTTACACTTTATGCACAAGTCAATAAAATTGTGAATTGATGGACTGAAATCATTAGGAATCTACATACTTGAGAGGGATCATTGAAAAATCCAATCTTAAAAATCGTTTCTGGGTCCTGCATTCCTTCAGCCATTCTCGCGTCTGCAAGATGATCTCCGAGGAGAAGGGCGTTTGGTCGATGACTAATGTCCTCAAAATATGTCGAATTCTCTATCGCATGCTCATTCTTGTTGAATCTGAAGTGACAGAAAACATTGGCAAAGTTGACACCTTAATTTTACTTTGTCAATTCGTGACCACTTACACATGAAGTAATGTAGAATTTTTGTAGTCAATAACAAATCCTTCATCGTCATATTTGTAAAAATTTGCGATAACGTGTGCGTTGTCAAACATTACGCCATCTCGCTTCATCACAGCTTCAATAATGTCCCCATTTCCGGCAGAGAAGATTAGTACAGGAACTTTCTCTTCGTTCAGCCAAGCTAAAGTTTTAGGGGCTCCGTCCCTTAAAACTACGCCACATGAAGTTACCATTTCTTCAATTTGAGACCTTTGCACCCTGGATGCAACAACGACATTTTTGCGCTGTTGGTACCATTCGACCATCAGTGGAATTTTTTGCTCAACGGGCATGTTATGATCAAATTCGATCGGCCGATATTTTTTGTACAGGGCGTTCACTTTGTCTCGAAAGTCTTGGCTCATCAATGAACTATTGTTCATAACACCTGGTCCACTGCATGCCGGCGAACCATCAGGGAGATGCGATTTCGAGAGAGTGAAGTCAAAGTCAGTGATGACTTGAAGGGATTCTGGTCCTCGAGACACGAGAGAGTCGATCATTTTCCCCACTTTCGTGATATCTTTAATTTTGACTTTTTCAGGATGTGGATAAGAGCTGATAATCTGCAATTGTTCACCAATATTTCAGGAATACTATATTTCAAGTTAGTTCAACTAAATAACTACCATTTGTTGTATCGATAAACCATAATACATTAACTAGTAAACCTGCTGATAAATAGGTAGCTAACCTGTTTTAAAAGTGAGGACATTTTGCCTGACATTTCTTGAATAATTGACAACCGTATTACTCCCAAAAGTCGCTCCCTAGTCCCTCCCCAGTTGGAAATTTTTTGAATGAAATTAGTGCAATGCCATTCGAATGATCCAATCCCGCACTACTTTTTTTAATTGCTGGATGATATGGAGACAGTCGAAATAGTTCAGAATCAGAACGTGAATATTCACATTCCACAAGCACTTTTTGTAAAATTTGCTTCACTTCTTCATCCTTGACAGATTTTTTTACTGGTGACTTGCTGCAGGCTGCAGCTGATCACCCAAACATGTGGAAGTGTGGTTTCTTTTGTATGTAAATAAACATTCTTGTTGCTGAAGTGGAGATTTTTTTGGTTTTTGTTTTAAAAAATGTACACGAAATATTAACTAGACTTGAAATTATATTAGCAGAGGGATGTGTGCTTTACTGGTCGTGGTAGGAGTACCGATAGTCTTGTGATGGTGTTCCACGCACTGTATTCCTTGTTTCGAAGGTTTGTCGATGCCATTTTGCAAATGTTGGGCGTAAGTTCGTCATCTCCTCGGATTGGTGGTTCCCCAAATACACTTCACGTGCATGTCAAGTACGCCGGTCGCACGGTTCAAGTGGACCTCGACCCGTCTTGGAGCGTCTCTCGGGTCAAGGACGAGATTGCACCCTTGCTCAAAGTCAACCCAAATGAGATCAAAATTATTTTTGCAGGGAATGAGCTTCCAGACTCGTTTTTGCTCGAGGTTATAAAATGTTATTTAAATTCATCCTGATCATAGTGATCATCACATTATCTATCGTTATTACAGTGATAAAGTAAATATTTAAACGTAAAACACGATTGTTTTACGTCTTTAGACCTGTGACGTGGGACAACAAAGTTATCTTCACGCTGTTCGTGTCCAAATTCAAAACTCAGCAGCAACAGCCTTATCTGGAGGAGACAATTTAATGAGAGCCGATGTCTCGAACAACGCGGGGGCTGCTGAAGTTCCCATGCCACATTTGAGGACGAGAACATTTTCCAGTAACAACGAGGAGGACGCTGAAGGCGGAGGAGGAGCGATATCCTCAGAATACAATAACCATCTAGGAACGGAAGATGAGAACCCAACAACAACAACATCGGTAGCACCAGCGGCGGATAAGCAGTCAGACTTTTTCGTCTTTTGTCCAGAATGCAATGATCTCAAGGAAGGTAAACTTCGTGTCCGATGTGCAGTTTGTCTCTCTGGAGCATTTATGGTACACAGACCTCCGGAAGGGTGGGACGACGTGTTGGTGCCTTCGCGTATATTGGGCATATGTGACGGTGATGGGGGTTGCGATGGAAGAAGGACTGACACAACGTATGCTCAATTTTACTTCAAGTGTACACAGCATGTGACCAAGGGGGAGGATGACTCTGCTTCTCCACTCTCGTTGATAAGGAGGAATCGCGAACAAGTACCGTGTTTGGCTTGTGGGGATGTCAAGGAAGTCGTTTTCATCTTCCCTTGCCAACTGGCTCATGTAACCTGCACCGACTGTTTCAAAGATTATGCACTGGCGAACTTAAACCAGCGAGGATTCATTCAGGTGGCCTTGCTATTTATATCACTATGAGCATGTTTTGTTTATTTTATATGTATAGTATTCTAATGAAAATACATTTTTCATCTGATTTTATTGACATTGTAGGATCGGGATGTTGGCTACACTTTGGGATGTCCTGCACTCTGCACAAACTCGCTAATCAATGACCCTCATCATTTTAAGATACTGGGAAAATATCAGGTAGAGTCATTGTTGTTGCAGATTGCACATATGTAAAGCATAGATTAACCGAAATAAACGATTTTCAGTATGACCGATACCAACGTTTTGGAACGGAAGAATGTCTTCTGCAAATGGGAGGTGTTTTCTGCCCACAGCCAGACTGTGGAATGGGGATTATTCCCCAGGACTCTAATTGTGATAAAATTGCCTGCTTGCATGGCTGCGAGGTTTGTTATTATTAGTATTTGCATACAAAATTACTTATTTACTAAAAAAAACTATGCTTTTGACTCCTTCTGTCAGTACGTCTTCTGTCGTAAATGTTTGGAAGGATGGCACCTAGGTCCTTGCCGATCAGAAGGCCAAAGTCTCCCTTCTGCTGAAGACTGTTCTTCTGGGGGATACCGAGCAGCAGGGTATTTTGTGAGTGAAGATCGGGCTGCCGCAGCCCAATGGGGAGACCCCACCCGACGTGCCATGAGGTTGTCCACAAAGCCATGTCCCAATTGTCGCGTTCCCACAGAACGAGCTGGGGGCTGCATGCACATGGACTGCACAAAATGCAAATTCGAATGGTGTTGGGTGTGTCAGACAAAGTGGACTCGAGAATGCATGGGGAACCATTGGTTTGGATAAATTACGCCATAAAGTCACTTCCGTTAATAGTCATCCAAAAATATGCAACACATACCTCATGTCTTTCTTTGGACAAGGAAAAGGAAAACGTGAAATAGTGCATGCAGACATAAATTATAATAATGATGCAGTTAAAGTTAAAAAGAACGACGTTATTGATTTTAATTCTGAAATAAATATAAGTACTGAATTTTAGAATATTTTACTTATCACAAAATAAAAATAAAAATATTTTACTAGTACAATACCTTTGGATGTGCAATTGTCTCCTTCCCCACCAAGATTAAGACGATGATGATTCAGCGGCGGTGGTTCACATGTCTAACTCGAATCCAGGAGTTTCCTTCCGGTTTCACGTTCTGCACTCTGCATAGTCTGCATCTTTCTTTGCATTTGTTTTCATTTCCTGCATTTTTTTTATGAAACAGAACGAGTAGACCCCACTGAAGGAACTGTCAACTTCAATTGCAGCAACCGTAAGTAAACTTTTCTCCTATTCCCAGAGTCATATTACTAATTACGCATTCAATTTTATAATTCTATCCAATTATTAGCAAGCTCTCTTTGACTGAACTTTACAATGGACGACGAGTATTGGAGTAAAGTGGGGTCAGGATGCACAAGTTCGGTCCGGGGGATTCTGGACATGGACGCCTTCGAGCTCCAGATCCACCTAAGACTTCGCCACCCTCCGGAAGAAGCTCGAGACATTTATTTGAACCGTCCATGCATCCTTGTTCATCCAACAACTCCTCGGTAGGCAAGCACAACCACCATGCGTATATAATTCATGCGGTGCAGTAGTTCTCTAAAGCTTTTGAAGTGAATATATTGAAAGGAATGCTTATCAAAATGCATATAAACATGTGTTAATTTATGCAGGATCATATCCGTCAACTATATCGCAAAAAATGTTTACGGAATCAGTCGGGACAAGGATAGTGTGAAGGAAGCCCTGAGGAAATGTCAAGATCTGATGGTTGTGAAGAAGAATAGTCTTCAGATTCCCACCGGACCCAGTCCAAGTAACCCGATGGTCGAGAAGGCCGAGGTGGAGGAGCTCATACGAAGCTCTGACGCCGTGCTCGATGCAATTGTGGAGTGGAGAAAAATGGGAGGACTTCGCATCATCCTTTCCAACGTCTCTAACGACGAAACATTCTTAGACCTTGCAGAAGAGGTAGACATAAGGATGAGGAAAAACCCTGCCTTACTCGTTAATGGTGGGTGAACTATTTTCTTATATGTTTTGCATGCCCATTTCACCACTATTTAAATATTGGCATTGTTTTACTTTCTCTTAGGTGAGACGATCGGCCAGAATACGCACATGGAAGGTAAGACGAAGTTTAAAGGACCAGCAATTGCCTTCCGGTATCACAATGTTCATTCCGAGAACATGGATCAATATTCTGAAGAACGAAGGCTGATTGTGGGGGCCATAATTTTAGAAGAATTTCGCAAATATGTGTTTAAGCAAACTGGATTGGAAGCGTCTGGTGGGGTCGCTGTCAACAATTTGGTGGCCAAACTTGCCTGCTCCTTACACAAGCCTGGAGGAATGACAATCATACTGCCAAATGGATTCCCACGAATTTCCAAGCGGATTCCTATAGAGAAAGTGCCAACGTGGGGTGGCCAAGTCGGAAAAACATTAAAAGAGTGTTTTGGCCGAAACATGTTTGACTTGACACAAATTCCGGTGAAACTCATGAGCACTAAAACTGGTAATCTTCCTTATAAGCGTTTTCAGCCTTCTCAATAAGAAGATTAATTAAAATGATTAATTAACTTGGTCAAAATTATTCTGCAGGGCTTGGGTACGAGACGTGCAAAAGGATTTCCAACATGGCACATGGAATATATTTTGAAGAGCTTCGAGAGAAACTCATGAAAGAAACTTTGACGGTGGGGATATCCAACCTGCGAGCAGCAACTTTGTGGTACTCAAATCTCGACAGGCTTCGATATGTTGTCAAAGAACTCTTGGTAGAGCTCTGTGGTCGTCTCGAGCGGGAGGAAAGGCGCCATCGACGAAAAGCGGACTCTGTACGCGTGGAATTTCAACTCAACCCAAAGGGTCATAGAGGACAGGCTCTTCCTAATCGTGGTTTCACCCTCAACCAGCCAGAATTTGTGAGGCTGTTGGCGAGTCCCACCAACGTTAGAGTGCAAGACCTGGAGTGGCTTCTCGATCGGGTCTTCGAAAATTATTCTGCCACCATTTTGCAAGAATTTCGTGCCGCCACGATCGTGAAGATATCCCTCCATGTGCCCTCATTCTCATCCTTATGTCCGTCTGTTCCTGATCCACAGACCATTGCGCATGCATTTTAGATCTATTCTCATGACTTTCATATTTTTGTACGACTTATCGGTGCTTCCTTATTGTTGACGACAGTCAAGTTTATATATCTTCAGAGAGTTTATCAATTTGTATTGACTAGAGGATATTGTTATACAAAAATAGATGAAGTGCAATAAATAAACGTAAAAAATGATCACGAGGCGCAGGTGCTTAGTGGATGCTCTTCTTATTTTTGTCATTCTTCTTTCTAGAAAATTCCTTGCTCTCGATGATAAAATATCCAGCCATGCCCACCGTGATCACTCCGACGAGAATCCAGAGCTTGGGTCGGACACAGAGGACATTGGAGAAAACGTAGGCGAGGATGAAGCCTACCGATTCCCACAAACGGTAGTTGCTGAACGCCGCTTCTTCGTCTTGGGGAAAAATTACGCCGTAGAAAGCTAACAAAGGGGAAATTAAAAAGGTCACAAGGTTAATCATCATTTGCATGAAAACTATTCTTTGTTATGCTTTGTGTCAATAACCATTAATCTGGGTCTGCCAAATAGCATCCGATACACCCCAGCAGCCAGCTACAAATTATAATCATCACACTATAGCCATAAAAAAGGCGCATGAATAGTTGCGATTTGTGAATACCGATGATGAAGAAGATAATGGGGGTTTCACGATCTGGCGTCCATGTGAAGAAGACGATAATGATGCCTATATAATATTTGTTTAAATAGATAAATTAAGCTTTTTATAAACACATTTGTATTAACTTCATGCCTATGTTCACTGCTGCCCCAAAAATGAATATCGGGAGGCGACCCACGTAACGGATGAGAGGACCAAAGGACACGGAAGCAACGGCATCGCAAACACCGTAGCAAACGAGCACATAGCCAATCTTTTCAATTCCCCAGGCGCAGTCCACCCACCCCTGTCGACGACAATGCAAAAAATATCTTACTGTTGCATGGTTAATTCACCCAATTTTTGCATCTTGGGACAAAATAGATATGTCGTGGACTGAATGAGTATAAACATACCGTCGTGAACTCAGCACCGAAGAAGCCTTGCTCCATCCCAGACCAGATTGTGATGGGGATAAGCCTGTTATTTAATAAGCTTAATTAGATTAAACGGAGAATCAACGTTATATCAAATAAAACGATAATCTATCCAAACTAAACTAACTAAAATATGTTAAACGGAACCAATTTTATCAACAGTTATTTCTTTTCATATGCTTATCTTTCTATTTCCATCTACGAATCACTCACATAATTTGATATGGTTTCCGCATGTGCCTGAAAGTCGCGATAAACAGACTTTTCCCAGTCAGGGTGGACGCTGCACCCTGTCGCTCCCTCTCACCGTACCTGACAACACATAAATTTGAAATGAACGGAACGAGAATTCGACAGGACGATGACTGTGATGGTGGTGACCTTACCGAATCAGTGGATCCAGCAGCAAGACGATCACCACGACGGCTGCCAGTGAACAAGCGAGGTAGATTGACGCCAAGATATAGAGCGTGGTGTTGTTCTCCTTGTCATCATCGTCCTTGGGGTCCTCACAAAACTCGGTGTCGGGGCAGAACTTGACGCCACACATGGTGGAGGCATCGTTCGTGCAGTTCTTGGTGTCTTGGCTCAGCACGGCTGACGAGATTAACTGTCCCCAAACGGAGGCAGATTGGAAAAATAGGAAAAACACGCCAAAGAACCGGACAATGATGACTTGGGAATTGTCGTGGACCAACTCTGCGTACTGGTGACCCAGGTGAGTGAGGTATGTGCACTTTGCCGACCACAACGGCGCAGCACAAATCCCCACGACCACTGCGGCCGGGATGAGTGTGTAGAACTCTGCATAAAATTGGGCCGCGATGTACACCGAGTACCCAAAAACTGCAAAGGAAAGCTGTCACCAAACGTTGATTAGATTTTGACAAAATTTTATGCACCCATAATATTGCAACTTGTGAAAATATGTAATGCAGTATTACCGTCCATTTCACGGTGAACTTTTGAATTAGGAAAGTGGGGAGGAACATGGACGAGACGACGAGACTCCCGTACAGCACGCTCAAAGAATATGTTCCAAGGCCATCCACGTTGTTTAATGAATTTTGAAGGGAGGCCATAGACTTGAAAGAGATAATTGCATAATAGTCAATGTGTTATGATGATAATTAGGGGAAATTTCGGAAAATAGACTTAAGTAAATGCAATGGTGTGTGCATACATACATACACACGCACGTAAATACTATGCACATACTTGAAAGGCCGTGAAGAGGAGCATGAAGGCGATGCAGATGACGATCAAGTTCTTCAACATACGAACCTTCTCCCCAGGACCGTACTCCATGTGCGGCGTGTTACCCGTCCCCACCGCCGTCTTCTCGCCCCCGGAGGAAGGGAGCCGGTCGACGTCATTCTCCTCGGGCACAAACCCCGGGTTGACACTCCCACCTTTGTCCACACTCATTATGTATGCTCAATTTGTTTGAGAAAAATGCCCCTCTGGAGACGAGGCTAGTGTCAGAATACAAGTAGGTCTGGACTGGAGGCCGCTCTATTATTTCAGACTACTAGTATTACGGTCTTGACTTTGGAAGGGTGCAGCACCAACTGAGTGAATTGGTGGCTATTTGCGTGGAATAAGTGTCCACAATTGACTTGATAAGAATGACATCATGATAGTGCAATTCTGCTCCGTGTGTACCTACGGAGTATGGAGTATACCGAAGTAATAAAATGTGCACGGGAGCAAATTTGCTGTATTCCATGCTCGGTATCTGTTTGTTGCTCGATCACTCTGGTTTTCTACATATCGTCGCCGCTGCATCCTTTCTCATTAAATCATTCATCCATTGTGACAATCAAAATCATAATAAATACACAAAAGCCATTGTCGTCAGTAATATGGAACAGTTTCGAGCGCACAGTCAATGTCATACAGTTACATATCATGTTATGAATTTCGACTCTAGTAGCAGCCAGCCAGTTGGATGCCATGCCATGCAGACTCTTGTTTGAAAAATATATACATAAGCGCACCGTAGGAAAGAATGCCGATGAGTGGGTGGTGGTGGTGGTGGTGCCGACGACGACGGGTGATCATCAAATACGCAGATTAGACAGAAAATTACTTTCGAGCGAGATATTGCAGAACTTTAATCGCGAATTCATCAACAATGCCGTGTTCTCCGTATTAATTTTCAGACCTCTTGTTTTTATTAAAACATGGGAAATTCATATTCATACGAATGGGGAATTCAAGAGGGAGATGATCGAAGGCGTGTACTTATGGATGGATGGATGGCATTCACCACGGTTATCAGCATTTAAGCCTTTGCATGGGCTATGTTTTTATCATGGTTGTGGTGATGGGTTTGAAATATTTGGTCGCATCATCGCCTCTCTCATATCGCATCAGCAGACTCGTATCAAGCGGTCTCAGCGTGGAAGAAGGTTGATTGATGAGAGATGAAGGGCATGATCGATGATCAAGAGTACGCGTGTCACACAAGCTGTACACCGATTCAAGTGGAACACCTGGAACAATCAGTACGTCCATAAACTTGAAAAGATCAAGTGCACACATTGTCATTCAGTTTACTCGTCGTCGACGTGGTGTTCGTCAATGTCATCATAAGTGGATAACAGCAGAACAATGGGACAATATTAATTGGGACGAGTCAAAATAAATATTTATGTTCATGGAATAGAATTGTCATTCATGTGCATGGTCGCACAATCAGCGTGCATTCGAATGCGAATTATGCAGCCATCCCTCCGTTAATTTGCTGTCACCTCATGAAAAATTCTCGGAACCAGAGTTTTTGTACGTATAGCCCGAACTAGGGCTTATGTAATCGCCATATCTGTCTGATAAGTTTAGAACGCGTTGGCCAATTTTGACTAAACTTAGCAGGATCTTGTATCTAGGGAATGTAGCGCCCGACCTCGAAGATGGATTTGATCAAAAAAGATTTGGGTCGGTGGGGGTCATATTTATTAGTGGTGTGGGGGGTGCAGAATAGTCAAAATATCGTAGAAGGCTGAAATTCGGCACAATGGTCTCAAAGGAGTATAAAGTAAAAGTTGAAATTTTGTTGACTGGAAGGACGGCCCAAGAGGATGACCCCCTCTGATTTTCAGAAATTATCTTAGAAAGCACAAATTTGGCGTAGAGGTCCCAAATGGCTTCTCATGAAACAATATTTATGAAGTTAAATGCGGACAAACTGCAGAGAAGCCCTCGTAGGTGACTGGCCCATGCCGATTTCTAAAAGCTTATATTTCAGCTAAAATTTAGCATTCTAAAGCCTTTTATAGAGAATAAATGGCAAATATCGTCCTTAAGTGCCAAATTCTGAATGTGCGTTGCAGCATTGGAGATGTCCAAATGTATTATGTTATGTAATATTCAACGACGATTAACTAATAAATCCTGGTTCGGGCTACGTGAAGCTGTACTGAAAAGTTTTCAAATGTGCAATGAAAAGTCCTTCGATAAGTGAGCCTCGATTCGCTTTGACGACATTGCACGATGGAATAGAATGTGTGATTACTCTGATTATATAAATTCCAGTAAGCTTACAGAGTTGGATACGTTTAATAATGAGGTGCGAACTAATAAAAGGGCAGCAATAAGCCTCGGTTAAAAAGATTATAATCATTTTCAGGAAAAAGTATTATTTAATAAGCTTAATTAGCAGAATAGATTAGACGGAGAATGAACGTGATATCAAATTAAACGATAACCTATCCCAACTAAACTTAACATATGAAATGGAACCAATTTTATCAACAGTTGTTTCGTTACATATATATGCTTATCTGTCTATTTCTACGGATCGCTCAATCATCGTCAACATTATCATTATCGTTATCCTCATCATTTACGACACAAGTAATAAGGGGCCGTCCATAAATTACGTCACGCAAAAATCATCATTTTTTGGACCCCCCCTCCCCCCTCGTAACGGCATCGTAACGCTTCTCGACTACCCCCCTTCCCCTTCGTAACGTAACGTAAATTTGATTTCACCGCAGGTAATTTCTTTAACAGTAACTTGCAAAATTTTCATTTGCTCCAGGTTGTGTAGACAAATGTCGCTTTTATTGCTTCTATTTCTTTTAAATTGCTAGATAAATTAGAATTTTGTGAATTTCTTGTTCAAGAACAACCGAAATCATATTCGACAAGAAATGGAAATTGTAAATCTTACAGGTCTCTCAACGTTTACCAAGACTCACAATGGAACCTTTTGTCAAGTTGCACCGGGAAAACTATCGTACGACCATTAATACATATGTAGATGAGTACAATTCTTGACAACCATCATGCCTCCTAAGTGACCTCGTTGGGGCTCAGGTGATCGGCAAATTCCGATCAAATTCTCATCTTAAAGGTAAGGCTCAATTAATCGTGAAACTTACGTCACACCATCGCCCTCCGAGGTCACTGTGGAGGAATGATGGTTTGCAAGTAGGCAAGAATTTTGCTCTTCTTTTAATGTGAGCACCATAATGAAAAACGTATTTACATGCGTAGACTGAAACCTTCTGGATGACATGAGTTCAATCCGATTTTTAATCGCGTTTATGAAATGCGTTACGTAACAAATTTGTTATACCCCCCTCCCCCTACATAACAATTCGTAACGCTCTTCCCATGACCCCCCCTCCCCCCCTCTTGCGTTACGTAATTTATGGACGGCCCCTAATACCAATAATGAGGAAGGCGGAATCTTTGTTGAGATTTGAGGCTTTTCATTGAACTTCACTTTTGGTCACTTTTTCGCCAAAGTGGTAGCAAGTTTCAAGGGCATGCCGTCGGAGTCAACGAGATGGGTTTTACTGTCGCTCAGCACCTTGGACAAAGTTATCGGCCCCTCTCCAATCTTGGTGTGGATAATGTAGCGAAGGGAATCCTCAGGCCAAGGCTCCATACTGCATATATCGTCAAATTCCTACAAAATACCAGGAGGCGTATACATACTTCCATTTATTATTTTTCCAAACAGTACAATACGCACTACTGAAGGTAAAACTTACGGGAGGGAGCGATTTTAAAGGTGTCACTGGAATTCCTTTGGAGTACTCGGTGGAATGCTGTTTGGTTGGGAAAACTTTGTTCACTGCGGCCAAAACGAGAGGAATGTCCTTCTCGAGGAGATAGAGACACGCGTTGGGACCAGCGTCAAAAGTATACGCGACCTAAAACATATTTGCTCCTGTTAGTAAAAATAACGCCCGGAACATTTTGTTGAGAAATGTATTAAAAAAGTACAATATGTTTTCCAGCGAGAGCATTGATTCTGTGGATCAGGTGTGAAATCCCATGGGACACGTCATTCATGTAAACACAGGTGGGGAACGTATCCAAGCAAATTCCATGAAACTGGTTGCTGTCCTTCATCGTAATCTCGGCAAAGGTTTCAAAATCTTTGGCAAGAATGGCCTAGGTGCAAATGGAATGCATTATTATCAATAATAATGTTGCTAAATTAGGGGAAGGTTAATTCAGTGGCGGTGAACTTGTTGACGTACATTGGAAATGGCTTTCATCCGTTCTGGCACGCACTTTTCCACGCGATATTTCATGAGCTCGCTGGTTTGGACGGAACGCTGCATGCCCGAAGTGCTGCTCGTCTTTTTCCTCGTGTCGGATACCTAATCATGTCGGCAGAATAGTCACCGTATCAAAACTTAGATCTATGTTCATTCATACATAGTTGTTGGTGGGAAGAACAGGTTGGAGGGCATGTCAAAAGTATACTTACGACGAGGATGAGAACCCTCATTTCCGGCCAATGGTTTGCAGGGACTAATTGTTTTGCAATCGAGTCCGTCCCATCTGCCTTGACGCCCGAGATCCAGGCCACAAATCCCCCGTACACGGAACGACATGCCGACCCCGACCCTTGGCGTGCAATTTGAGAAATGTCCCCACTGATCTCGTACAGTTGAGCGAGTGAATACACTTGGTGACACAAGTATGCGATATTGTTATTCATCTTGCCCGGCGTGGAATATAAAGTGACTACTGTCACTATCGAATAGAGTGTTTTGTTTTATTACCAAGACATGCATATCCAGCAGCGGAAGATGCCAACCCTGCCGCCGTGGGAAAATTATTCTCTGAACAAATGTACAGATTCCATGATAACTCCTCGTCACTCAACGTCCCCTCCTGCTTGGCACGACGCTTTACTGCAATTCACAACTTAACTGACAACACAGACCTGACATTGGAACCATTGGGTGACAAAGTTTGAGGGATTTTATTACTTTCATCGATGCAGGCCCTGAGTCTGGGATTGTCCAGGGTCTCCTCCACACCATTCAGCCACATCCTTTCCTTCGGGAAGGTCGAACTTATTGCCACCGTTGTTTTTGAACACATCTGAACAGCGATAATTAATTTGTGTACCCGACAAACTCTCGTCTTGGTTTCAGATAAGTTCTTACCTGGTCAGTGCTGAGAGTGCCACTTAAAGAGTCATTAAGAGGCAAGATGAGACGCTCATCTCTTTTTCCCCCTGCAATCACAAAACCGGTGAGTCTCACTTATTGATCAGTGAGATAAGTAAATGAGGATATCCCAAGTTAGGAAATCAGATGAGGTCAGGGCGACTCACAATACTTGATGACGGCAATGTTCACTGGGGCGATGCAAGTCGCAATTTTGCTCACAGCCATGATCTTGCTGGTCAGTCGGACTGGTCTCACTTGGCCTCCTCTCGACTTGCACTTGTTCTGGTTGAATGGAATGAGGTGTCGCCCGATGCTGTCTTCGGACTTCGTGGGAGGAGGATTGTTTCTGGCCTAATTGTTGCGACCAAGTAAGTAAGTACGGATCAGACACAGAGAGAGGATCAGATGATGGAGAGGGGATCGAGACCGGATGTGAATTGCTGGTGGTTTGGCCTTCAACTGGGTCTCTCTTCTACGGGGTTACGCAAGACTCGATTGTCTGAATCTATATTACTTCTCTTCTCATGTGCACATATTCTGTATTGCACAATCAACTGGGATAAATTCTGGTTGGTTAGATAGTGGTTGTTGTATCATAAAAATCGCTAGTTAACGTGCAGAACTGGGTTTCGGTTCATAATTTTCCAGCAATGTCGCAATCTACATTCATTTCAACCTTACAAACAGAGTAACTTCTCAAGAAATCCCAGCCTTGGAGCATCAACTACCTACGTACGTCACTTGGTGGATGGCCATCTATTTGCCTCATGCTACTATTATGAAATAGATTTTCTGACATTTCATTTTTTGAGAAGGATAACTCTTGGGCCAGGAACACAATGATGATTATTGTAAATTATTGTATTCATTGCGTTTGATTTTTCACTTGTTTATTCAAGTAAATAGCACGATACATACATTAGTATTTGTTGGTCGTCAATTATGTAGTTAGTCATTCCAGCACCATGTATATAACATACTGCACATGTATGTATAAAATTGAAGGAAAGTCACTATAAGAACAGGCCACTCCTCAACGCAAAACAATTACCAATATCATTTAGGCTTTGTTGTTGAATGTTTGTTAATGCAGTAATTGGTCAGATTGTTTCGAAGGAGGGGATGATTTAGTAGATTGTTCCCAGCAGTAGTCAAACGCAAACGGTTTCTCCGGTTGGGCAAATGTGAGAAGTTCCAAATTCTTTTCGTAGTCCTGAATCTTGAAATAAATTAGTCGTGAAAGTTAGTTACATAATAATATTATTTAAAAAATATTTGAAGGGAAGGGTGACGAGGCGGAGTGGCAGAAATGCCGTCCCGCTTACCGTCCACCTGAGTGGGCTGAATGGAGGTGCTGGGTTCAAGTCCTAGTGCCTGCAGTGGGTTTTTCTCGTTTTTCCCCACTGCCAAGCTCAGGTACTCTTCTCCCTCCCTGGGTAATGGCCCATTCGTGGGGTCCAGTGGTTGTAATAAAGGTTTTTTTTTTGACCCATTGGTTCCGTGAAGAGACTGCTTTTCTTTCTGATTAATTAGCATACCTGATTAATTATCTCAGCCCCACCACCTCCAGCGTCCAAAGTGAGATCGCACACTTGTCGGAATAGGGATTCTGGGGTGTGACAATTTTTGATCCCCCTTTTGGTGAAAAACTACGCATGAGAAAAAGGAGAAAATTAGCCATCGTCACACAAATTCTTTCATAATATGCACCTATAATATCATAATATAAATATTCCATCATACGACGTTATTGATTTTCTATTGTAATAATAATAAAGTACGTTTGCGATGTTAAAGCAGTCGCGGTAAAGGAATTCGAGTGCATTTGGATGGCTTGGTTCGACCGATTGGCTCACGTCAATAACATAGCACTTGTTTTCATGCCAGAGTATATTGTACTCTGACAAGTCGGCATGAACAAGGTTGCACTGTTTGTACAGTCGTATCATCATGTCCACTGTTTGGTTATAGGCGGAGAGTAGCAGGTCATCCTCGTCACCTCCGATTGGGAACTTTACATCTTTGAGCTTGGGAGCAGGCTTGCTATCACTGCCAATGAAGGAGAGGACCAAGATATGCTTCTTGAGGACCACTACGGCAGGACAGGGGATGCCAGCTTTCGAAATTCGGACTAGATTGTGCATTTCTTTTTCCGCCCAAAGGTGAATCACTTTCCTTGGATTCTGTATTTTTATTCACATATTATGTAATGTACATACAATTTTTAAGTTGCATTGTATTTTACCACCACGCACTCACCTGTTTTGAGAAACGATCCTTAAACCGATAGTCGTCCCGAATGTATTTGTCTCGAGTTTTGAACTCATTTAGTGACGTTTTAAACACCTTCACGGCACATTCTGTAGGGATTTCCATTTTGGTAGTAGCTTCTCCATCCCTGCCCAACTGAGAGACCTCTTCGCCACTGTAAACAGACTAATCAGTCAGAGAGGGAGGAGTGTATATATGTATGTAGGGTAGGTGGAGAACCTAAATAAATACCCACCCACCTCCCACCTGATGCGAATAAAACCACGGCTTCCTTTCCCGTTGAAATTATACCGCACACATTCTCCAAAATGGTGGCATTGATTAACTTGTACAACAAGAGGCGGGTTTTGGTATCAATCGCGAGGTCCGACGTCGACTTTTCCTTTTTATCATGGTGACGACTTCGACGATTTTCCTCTGCTTTCGAATAGGCTCGCAATTTGTTGAAAACCTAACAAGAGTAACAAGTCAGTTGCAGGTACATCAAATTGAATTGGATCCAACAAAGTTGGAAAACCGCGATGTAGCACTGTGATTAAAATAATCACCACTCACTTTATTGGAGAGTTGCATATCAAAACTTCCCGCATCGCCAGTGTGAATATGAGGAGGCATTGACTCCATGACCCTGCATGCATTCCGCCGACCATTCATTGTGACATCATGCTTCGTCACCAACTCATTGTTTACCTTGACGTACCCACATCGAGGCATTTGCGGAAAAGCCTTTTCATGAGCCTACAAAAATCATAGGTCAAAGTATTAATTTATGCAACACCATGAAGACTAGAATTATACGAAAGCAACATAATTAACTTACTTCAAAACTGTCCCAAGACTTTGGTGGAGGCAAGTCTTCCTCGTCCTCGTCCGAGTCAACACCAGGAGGCGACATGAGATATTTATTGAGAGAGACAGACACTGGGATGAGGAAAGAAGGAACAGTAATCAGTAATCTGAGGACAATCATGACGCAACGCAGGTCACTCACCCTTCGATGTTCCATTATATTTCTGCTCCACACGCTTCAAGTCGTCATCATGCTCCCGACTAAACTGGATTTGGAGCATTTGTGCGATCATAAAATCAGAGCTGGTGTCCTCCTTTGAAGTGGCGAAGATGGAGCGTCCAACTCCTTCCTCCTTACCATCAAAACTGTAGTCTCCTTCTTCTACGTCTGCTGATGGTGAATCCAGCAAGCCGGCCACGAACCGTTCCTCCTCCTGGGACTGGAGGGAGCTAGCCAACTGCTCGCTCATAATGTCGCTCAGAGCCAGGACGGGGGCTGTGGGGGCTGCAGTGCCCCATCCACCCCACGAAGACCGCGATGGAGGTGGTTCGTCAGTCTCGGGCATCGATGAAGCTGATGTTCTCTCAGCGACCTGGACAGATGCCATTCCGTCGCCTTATTTCGATTATTTGCAAATTCCAAATCTATCAAAAACATGACAATTAGTTCACGTGACACTGCAAATGATAGATTATAATTGTCATGGTTTATAATATGTCCGTCCTCTATGTTCGTTCTACCAGAATAGTACACGATTACCTGACTTAAATAACGCTTGGGTCTCGGAGTTATAAAGTGTCAAATGATCAAATAACCTTCATCATGGTACTTATGAGCAAAAATATAATGAATGACGATAATAAAGTACAGTACAAAATTAGCACAATAATTACCGCGGTTTTATGTTTTACGTATGTAAAGTTTTATTGAAATATTCAAGTAGAAAATAAATTTGGATACAAAACTTTGAATCATTTAGTATTGCTAGTGGACGAGGTCGTCGTTGTTTGTTGTTGGGTCATGGTTGAACTGGGCTGTTGCAGTTGTTGTGAAGAGGGTGGAGGTCCATTATTATCTCGATTGTTCATGGGACCTTCACTGTTAGTGGCAGTCCCAGCGGCGTTGGTCGTGGTGGCGTTGGTGGCACTGCTGCTACTCGTCCCTCCACTTCCTGCTCCTCCCGGTCCTGGAACAAGTTTAGATCTTTTCCTGATATAGTGCTGCCAGTGAAGGATTTGTTGATCATCTATGAACTTTGCACACTTGTTGTTCATGAGTTCCTTTCGAAACTGGGGGTACTGAAGAAGGTCGAGGAAAGTGAGGGCCATGGGGTACTTGAGGAATCGTGCATATTCGGGCTCCTTCCAGTAGAGCAGGTAGCGGAGGTAATTGATAAAGCTGGGCTCCTTGAGATGTTCCCTCTGCGCCAGGAAGTTGAGATAATTGGGGTTGGCGAGACACTGAACAAATTCTAATTCCACTTGAAATCGAAGTCGAAGCTGGTCATCAGATTCGCCACGGGGTGTGCCCATCATCATCATCCTCTCTTCCGCCTGACCAATCAATAATACCAACACCGGAACGTCAACCAAAGTTTTTGTTATTATTACTTCAAAAACATTATTAAATCAAAACATACACGTTGTAAAAAGTGTGATTCGGCTATGCTATGCTACTGTACGTATTAACAATATGTACATCCAGTTGCCAGTCACTCACCAGTGCAATTAATTGTGCACTGGCCTGACTGAGTTTCTTTGAAACTCTTTAAATTAGTTGCCAGCGATGACGAATATGCCCTAAATTGCCTAACAAAATGAATATGCAATATGTATTTCGCCCAGCAGAGGCAATTTTGTAATATAAAACAAATGATAAGTGCCCACCTTTGCCGCCGACCTCTTGCTTGAATTAAGAGTCTTCTTCTTGATATGTAGGTCCACTGGTCCACTCCAAAGTTTGGAGTCCAAACCAAAAACGAGACGAGAGCTGCCAGATAAATGTCGTCCTCTTATTTACAAGGTGTTGAATAACAAATAAGTAAGTCAGAAAAATCTGTCCCCAAATATTGGATGATGAAACGCTCTCCTTGTCCAACAGGTAAATTAATAATACTGTAAGACGACTAAGTCGTCAGTCGTCACGACTTGTCAGAACGTTCAGCGAACGTTTGGTGGTGTCAAAGAGCCCACTGGTCGGTGGGGCAGGGGCAGGATGAGTGTGTGGGAACTAAAAAACTTCACACGCAATCTTCGTCTGGCCGAGTGCAGTTTGCAGTCAACTGTTAAGTCAGTCGTCCTTATTAAGTGCTATTTTGAAAACTGGGATGTCCTTTGAAAATGGCGTATTTCTTCCTGATCCTGACCCTCCACCCCTCATTTCCCCATCTGCTAGGGGCAGGAGACAAGGCGGTTCTGGTGCTGGTGGTCACAGAGGTAATAAGTTATTACCTTAAGAGAAAGCTGTTATTACTAATAACAGCTTTCTCTTAAGTCTTAGGTCCTATTATTTTTATATATTAATTGTAAGTATTATATTATCCTATATTACACTTTTTCACGGGAAATTATCCTTGACGTCCATGGTCTTGTATATAGGTTCACGTCCCCGTCAAAACCACCATTCTCGCTCGCCGAGATCTATCCACCACGCTTCCGAAGACATCGACCACCAGCAGCAGCAGCAGACCACGATGAATGGAATGTTTTCTTTCAACCCAGACGCACCCTCGTTTCAACCTTTCGTCACAGGTACGAGTAGCACATCCCAAAATCGAAACTATGCAGCACCGTCCTCCCGACAGAGACCTGCTGTCGCGACATTCCAAAGCAATCCTAAAAGTCGAGGTTTCCTGGATATTTTGCGGAAGGACAATAATAATCACAAACACCGCAAAGGTGGTGGGACTGGTAGTAGTTGTGACAAGGAAGATGACGACAATGGCCCTGATGGTCCAGACAGGGATGAGCTTTCCCACAGGAGAAAGCCTACCTCGAGAGACCAGAAACCAGATATTCGAAACCAGAGGGAACGCCTCACCGACCAACTCGGAAGGAATGCATACGATTGTATGATTTGCGTCGAGCGCGTTAGACGTGGTTGGTCAATATGGTCCTGTATGAAATGTTTCAATGTCTTCCATCTCAAATGCGTATCCACTTGGGCATTGTCCTCCAAGGACGGTGAGTGCGCATAATAGCTCAACCATAACATTTATTAAGTCTTCTTTCCTGACTCGTCATCATGATGATTGCTGTTGTTTTATTGAAGAGGTTGGATGGCGCTGTCCTGGCTGCCAATCTTACTATGAAGATGTTCCTCACGAATATCGTTGCTTTTGTGGAAAGACTAAGAACCCGGAAAATATCCGCTCTGACGTGCCTCATGGGTGTGGGAATACGTGTGGAAAGGTTGGGTCTGGTGGGCCCGAATGTAATCATAGCTGTTCTCTTCTCTGTCATCCCGGACCATGTCCACCTTGCGAAGCTATTCAGTCGAGGCAAGTGTTTAGATATCTTCCACAAACCTATCAATTACTGAGTACTCATTGTTAAGTAATGTGGTGTAGAAAATGCTGTTGTGGAAAGACGTCTGCTCAAGTGAAGTGTAGCTCAAAGACGATTCTAACTTGTCGAAATGTCTGTGATAAGTTGCTTAACTGTGGAGCTCACAACTGCACAAAATTATGCCATGGAGGTCCATGTGATCCCTGTGCATTTATCATTGAATTAGGTATGTATACGACTTTATCTCGTCACTACTTATTTACATTTACCTATTATTTATTAGTCCTGCTTAATCTTGCTTGAGTATTTTTTAACTCATCGGTCATCGCCAAAGATGCCCCTGTCCATGTAATTCTCTATGTATATACGTGTATTATTTACATTACAACAGCGTGTCATTGCAAGTCTGAAAATAAATCGACCCTCTGTGACTCAAGCACCTCTCGAGTGGTGGCGTTTTCCTGTGGCAGACCATGTGATAAACTCCTGTCGTGCCAGAACCACAAATGTTCTGATAACTGTCATGTTGGAGCATGTGATCCGTGCTCACTCTCGCCCGAAATTGTGCTTCGATGCCCGTGTGGACAAACCTCCGTGACCGAGGCGTGTCGAAAGTGTAACATTCCGCCCAGAAAGAGATGCCTTGACCCGATTCCTGTGTGCGGAAAGGTGTGCGGGAAATCTCTCCCCTGCGGCGGCTCAGGTGTGCCCCACAAATGCTCTGCGCTCTGTCACGCCAATCCAACTTGCCCAACTTGCCCTCTTCTCACCAACTTCAAATGTCGCTGTGGGAGCAAAACCTTCGAGCTTAGCTGCGCTCAGTATGACCCTGAAAAGGAATATCGTTGTGAAAAGCGATGCACAAAAGTATGTTGATGCATTTAATGTATGTACTTACATTTCGTAGGTACATTTACGCTTAGGATGGTTAAACATTTTTAATTGTGTTGACATACTTCCAGAAAAAGAGTTGCGGACGACACAAGTGTAATGCAAAATGTTGCATAGACGAAGATCACATTTGTGTCATTGTATGCGACCGTCCATTACGATGTGGGAATCATAACTGTTCTCTTCTCTGTCACAATGGCCACTGTCCACCGTGTCGTGTAGTCAGTGAGTGGAAATTTGCTTTGGAATTTTACAGACGATAGGGGACATTATATAACTAATAATTCTTGTTCCTCACGATGCATCAGGTTTTCATGAACTTAACTGTGAATGCGGCGCTTCTGTGATTTATCCGCCCATCCCTTGTGGAACGAAAAGACCGCCGTGTACCATGCCTTGTGGGAGAGAACATGATTGTGACCACCCCGTCTTGCACCACTGCCACTCGGATGCCCAGTGTCCGCCCTGTACCATGCTAACTGAGAAGTGGTGTCACGGAAAACATGCGGTATGTATCGAGGAATGATGAGCAAAATAGTTACAGTGATATTATGTGATGGCATATTTTGAACAATTCAACCTTACAGTTACGTAAAAACGTCATGTGTCACATTAAAAATGTCTCATGTGGGATGCCATGCAAGAGAATGTTGTCTTGTGGACGCCATGAATGCTCACGCCCATGTCACCCGGACTCGTGTCTCCCTCCTGGCAACAAGTGCAAGTTGGTATGTGAAAAGCCAAACGCAGAGTGTGGTCATGGGTGTAGTTCGCCCTGCCACGATGGGCAATGCCCGGAAATAAAGTGCAAAGTTGTGGTGAGTGTTTTGGGTTAATTCATTTGCAGTTTTATTAATTCTGTGAATAACTTACTTAAATATTTATTTTACTATTGTTTATCATATATTTTTTGCAGTCTGACGTGACTTGTTCTTGTGGGAGGCGACAGGAAACGATGATTTGCTGGAAACGCGAGAAGGAATATGATCGACTTGTGTGCTACATGACTAATCTGGAACTCAAACAACTTCGCGATGCGGCCACAACATCATCAAATGGGGGAAAAACAGAAAACGAAATAAGCGCAGAGGCCGTGTTGTCCACAATTCAGGCCAAAATTCCAAAAGCTCAAGTGTAAATCATCACAAATATATACATAAATCTGTTATATGATTCATGATTGCTTGACCTTTTTATGTACTATTACCACGTCTCCATAGTTTGGAATGTGACAAGGAATGTTCAAGAGTAGAGAGAAATCGCAAGATGATGGCCGCCCTGCAACTCGAAGATCCCGATGCCACGTCTACTTTTGGTACTCCAAATTACTCTGAGTTTCTGACCAGTTTTGCGAAAAAGAATCCCCAATTTGTGGAGAATGTGCATGATAGGCTCACAGGTCTTGTTGTGAAAGCCAAGCGGGTAAAATTATATTGGTTTATTTAGAAAGTTACTGTTGGCGTATGTACGTAGTTCTAACTCTTTGAATCTTGAGTGTGTCAATTAGGGCGGTTATATTATATCCTTAAACCACTCGCTCAAAGAGTTAAAACTACGTACACCAATAGTAAAGCATAGATATTGATTATGATTGTATCAACTACTAATTTATTTTTGATTGTGCAATTCAGTCAAAGAGGAAGAATGAGACGTATGGGTTTGAATCTATGAATCGTGATAAGCGAAAAATAGTCCACGAATATTCGGATCACTTTGGATGCCTCTCGGAATCATTTGACGAAGAGCCCAATCGCAGCGTCGTTTGCACGGCATCAAAAGATAAAGTAATTATTGCGAACCCATGTGTCTTGGAAATTTGATTACATATTTGTTTTTACTTTTAGAGTTATCTTCCTGCTGTTTCACTCGTGGATGCTGTCTTTCGGCCAAACATTTGCTCTGAAAGGAAAAATGCTTTTAATGATGTTGAAATATTCCAAAACACAAAGAGTCAAATAATGCGACCCGCAAATGGCAGAATGTTGCAACCTGGGTTGGTCTTACTTATTATTCAAACTAAATTTCAAAGCATTTATTGAACTCTTCTCATGAGTCTGATTCTTCTGTTCTCATTTCTCAGTGGGAGCACGTTATCCCCTCGAGGAAGTGGAGGAATGGTTGCGCTTGGTTGTGGTGGTGCCGCACTCGCCCCATCAACGCAACCCATTAAACTAGCTCCCAGTGCAAATTCTACATTTCGAAATTTCGCCCACCCCACGACCTCGGAGACCTTACCCACACTGCCTGGTGCAGATTTCCCACCCTTGAGTTGATGTTCGGCTATGAAGTTGAGAAAGGAGGAGTTTTCAAAGAAATTTTTATGAGGGGATGTAATAATATGTATAGCTCATATGGAAAGAAACAGTATATTTGGCGTTCGAGTTTGTAAACAGATAGTTTAATCTGTGCCAACCACTTATAATTAAAAGTGATGTCAATCCTGAAATTAATTTGCCTTTGAAATTTTGCGTACACGTATGTACAAGCCAATGGTTCAACATTTGTTATAGACATAATTACTGCTGTTCTTACATGTTATATATGTCATGTTCATGAAATTACATGAACTTATTTGATGTGATTAAACAATATTATTCTAAATCTTTCGAGACTGAAATGTGTAGTTGTTTGTAGCCTTTGGGTTTCCATTCCTTTAGGCTTTCCTAATAAAACCCAAGACATTACATTATTGGTGGAATCTTGGCCATGTGCTTGGTTCAGAGAAGAAGCCCGGGGTAGCTGCATATCTCAATAACATCCTCTGCATATACAAGGCATATACATACCTACTACAATTGTTCGTGTTGTACGTCTTAAGAAATTGGTCCATATCCTACCAACATTGGAGGATTCTACGACTGGAAACTTATTTATTATGAGTGTCTCGCACCAGTTGCTGGGGTTGGGACCAGCAGAGATGTTGGACTTTGATAAACGAACTTGCTCCAGACAGGGCAGTGTTGGGGACATTGAAATAATGGACGGATTTCTGAAAGGCTTCAATCTTAATTATGACGACACAATCAGGCAGCTGGACATCTACTATGGAATTGGTAAGCCATGCAGATATTAGAGACACCATTGTTAAAGCTCTCTGACTGAAACCAAATTGGTTTAACCAACGCAACATGCAACCTCTAATGATAAATATAATACATTTCAATTCATTTCATATATAATATGCATGCCAAATTTATGAGTGCAAATTTGTGGATTTCCAATCCTTGCAGTGAAGCGGACCATACTTCGCTACCAAAGTCCAGTCAACGGTTTATTCCCCGTACTCTCGTCGGATAACAAGGTCGGAAGTGTTCGAGACAGCATTTATTGCGCCGCAGGTACAGTTATTTGGTCTAAGAAAATGTAGTAGTTTCAATTATCTATTCATTGTACTACTCACAGCGATATGGAGCTTATACCAGGCATACCGGTGAGTGTGAATGCATCCGTAACCAACAAATTCATAACTAACAAATAAAACGACATGCCTAATATCACAAGTATATTTCAAGGAGGATTGATGATGACCGTGGGAAGGTAAATTCGGATTGAGTAATTTTTGTAAATTAGGGCTATGATAGATAATTGTGTTTGGATTTTATAACAGTCGCATGAACTAGGTCAGAGTGCCGTCAAGTGTATGCGGGGAATCTTAGAGTGTTGGATACGCCAAGCAGATCGAGTGGAACAGTTTAAGCAAAACCAATCTCACCAGTTTGCCCTACACTGCAAATTCCATTTGGAGACTGGAGACACCGTGTTTGGGGATGACGAGTATTTTCATCTTCAGGTGACACACTAATAACCTTGGCTGCTTCTGCTAATGACCTTCTATGTGGCGACAAAGAGTGCAAAGACTTTTGTCTCTTTATATAGATTGACGTGGTGTCCCTGTACATCATATACCTGGTTCAGATGATCACGTCTGGACTCCAAATCATATTTGTTCAGGATGAAGTCAACTTTGTTCAAAACTTGGTCTATTACGTGGAACGTGCATATCGCACACCAGATTACGGTATGTGGGAACGAGGGAGCAAGTACAATGACGGCACTGCTGAAATTCACGCGAGGTGAGCGCCCCACTACCGCGTTTCAAATCACAGAATATAGATTCTACATGTAGAATCTATATTCTGTGGTTTCAAATAATATGAGATGAATATCACAGAATAGAGATTCTACATGTAGAATCTATATTCTGTGGATGAATATTGATGGAGGGACTCTGATGATACGTTATCTATTAAGTAAAGAGCTTTTAATTACTATACTTGCAGCTCAATTGGGATGGCGAAAGCGGCTCTGGAAGCAATCAATGGATGCAATCTGTTTGGAGATGTGGGGACCTCATGGAGTGTAATCTTTGTTGACATTGATGCTCACAATCGCAATAGGAGCATTTTTGAAACATTACTGCCAAGAGAGTCCAGCTCAAAAGTAATTACAACTTAATTAATTACTAATTAATGAAATTAATTACTAATAATTACTAATTAATTACTAATTAATTAATTACTAATTACTGAATTACATTTCGGAGCAAACTGACTTTTTGGCACGGTTTCAACAGAACATTGACATTTCCCTTCTATCCACCATTTCATATCCTGCGTTTGCTACCCATGACGAGCAATCGTACTCAAAGACGAAACAAAAGATTCTTCGGAAATTGAAGGGAGACTACGGCTTTAAGCGCTATCTTCGGGATGGGTACAAGACGATGGTGGAGGACACGGAGAGACGCTTCTACACGAAAGGAGAAACTAAGGTGTGCATAGTTTCTTATCCTACCAATCATATATCAATCTATGTAAATCATTCAAATTTTACGAAAATTTCCTTCTACCACTAGAACTTCGAAAACATCGAGTGCCAATGGCCAATTTTTTACTTGTACATGATCATTGATGGAGTTTTCAAGGGGATACCCGACCAAGTGGAAGAATATTGCCAATTAGCAAAGCTTCGATTGATACGTGACAATCTCGGAGGTGGTTATGATTCCATGCATAATTTCTTGAATGACATATTAACCCATTTTCATGTATTCAGACCCCATCGTTCCCCGCTACTTCTACGTGCCCAAAGAGTCCATTGAGGAGGAGAAGCAAGAACCTGGCTCCCAGGCCCGTCTGATGAGTGGGAAGGGCTCCGATAGTGAAGTCTTCCTTTGGGGGCAGGCCATGTACATTATCGCCCAACTCCTCACTTCCGGACTCGTCCACCTCAACGAGATTGACTTGGCGAGGAGGTATCTCCCAACCTACAACCGGCCTCGTAGAGCCCTTAGATACTCAGCATTTCAGGGAACGGCGAGCGACCTTGTTGTCCAAGTCGTCCTCATTGCAGAATCCCATCGGGTACCTCGTTATTAACTCTCAACCGTTGTAAACTACTTATTTTTCATGTTTTAAACGTTTAATAAATGGTTGAAAAAGTTACAAGCCATGCTGGCAACGTATGGTATCCAAGCTCAAACTCCCGTCGAAGTGGAACCAGTTCAAATATGGCCCCCATCACAGCTCGTCAAGGTACACGAGTATTTGGGTGTGAACAAGAAGCTGGGATTGAAAGGAAGGCCTCCGAGACCGGTGGGAGCACTGGGAACGTCCAAGGTGACCAAGGAATAATACTTTCTACATGCTTTTGTCATCGTGTGCTGTTGTTGACAGACACAGATCTGCAGATAAGCCATCGTTTATTTATTTTGCTAACCATGTCTGCCTGTGGAGGTAGGTGTATCGAGTGTGTGGTCAAACAGTGCTCTCTTATCCACTCATGTTTGAAGTGTCTGATTTCTATCTCAGGTACCCTCATGAGTCAATTACAAATTAACAGTCTTAATTAATAATTAATCAAAAATACTGAAACATTTTGTTCATAGCCACGACATGACTCTTCTGATTGATGACATTAAAACCGAGTTGCATTTCGTGGGCAAGAACTGGCGACTTTCGGGGAGGTATAACTAATGGCTTTATTATTTTACTTAAAGTATGTATATTAAATAGTTATGTATATGAGAAGTGATAACATTGGTGTACCTGTACCTATATTTTCAGACCAACGATGGTTCTCCTTATCAGGGAGGACCACATGCGGTATGAACAGAGTGTCATAATTTTAGGCAAAATTGTCTAATTCACATCTCTCATCAACATTTAATTAATTGCAGAGATCGAAAGTTCAAGGAGCTGCTGGACTTGTTTGCCGAGCTTAAGAAAGGACACTGTGACGGATTAAAGGTTAGGATTGGCCGTCTGCAGAACCTAATCTCTTCCTCATGCATAGGTAATTAATAATTAAGCGCATTTTTAACTAAGGCGCGTCCCACTAATAAAGTAGAATTTTATTATTCCGGCTCCGACATTTTAAAAAATAACACAAACTTTACGAGAGACGCAGAAACCGATAAGAAACTATATAATAATATTTAAGTTTTCCAGCTTCGATGCCCGAGCTCTACCGATGTTGAACTAAGCCCTGCTAAGGTTTTGGGTTGTTGTACGAAAAAAATTTGTGACATAAATATATCCTAAAATAGTAGATTTTGATAGCTTAAAAGAGCCGAAATTTAAATTCACAAATGGAGCACGTCTTAATTAATCAATATTTACTGTTCGGGCTTCTGATATAATGATGGCAACCATATTCATTCGTTCCAGAACATTTAGATTTTATGAACCACATTAATGTGGATCTTAACGTGGCCCCCTTCCGCCAAGTTGTCCACGAGTACAGTGGGTACCAAAGTCTAACCGATGTGCCCAAAGCCATAGTTTTCAATGACCCCTTTCTCCAAGTCAAAGTAAGCCCTGCATACACACATGTTAAAGAGATGAACTGGATAAAATAAAATGAGTCCCAAATTTGACTGGGTTGTACCCTAGGAGTACAAGGAGCAGCCTACGAGCGAGATTTTGGAAGCTTTTCGCAACCTGGAGGGATTCTATGCAAAGTGCCAGCTTCTGGGCTTCCTCTTGAAACGCGAGGGTGCGGACTTTCTGGTGGAGGAGGACTTAACAGTGCAGGAAGCTCTTCACCGAATGAACGATCAGGCAGGAGTTTTGAGGTTGTGGGGTGCTGTTCGTTATGCTAGCAGTCTCCTTTGCCAACTTGTAGACTCGATAAGTCCCTACATAACCACCATCTTGGTCAACGGAAAACAGGTAATCGCCTGCTAATATCATCATGAAATTGTACATTAGTCTCATCATCACTCTACACAGCTCACCTTCGGGGTGGTGGGTAAAGAGGAAGTAGTGATTGACAAGCCCATGAGTCCTGCAGAAATACGGGACGTAATTTACTCCAAGGTGCAACCCTACGACATTGTCCAAGCCACGCTGCAACAGGAGTAAGTGGTTCTATTTGATATATAATTATCTATAATAATATACTTAAAATAATCCCATGTTGAAGGCTGGCTCTTTATTGTGGCAAGCTGATTGTGACCCATCCTGACGTCTTTGATGGGATTCTCAAGATTCGGATTGGGTACGAAGAAAATTATGTAAATGACGAAGCTCCTCTAACTCAACACGTGCGTGTGGATCTTATTTTCTGTGAAAACCTTGTGCAGGTGGGTGTTACAAGCCATCCAGCTCTACATGGACATTACGAAGGAGAACGTGAACGAAAATTTTCAGTTGAGCTGGTGCAGTCCGAGCGAGGTGAGACGCCTTCTACAAATCGTCCTCGACATTGGCGAACATCCAGACAAGTAAACTACCCAACTATTACATACAGTGGCAACACAACAAATCGTGTGTCCTACAGTGTAGGACCTGCACTTCAATTTGTACATGCATGTAAATTCCTTCAGATTGTCAGTGTTTCAACGCCGCCAAATCGAGGGCTGCCTCTGCCGAGTGCCCACAAACTTTTATGGGAAGGTATGGCACGTCTTGAGAAAGACGCCGGGCGGAATCATCATTGCAGGCAAGACGCTGCCCCAAGAGCCCACCCTGAGCCACATGACCCTCTCAGGTAATTTACCATAATTTACCATAATTTACCCTCTCAGGTAAATTAAGGTCTTCATTTTAATTGGATGGGATGCGACAAAGTCATACGTGAAAGCCAAGTAGATCAGATTATGCATTAATTAATTATTTCGGAAATGAACAGAACTCAACTTTGCACTTCAAGTGGAAATCATGCTTCACAATATTGAACATCCAGAGTACATTCAGATAGTTATCGAGGTGAGTGCATATTTACCCATGATATGAATTTAGGGAACCAATACATCTTATTATTACTTATTTATACTGAACTTTTTCACGATTCTACCACCCCACAGCTCCTTTGCGTCGTGTCCACAATTCTGCAGCGGAACCCAGAGTTGGCTTTCAACGGAAGTTTGGACGTGGACCAACTCGTGGAAAGTGCATATCAGATGTTTCAGAAGGTATTCACCATTTTCTCCCCATAACTTGGGCATATTAAGAACAAATCACTAGATAAAATGTTTTGCTGTGCAGGATTTTAAGGCCGAAGGAGCCAAGCACGGGGACAATGAGTTGTACCCTTTTTTCAATGCACCGGCGGCCACCACGACCGGCTACTTGGCGCGTGCCGTCGTCAACAACATATTGCAAGGCGACATGAGGTTTGGAGTCGAGCTCAATGAATTCTCAAGGGCAGAATTGTGTGTCATTCAGTAACGATAAGGAGTTGTCGTGCCCAACGCCACTAGAATAATCTAAGTACATAAATTTTTGCTGTTCCATAAAAATCTAGTCTTCCATCTCATCCTTCTTTGTGTTAAATAACAAGTTATTCGTGACTCATTTGAGAAATGTAAAGAATATAAATTTTAAACACCAGTATTTTCTGAGGGGCAGAATGCTTTCCCAATTTTTGCATAAGTGGGTGAGTTTGGGGGTCAACCTATCTTGCTCAATCTGTAAAGGCAAAAACAAATACATATTTCGCTTTTTATTAGGTCTAATTTTGCATCCACCGTTTGCTTGGACAAATCTGCACTTCGAAGGGCCAACTTGCTGAGGATTTCCCAACTTCAAGTGGCAATCAGTCAAGTTCATGTACAACGTGTAGAGGAATTGTTCATGCTGTTTTTGGTCATCCTGGTTTGGGTCCATAGAGTTCTATTGTAGCATAAAAGGTTTAAGGGTCCCATAGTCTTGAAGGATATTTATAGCATTTTTCTCACATGATATAAATCTCACATCTTTGTCTCATCCCGTTTGAGAGAAACACCATTCTGAACTCTGCGAGTTTGTGCGAGGCGAAGTGAGACTTGAGAGCGGAATGGATGGAGCGAGTGGCGGTTAGAGGAGGAGGGAATCGGCCGTTATTCTTCACTGGCAGGCAGACACAGTCCGAGGAGTCCAGTGCCAGAGACAAAGAATTCGGTCGCTCATTATCTGTTTAGTTTTTACATCCCCTAAATTTTGGTTCGTGTCGGTCTTATAGGAGTCAACCCAGATAAGGTCGGTTGATAATTAACTGATGTGGTTAATTGGAAAGAGGGAGAGTGACATTTATAGTTTGCAAAAATTATTGATGTAAAAATCAACAAGTCCGAGATGGCGCATCAAGACAAACCAACAACAACAGTACAGCGGAATGGAGGGAGCAATGGGAGAGGATACAGTGGAAGTGGGGGCACTGTGGTGGCTTATCAAGACTTGGAGAGCCTGGACGTCGATCATTATGATTTTATCAATGCACCTCAATACGTCGACTTTGCTGATTTGGCCCACAATGATGACCCCAATGCAGATCTCTTCTTTGGTGAGCTAGTTAGTTATGTTATGATGGTCATGAACAACTTTCTAACTAATTGTGGGTGTACGCTGAGCTGGAACGGAATAATAAATTATTATAAATGCAATAATTTATTTTTCACCTCATCTCGTAGAAACGCATCGTGAAGAGGACGACTTTTTAATTTCTATTGACAACATCAGCCCCACCGTGCAGTTTTTACACGAGCAACAACAACAACAGAACAATATGCTGACTTCCATTACGCAAGAGGTCAACGAGGCAGCCGCCAAGGTTGGTATGAACGACATTCAAGTGGTGTATTATTCCAGCCCAGCATCAGCACCACGAGGAAGTAGCGATCAAAAGATGAGGAAGATCGGAGGAGGCTCGCTCAACAGTTCCAATGGATCCTCATATTACACCCCCATGGGTCTCGATGATGGCAAATTTGAGTATGATAAGGAAAACTGTGCCCCTCCCCAATCCCTCAACACGCCAGAGTTAGGCAAGGAGAGTGGTAAGGAACCTGTGAAGAAGTTGTCCTACTCGGCCGCATTTTCGGATGGAATTGAGGATAAAGATAAAACCATTGGTGAGTTATTTATGTACTTATATGCATACTTTAGTACATTATATACACATATTATAAACGGCGCGTTAATCACTCTGTGTGTTCAACTGTGTTCTTTACCTATTGTTTATTTCTGGTTAATCTATTTTATAGTTAATCAAGATGAGGAGGGGAATCGGAACATTGTCAAGTCTCAATCGCCATCCAAAGATTTTCTCCTGGCTCAAATTGAGAAGTTACAGCTTTTGTCCAGTGATGAGGATGAAGCTGTTGAACAAGAGTCGTCGCTTGAAAAGAGCTACGAGAGCCCAACGAAATCAATGGTAACTGATGATGCCCTTGTCAACTCTCTGCTCAAGACTCCAGGCGCAGCCCGAATCATTTCAAATTCAATCAAACCCAGACCAATAACAAACGAACGAAAACCATTTTTTGCACTTCCCCCGCATAAGCCCAACCTTTTCGAAGGCCTCTTTATCGTGTCCCCATCCCCTTCGAAGCCAAATACCTTGCAACAAAACCGAGAAAATCTGGATAGTTCTACAATTACGAAGGAAAACCATGACGAGCAGAGGTTTCACAAGCATGAGTTTCCAGTATTCCAAGGCCCAGTTGGGAATGACGACAGGAAGATGTCAATGCTGGTTGAAAATTCTATTGGGCAAGAAGTGGTTTGGAACAATGAAACCGAATTACCAGATGCAACGGCCTTCATTTCACAAGAATTGATAACAGGAAATGCAGCCCAGCGAGAATTTGTGACCGACAGTTGCGATGTTAATGAGGAGGAAGAGGAGGAAAATGAAACTCTGACTCGTTCATTTGAAGGGCCGCATTTGAGAAGTGGACTGGCCTTCATTCCCTCTACTGGATTTGGCCCAGACAAAGGACGTCGAGTTTCAAGTTTGAGCGATTTGACGTCAATTCAAGGATTTAAGAATAAATTCAACAATACAAAACCAGGTTTGAAATCAGTGACCAAGTTTGCTGCTGCTGGTGGAAAATTAACTATCCCACAGTCGCCGGATGCTAGCAAACGGTAACTAAATATTAATAATACATCAATTAAAATATTAAAAGTTGCCAGAACCTGATTTTGTTTTATTTGGCATATCATCGATGACATTAATTTATATATCTATCTATTATATGCTTATATGATTAGGTTGCCCTCCAAATGTCGCAGTGATTTCAAAGCCAGTGCCCAATCCTCTTCTACTTCTTCAATGGCATTTTCAAAGAGGACTGAGGCCAGTAAGAAATATGTACCACCAGCTCCCATCCCGTACCGCAGCACGTCTCGAGGTCCCTTGAAGGCCACTACCAAGTACATGAGTCTGGCTGAAGAAGTGGCAAAGTTCCAAAAAAGCACTCCGGATCGTTTCCGCTCTTTGCCCAGAGTCAAGATTCCTATGAGACAACGTAAACCGTTTTTACTATAGAATTATTTATTTTGTCAGTTGACTAATTCTTCTCCTTTTGACAATTCCACTCCGTAGAATCAGCTTCGTGTGAACGAGAATTGGTGAAACCTCTGTCATCAAATGCGGTGGATGCTCAAGAGCTGTCGTTTCTTCCGTCTACTTCAAGATCCAGCCGTGCTAGCTCCGTATGTAGCAATAGAGGCGGTGTGACTCGTGCCCCTCAGAGGACCACCATCCCTCAGCCATTCCATTTCGGAACCACCAGCAGACCCAAAACATCCGTTATTGTAAGACTACTTGCTCCACTCTATTGTTCTTGGAGTTGTAAATACAAATTTTATGCAATAACGCGAAGGAAATGTGGTAATATAACTATTAAAATTGGCCCACTTATTTCGAATGTTGCAGGATTCCAAGCAGCAAAATGTTGCTGATTTTAAATTCAAAGCGCGTCCCATGCCAAAAGTACAAGGGCCGGTTGGAATTCATGAGCGACCTCCTGTGAAAGTGACCCTGCCCGTTGCACCACATTTTGCTTCCGATGATAGAATTCGAGAACGAAACGTCAAAAGAGCTCAGTCAGCCACGGTAATAAATAGTTCTCCTTTCGCCAAACTCAAAAACCAACTAATTCTCTTAATTGCCACTTGGCTAAATACTACTGTAAGTTGTACCTTGTGGTTTATGCTGATATGTTTGTGTAGCAATCGCCTACTGGACATGTTCCCAGTCAACCAAAACCCAGTCGCATTCCAACCACTGCTCGAGGAGCTCATCATGGCAATTCTTCAGAATCGCAAACGATGCGTACCACTACCTTCAAACCGTTCAGCTTTGATCAGCGTGACCAAGAAATGCTTCGCAGAAAGGAAGAAAAGATTAAGAAGGTAAATGATGAGCATTAAATAAAAAAGTTACCTGCTTCATTCTTGCTCCCACTGCTTATTACTCCGCAGTGCAGTGTTCAATTTTATACACATTCCATATTTAATTAAAATTAACTGGTATTATATATGTAAGTACTGTCTTCAGCCTTCCGCATTTCTCTACAATATTAAGTCTCTAATAATCTTTGAATCGTTCTTTTTAGTAACTTCATTATGTACTTGATGAGAAATTATCAAACTTGTTTTATCGTGTTTTACGTGTTTAAAAAAAGATCCATCTGTAAAATATATTGAATACAATTCGATGATTACAATAAGCCCAAACCATTTTGTATACTCCATAAGTCTTAAGCTTTAAAATCAATAATATAATTAAAATACTAATTGCGTTAATTAATTCGAAATTATATTTCGTAGTAATTTTCATTTGCACATTCGCACAGTAATAATAATAGTGACATGAACACAATTATTATTATTATTATTATATGTCGTCTTCACATTTTCATTATCAAAAGCCTTTCCCATCCGAACGCTTCATTCCTGCCAAACTCTCATTTTCTTTCTGATACTACTAGGAAATAGAGGAGGAGAGGAAAATTCCAGAGTTCCACGCCAATCCACTCCCAAAGTTCGAACCACTGCCAACGAAAAGACCCGTTCAGTCCACACTGGTTGAACCGTTTCGCCTAGAGTCGGACGAGCGAGGACGGGCTTATCAACAAGCCATGAATCAAAAGGTATATGCTCACACTATCACTGTCCTATATGGTTTTGTGGCTAAGTTTAACGTTTGCATTTCGTGATGACATTTTGCAGTTGGAAGAAGAGCGACAACGACTTCGCGTTCTGACTACGTTCCATGCAAATCCTGCAGTTGTTCTCCAACAACCCGCTTTTGAACCAGAGTATCCTGTCAGGCCCCCGCTCGCCCCTTTGGATCTTCACCTTTACACTGAGAAACGAGCTGCCGAGCGTGAACAGTTTGAACATTCCCTGCGGCAAAAGGAGTTGGAGGAGGAACAGAGACGTCAAGAGGTAACCTACCAATACCTCACCAGACCCAAAGATTATACGTGTTATTACAGATTTTATATCTTGGATGTTGCTATATTTTTTTCATTGTTCAGGAGCAAGTGCGACTAAAGGAGCAACATAGGCTAGATGAGATTGAACGTCGACGTCAAATAGTTCACAAAGCGCAGCCATTCAAAGTCCCAAAGCCGTTCGAGCTGAAACCCTCCAACAGACCGCTGACAATTCCTCAGAGCCCGGCATTCAATCCACTCCCATCTCAGCGTCGAACTACACCCACAAAGAACACGTCAATGTAAAAGATTATCCAATTCTCATCAATTCTTCTTCGTCTTTGGTGACGTTTCTTTTTCTGGATTAGTTCTAGTTTTTGGAGGAGTATCATCCGTCCGCAACAAGTTTTGGGTGGTGGTGATGGGAACTGGGTGGAAGAGATTCTGATTTTTTTCGTTCTTTTATTAATTTCTTGTATGATCGGAGGAATTCGGTGGGTTGCAAAATGTCTTCAAAGTCTTTGCATTCATTTTACTAAAAATTATTAATTACTTTACTAACTAAATCAAGGGTTGCTCGCATAACTTACTTATTTAATCATCATCAAAACATAATATTTCTAAAAATACTGTTTGATTTATATCGTCCTTATTGTTGTTGAATCGAGTCATTTTGTACCGTTTATAAACATTAATACTATGAATGTAATTATTATTGAATTTTTAAAGTCGCTTCAAGCATGTGAAATAAATAAAGGATTTATGACATGTCCAGAAAATTTACTTTGTTTATTGATTTGACTTGAACCCTACACTCTTATCAATTTACACTCCTGCTTGACCTTCGACATAGTTTAGACGAGGAGAAAGTGTTACTACTACGACTAATCTTTAGATATTTAACAGGATAAATTGCTGACCTTATTTTTATTACTTTCACAAAAAAGGTGGCGAATTCTTTCTACTCCTCTTCGCAGTACTTGTCCTTGATGTGCTTCCACAGTTTCTGGAGAATAAAATCAGTGATAATTTTTGTGCACCAACACCTTACTTTTGAAGATGATATGACTAAACTTACGCCACGATTCATGTTCTCAAACATGGTTTCGGCAGTGAGGTCGAACCCGCGCTGTAATCATAAAAGTAATTTAGAGTATTACTTTATAATGTAGCGAAACTTTCTTTCGTGCACTAATAATAATTGCTAAATATTTTTGATTAGACTCTACGAAAAGTAGTGATTCTCTGGATTACCTCGAAGACGAAGGCGCCCGCAAGACAGGCGAGGGCAAAGGTGGAAGTCCTCCGAAACACGCCTCGGTAAATCTTGTCCACAAACGACATCTTGTCAAGTCTTCAAAGGGCTTACCTACGAAGTAGTAATAATAATGTCGATACAAAATATTACTCGTTAGTAAAGAACTTTGAACCTTTTGAAAAATATATAGACTAGATTATTGCTTGAAAAGAGGAGTCACTACCGTTTGACTTACTTATCGGGAGGGTCACTCGGAGGATGGCGACAAGACCAAGAATGTTGGGAGATGAGATTCTTGGCTTCGGAGGTAACCGCGGAGATGGAGATCGGCTGACTTTTCACGCTCTAACGTATCCGAAGAGCCGAAGAGGCAGACCCATGAAGCCGCCTGCCTGCTGCAGCTCAATCATGATGTACTTCCTACCCCCTAGCCCCTAACTTTCTATCCCCTATCCCCTACATAGTACTTACTACCCCCTAAACCCCTAGCCCCTAAAACTCTATCCCCTACTTTTTATCCCCTAAACTCAAAATTTCTCACAATGCACCACATCTCTTAAAATGCCCCCAATTTCTTAAATTCTAGGCACCTGGGGCAAAATGCGAAAATTTTGAAACTATATGGGGAAAGGTGAGATTTCTAGCTTATCGGGGTATTGTTCGTAGTTAGCGAGCGAAGCGAGCAGGTTAGGTTAGATCTACTAGGTACGCGGAACGCGTGAACTGGTCAGCTAGCTCTCCTAGCTAGAACTCCTAACTAGGTGTCCTAGCTAGGACTGTTAACAAGGTGTCTTAGCTAGGACTGTTAACAAGGTGCCCTAGCTAGCTCTTCTAGCTAGGACTCCTAGCTAGTGGAGCTGGCTAGGAAAGCTACATAATAGTGTTAGTTAGGAAATCTAGCTGATGGAGGTAGCGAGGAAGCCTAGCTAGGAGTGCTAGCTAGGAGTGCTAGCTAGGAAGCCTAGCTAGGAGTGCTAGCCAGGAGTCTTAGCTAGTTAGGGTCCCAGCTAGGACACCTAGTTAGGGTCCTAGCTAGGACACATAGTTAGGGTCCAAACTAGGACACCCATTTAGGGGTCCTAGCTAGGAGAGCTAGCTGACCAGTTCACGCGTTCCGCGTACCTAGTATATCTAACCTAACCTGCTCGCTTCGCTCGCTAACTACGAACAATACCCCCATAACCCAGAAATCTCACCTTGCCCCATGTAGTTTCAAAATTTTCGCAAAAGTTTGCCTAGAATTTGAGAAATTTGGGGCATATTGAAAAATTTGGGGCATTGTGAGAAATTTTGAGTGTAGGGGATAAAAAGTAGGGGATGGAGTTTTAGGGGCTAGGAAGTAGGGGATAGAGTTTTAGGGGATAGAAAGTAGGGGCTAGGGGTTTAGGGGGTAGGAAGTACTATGTAGGGGATAGGGGATAGAAAGTTAGGGGCTAGGGGGTAGGAAGTACATCATAGCTCAATCCAGGCTAAAAAGTCGGTCGTTCGTGTGGCAAACCAAAACTTCACAAGTCGACGTGTGTTATCATTTTCATTCAAGTCATTCCTTCGTCAAGCTGAAAAGTCAAACTCAAAATTTGTAAATTTGATGAAAAAGTCTCAAAAACGGATTACCAAATTTAACTAAATTGAATTCTTTGGATTGGGGTTAAAGTCGTAAGCCAAAGAGGTAGTTAAAATTTTAAAATGTCGGAGATTTCGGACTGGTTCAACAGTTTGCCGTTCTTTACACGGTACTGGTTTGGAGGTACCTTGGCCCTTTCGCTATTGGGACGATTCGGTCTGGTCCCTGGTCAATGGCTAATTCTAAACTATACACAAATTTTCAGTCATTTCGAGGTAGGTGTTATCAATGCAAAATTCGTGTATTGAAATGCAGGAAAATAATTCTGTTTGTTGATTATTAATATTATTATTATTTCAGATATGGAGACCAATCACAGCCTTATTCTTTTACCCAATTTCACCACAAACTGGTTTTCACTTTCTTCTCAATTGCTATTTTCTTATAAACTATTCGAAACTATTGGAAAATGGTGAGTGAAGCATATGTCCATCCTAAATAAACAAATTACTACTAAGAATTTTATAAATTATAATGGATTATGATAATAATAAAGTTCATTACTTTTAGGAGAATATCAAACTGTTCCGGCGGACTATGCACTCTTGCTATTGATGAACTGGATTTCTTGCGTGGTCTTTGGACTTTTCATGAATATCATGGTATACGCTGTTTTTGACACAAAGGTTGTCTTTCAAAGATGTATAAATACATTGTGGATGGATGTGTAGGTGCTGATGGATCCAATGGTTTTGAGCGTCCTTTATGTATGGTGCAATTTGAATGCTGATACAATCGTCAGTTTTTGGTTCGGAACACAATTTAGAGCCAAATATCTTCCGTGGGTCCTCTTCGGCTTCAATCTTATATTGTCTGGAGGGTAAGTTTAATTATAATAAATTAGGGATAGCAGTACTAATTTTTCACTCTCAATAATCTTCCAGCGGAGTCCACGAGCTTATCGGAATCCTGGTTGGTCATTTGTATTTCTTCTTAAAGTATCAATACATTCAACAATACGGAGGACAAGAACTCATATCCACACCCACATTCCTGTAGGTCATTTTTTCTCTACAAAACTTATTCCCTTAATCGGCAAAATTGCCTGTCCTGCACCTCTATGAAGGAAATAACTTAATTGTGTTGAATTTAACTCACAGGCAAAACTGGTTCCCTCCAAGACGCGGAGTTGCAGGTTTTGGTCAACCGCCTCCAGGCCGACCTGCTGCAGCAGCAGGAGCAGGAGGTGGTGGTCACGGTTGGGGACGCGGAAACACCTTGGGTGGTTAATTATATGATTGAGTACTTTCCTACCAAACTAAATTAAATGAAAGCATTACGAATATTATAAGGTACATAATACATAATCCGTTTACTCTCTGTAAATTATTTTGTTTTGACACCGCTATTCATTTCACGAATACTTTTTTAACCAATGTGGGTCGTTTTGATTGTAATAAAATGGTGTATGTACATGCATAAAGGCGGAAAGTTGACAATGATGATACGTTGATGATTTTATTCGATGGTTAATAATAATGGTAGTAAATTATATTCTTCTGTCTACGATTTTAATTGAACTTGTTTTCCTTCAGTAATAATAACCATATTAATATTATTTGTTGTAACAAATGACAAGATCTTACTTTTAGAGCTGCGTTACTCTGAACGAAATGTCCAATATGTGAGTTTAGTATTAGTTTGCCTGGATTTTAAATTATTGTTATATAGCTACAACCATACCTAGGACATGATGATGCAAGTTACATATTTTCATAAGTTATTTAGTACTTTCTATAGTCTTGTCTATACTCCGTTGTCACATATTTTTTGCGACCAAAAGTTGTTGTCGCTTTTGCAACCACAATAGGTAAATTGTAAAACGAGAGAGATATCCAAAGTCAAGGAGCGTACTGCCAGACCAACTTGATTAACTGAAAGTAATTTTGCCGACAGTACTACAATGCCAAATAAGTCTTGCTAATTGCACTTTTCCAGTCACACAGTCACACGACCACCATCATTTCTAGTCATAGTATTATTCAAATTCATGCAAAATTATCCAAACGCATTTCAGAGACGTACAGATCTTGAATTCGTAACACATATTGTTTGTACAACAACTAAAGAGCGTCTCCTAGCTTTATCAGGTATCAATAAGTACAAATTATCATGATTTAATTTAGCTAAGTATTTGAACAACTAATAACGAACTGGTTAGTACTTTTTAGGTAAATGTTGCACAATAATAACACAGGTTTCAAAAATTCAGTCGCGTTCTTTCTTACAAGTGCTACATTTAACATGTTGCCAGTCGGTCGATGGTCGAGTCAGAATTAATGCGGATTATATAATAGTAACAAATACAAATACATAAATACTACAAGAATGTTTTTGAAAACAATCAGTCATTGTGATCTTTCGATTCGAGATATGCGTAGATTTACAATTTACATGTACATATATGTGTAGATGATGGATAAATAGTTAGTGGAAAGTTGTTGAATAAATCAGATATTTAGTAGTCAGATATGCCATACAAACATAATGCAGATAGAGATATAACGGTTTAGATTTTCGGATGGAAATTGTTTAAAAACCTATATGTACTACTCACTGTGAATAAATTAGTTGACGACGAGTATAGTCGAATACATATAAAAATAAATGGAAACTAGGAATGAAACCGGGAAATCGACTAATAAGACTTTAGGGTGGTTATTTAGTACTACATCTGAGAATCACAATAACAAGAATTAATTAAATACAGCTACATCAAGAGGATGGTCGATGATAACTACTATGCGGACAAATTATATTATTATTGGTGGTGGTAGTGATGGGGAAGGCATATGTGTCTATCTATCCATCTATCTGTGGCGTGTAGTAATAATTAATCCTATACATTGACTTGGTATTAACGTTTCGATGTTCTCTCTTGTTCCAATATGGCATCCAATTGATCCGTGAGATCCGCAAGCATGCTCCCAATATCGCTGAGCACATCGCCACCTTCGTCCTGTTGCACAATGCTCTCCCCATTTCCAACTGAGGTCGATTTCTGCGCTGGCTGCTTCTGCTGTTTAATTGTCCCAGCATTGTCATTCGCAAATGGAATGGATTCCGACTCTGTGCTCGAGCTGAAAATGTTTAAATTAGATTCGAGTTACAATGAGAAAACTGAACCAGTCTGGCTCGGTGTTACATTTCAAACTAAAGTTTCTTACTTTGACTTGAAACTGGCATCTGATCCGTTGCGGCGGACACCTTTGCACAGAAACCCATTCGACTGGAGATCCTGATCTGAAAAATCATTGGCGAGGGGAGAAGGGGAAGGATCTCTAGATTTCGTCATGGGTAGCGTCGACCTCCTTCCAGACGGGAGAGGAGCCGCAGTCGTAGGTCCGTTGCTTATCATCCTACTACTAGCAGCAGCAGATGATGATGAGGTAGCAACGCCACCGCGCTGCTGCTGCTGGCTGTTATAATAATTTGCGTTTACCCCACCGTAGATGTTGTAGGTTTCTGCCACAGGCGTGGGTTTTCCGTTGTGGAGCTCACCCGCACCAACTGCTCCATTAAAGTCGTCAAGTGGGGGAGGTGGTGGTAGTGGGAGGTTGTCATCTGAGGAGGAAGGACCGAGTGCAGAACAACTGCTTCGTCTAGGAGGCGGTGGTGGCTGTCCCTTTGCTGCAGCATAGTCACACTTGGTAAACGTCGTGACGGGGGAAGGTCCCCTAGGTTGGTGTAACTGTTGGGGAGCAAATGGGCCTGGATTTATGGGGTAGGACACAGTTGTGGAACCAGAAGAAGAGGAATCACAGGATGAGTTATGTCGTTCGCCACCACCCATTACCTTGGATATGGGTTTGTGCTTCTGGAGTCGAAATAAAAATAAATCATTATTACTGTCAAGCTACCCCGCTTTCACTGTTTTCCCACTTCATACAAACTCCACATTTTCATCTTCTCTCAATCACATTGTTGGAGTTTCTTATTTTATCTCTCCACATAAAAATATAAACTTAGTTAGTTTCATAGTCAGTTTTAATTATGGATCAATTCGTGATTCGGCTAAGCGCCACCCCCTCGACCTCAACTACTACTGCCTGTACCAGCAGCACCGTTGACTCTCCTCCTCCCTCGCCAGCAGAACAACCCGTGAAGAAAGCAAAATCTTCCGTCAAGGTCACCCCACCACAACGGGAAACTTCGGTTGATTGGAGAAGCAGGGTCATTTTGAGTGATGACGATGAGGTTGGATTTCTCAACTCGCAGGAAGAGTTTGAGAATTTGTATAGCGAGGGTAATGGTTGTTTTCCTCATCCTCTTCTGATTATGCAATTCCTCAAATTAATATATACAAATAATTTAACTTGTAGGTCCACCCACCCCCTCCTCATCCGCTATTTTGCCCACACCGAGCCGACACACCCAATCTCCCCTCTTCACAGTACGAATAACAATTTTTAACCACCTCCAGGAGAAATATCCCTTGATTGAGTTCACCTTCGAGACTATCGAGTCAACTGCCGAGTACAAGGATCTCATGGAATTGTGGAATAAACATTTCAAAAAGTTTGAGAAGAGTGACCCATGGAAAGCGGCGTCTCCACCCGGTGTAACGTTTCTTCACGACAATCAACCAGTGGGAGTGAAGTATGTTGGGGGGAGAGAAATTTGGATGGAAGACCTCTGTCGGAACCAAATGCAGGGTGGAAAATTGTCCTGAGAAGACTCATGTAGGTCATTATTTTGTCATTATTTTGTTGAAATCATCTCTAATTATAAAATTATAATATTTATAGTTGGACGGATATTGCTACAGGCACAGCACAGTGAAAAGGGAGATTTTGATGATTAGGGACGTGGCCAATTTGGACAAGGTGAACATGACCTTCGTTCAGCCGGATTTGAGGAAGGAACAGTTCACTGATCTCCGATTAAATTTATGTCTACGAGGAGCGCATTACGACGGTTGGGCAATCGGCCAATACCTCGCCAAATTTCCTACCGCGTGGTTTGTAATAGAGAAACGTTAGGAATATCTCTCCGAGGAAAGCATGAGGAAGTTTCAAAGTTTAGGGGTATGTGATATTTCTGAAAAATTCCTCAATTCAATTATTAAATAAATATAACATTTTGTTCTCCCCCAGATTCAAATGTCTCTCATGGCGTCATTTCACAACTCTGTCGCTACAAAACCAGCAGAGCAGATTAAATTCATAAATTGTGACATCTACACAAAGTCTGGAAACTTGGATGACGTGAACAAAACATTGGCGTTAAACAACATGGGTTTCGAAATTAGGGATGACAACAACTCCCTTAATTTTGCAAATTCACCTCATCTTCCCACAAATTTCAAGAACAAGCTCCCGTACGTGTATGTGGGGGATAATAAAGAGGGTGGTTATCGATTCGGGGAAAATCATTCAGAGAAGTGTCAGTCTGTTATTAAAGGATCCGATTATCACCAACGCGCAAAATCCACCACCATGGCGGGGATCGACCCCGAGAACAGGCACAATGTGTTTCAAGCCGACCCCACCACGTTCACAGCAGAAGAGAGTTTGAAAAAGTCGCTGGAGGTGGAGACGTTAGGCCACAAGGGGGTTCTCGTCGCTAATATGTTGGGAATGAAGACAGTAGGTGGTCACGATGTTTACAATTTAGCTGAAAAGTTCACCCATTTCGATCATGGCTGGGAGGAGGATATTTTTAAAGATTTTATTGTTATGATGACGGGCAAAGAGATTGTTGTAAAGAAAGATAAGCTCAAAACTGTTCCGAAAGAGGTGGATTTTATGGTTCCGATATTTAAGACTGTAGGGGTTGGGGAGAAGAAGCAACAGGTTTTAGATACCGATAAGATGAAAAAGGAGGGTGTTCAGAAGAAGGTTTACGAGAAACTTGTTATTAATTGGATTTAAGAGCACTTGTTAAACTATGTGATGTTAAACTATTATATTAATAAATGAATTTGTTGGTGGATGTTATCTGAATTGGATTTTAGATTTGTTTTTGATGATTCAATTATTTGGCTTAATGAGAGAGATGTACATAAAGTTAATTTTTCAATTTAAAAAAATTTTACTTACCTTCCGAGGCAGTGTCCAAGTGTTGGACATTGATTGCTTGGTAATTGACAAATTGCTGGCAGAAGATGGCGAGGAGTGGTCAACAATTGCCGAGGACGACATCATGGACGTCTCACCGTCTTCAAAACTTTTAAAACTAGTTCCACTCCCGTTGCGATTCGAACTATTCCATAAAGTATTTGACGAGCCATTATTACTGAAATTGTTGTTGTGATTTTGATGAGATGATAAGTTGGGATTTGGGGAAAGGAACGATGATGTCCCATAAATGGGCTCCTCTTCAGGGCTGTCCAAGGAGTTATTAGGGTGGCCGTTCTTGACGCGGATGGAAATTACTTCAGGCTGATAAAGAGGCTGAACTCCTCCCGATGGATGATGATGCTGGTTGGAACTGGTGGTGACTCCACTCACGGTAGGAAAGGGCTGGCGATGTTGGGGTGGGGGCGATGGGTGATGGTGAACTTGAATTTGGTGTGAGATTGCTGTCGTCCCAAGTACCGAGGTAGCAGTAGGACCGAAAGGGGCCAGAGGAACAGGTGAGTGCTGCTGAAAAGGTAACGACGACTGATGATGATGATGAGAAGATGGAGGAGAGGGAGGGAGAGGCGGTTGTTGCTGCTGTTGTTGGTGATGATGTTGATGATGAGGCCACACATTCCTGTGAATTTGGTGTCTAGGGTCCACTGCACTACTCTGATACTGGCTGTGTGGATCTTGACTATTGTTGACTGGTTGCGGATGAGACAGCATTGTGTGCTGTTGTTGTGGGGATGAGTAAGGCAGTGACGACGAGGTCAAGTGACGTAGATGAGGCTGATGAGATAATTGATGAAAGCCGTCCATCACAGGGGTCACATAAGCATTGCATGGTGCATACGTTGCTGTGGAGGCTCCTTTGCCGGACAGAATGTCTTGCACCCTCTTGATGGCTAGCATGAACTTCTTTTGGTGACCAAGCTTGAGAATCCCAATGTCATCTAGGTCTTCCCAAGTGATATTCGTTACCTGGCGAACCTGTCGGTAGCCCTGATCCAAAAGCCGAGGGAAATATTCGTCAAGCTTCAATAACCGCAACCACTCGTCCACCGACTCTGGAATGAAATCAGGCAACCCTTCGGAAATGTTGAGCACCGATATTTCAGACTTGATTTTCTTTCTATGATGTGGTTTCGTAACTCCAATGGCATTTAAATCCTCTGGTGTCATCCGAGATATGGTGTGCTGATAATATTTGGTTACAAAACATTTAAATAGTTATTATAAACAGGGCATAAAATATAGATTCATTGTACACAGGGGTTAATTAAATTATAACCCACCATGTCGTAACCTGCTTGAATAAAATTTTGATAGTAGCACTCCAAGTGAATCCCCGTCAACCAGGCATTCAAGATCTGCTCGCAAATCACAAAGATTGTTCGATATTTATTCAACCACTAATTTAATTGCGTCTCACCTCATGATCTGGAACTCCTTGGGAAATCATCTTTGAAACGTCAAAGTTTCTGATTTCTTCTGATGGGATAGACCCCAAAGACGAGCTTGAGCTATGATACGAGTGACGAAAGCTTCCTAGCGATGATTCTGATGACAACCCCCCAGCAGAGTAGCGGGGAATACCTTGAAATGTGGTGGAGGTTGCTCGCCCAGAATCAAAACTTGCTCCAGAATTTCGACAACCACCATTGCTTCCACTCCCCACGGACGAAGAGCCAATGACAGAGCCACTTCCGGAGGCAGTGTTGGAGGACGCAGACTGTGCGGACGCGGTTGAGCTCGGACTCTCCCTTCCACCTCCCGAACTATTACTCATGTCCTCCGGCATTCACACTGCTCACCACCACCACCAACCACACCCCTCCTCCAAAACCAAGCAGCCGTCTCTCTTTCTCTTCTTCCTTGCTCCCGTCCTCCGATTCCGATACTTATAAATGCAAGCCTCCCTCTGTTGAATCAATTCCAGCGACAGCACGCACTAACACTAGCAGACGCGACAGGGGTTTCACAAAAATTCATCGTTCACAAAGTTGAAACCTATAAATGACAAATTTTGAATATATAAGTACTTGACATCAATCCAATACTTGAATTGAGCATTTTTGAGATTTGCATCTCATTAAAAAGGCTGCAAACTAAGTCTTCCTCTACTAGCAGTTGGCACACACCGAGCATTCGGAACGACAAATCTTTTAAGAGATTGGATATATCTATCCTCATCATGACAAGCCAAACTATTTACTACTACATTGTAGGAAGCGATGAAAAGTGGACAAGATTAAATTACTTGATCAAGTTTTGATTGAGTCCCACCGTCACCATCAATTCCAGAAGGGGGGTCGTCAACTCCTGTGGGTGTGTCAAGGTCGGAAGGAGAAGGTTGGAGTGCTTAAATTAAGATATTCCATCCGACCTGCCTTCTTTTTCTGCTGCTCCGTCCGTGTTGTTGTCCGTCAGTCGTGAGTAGTAGTTTAGGTTGAGTAGGTTGGCTGGTGGGTGGGATGAGAATTCGGGACTCCGCCACCTTCGAACGGTTTCACTTTCTCCGTCGTCTCTTCTTCCTCACTCGCCCGGTAACAACAAGACTTTCTGAGGACCATCTAGAACATTGGACGGCAGGCCACGAAGAAGAAGAATATCGCCCCACTCGCTGGACCCCTTCACAACACGGTGAGCACATGACCACCACTTTCTAAATAGTGCTCCTTTCACCTTCGTCACACTAATCACTTTCACTACACCACATGTTATGTGGTCTTCCTACTCCATGTGATTATCCATGTGCACGAGATCCACGTTCATTGCTTGCTTTCATCTCTTCATATGTGATTTATGCTGGAGGTGAAAGCCGTGTGTCGTACTTTTTCGAAAACAAAGAAACCATTCAAGTATTTCAAGCCGCAACTTTCACTTTTACTAAAACATTTTTTGTTTTTATTAAAAGCTAGCAACTATTACAACTGATAGGAGGTATAGGAAAGAGATAGATTTTGTACATTGATATTGACAGATGAACAACTCAAGTTATACTAATATTAACCAAAATAAACCTGTTTGGGACAATTTAGCTTGGTGCGTAGGAAAAAAATTGAGTTTCAATTACAATCGGATACGGAATGCTCTGTAAGAAGAACAAGATACAGAAAATTAATTCTAATAATGGTTGAACGAGTTATTTATTAAGCTATTTTTACTGTTCAAAATCCGTTGATTTGGCCACGACATGTTCAAACTCTGCAAAACTGAGCATTCCATCATCGTCCAAATCTGATTCGGCCTGCAATTTTGAAGATCGCTTTATAGGCGCATACACATGCCAGATCATGTACCTATTTTACTGACAAAGTGAGATATACCGTAAGGTTTTGTACGAGTTGAGCAATTTCGGACGGAGGCAGCGTTTCATCTCCCAACAAACGCCGAATGACTTCTTCAATATCGTCCGGCCCAAGCATGTCATCTCCGTCGAAATCTGTGCATTCAGACACAAACAGATTATATTAAGCCACACCACACTACTAGCAGTTAAATTAAATAATATATGTAGGCCCTTCGATTAGTTGGTTTTACCAAAAATCCTGAATGCATACTCTGCCTTGACTGAGACTGGGGCGTCCTCGCTAAAGACAGACATCATGTCGAGGAAATCTTCAAAGGTACAGTCTCCATCCTTGCTGGTACTGAAGACGAGACAGATCCTGTCTCCAAAAGGGTTCACCTTCAGCTCCGGATAGTTCAGCATAATCTCCATCGGCAGCCGGACTTCCTTGTCGCGACCCACTTCCTCCGGAGCTAATGCTTTGAATTTAGAATACACGCTGCAAAACAGAAACGAAACCACGTTTGGAGTTTTTTTTAGCGGAAACTAGACCGACTGGCATTGCGTTGTTTTATTGCTACTCACATGAGGACTTCCCTTTTGGTGAAGTACGTGAGGTCCGTGTAGTCCTCCAGTTCCTCTTTGGTGAACACGCTATGACGTCGTCCCATTCTCACGCCACTTATCCGTCTGAAAATGTATAATAGACCTGTAATTATATTTCATATTTGTGATTGTACCATTTTGCAGGTCGCTTCTAATTTACTTAAATATGGCCTCCACCGGGGCAGGAAAACACACTGTCCTTCACATGTACAAAGCCATGCTTAGAGAAAGTGAAAAATTTAGCTCTTATAATTATCGGTGAGCTAGTTACGTATAGACAATTTACTGAGCCTTGAAAAATTGTGTGCAACAAAAAGTTTTTTTCTAGAAACTACGCATTAAGAAGAATACGAGATGCCTTCAAGGAAAATAAGAATCTTCAAGATAAGGAGAAAATCAAGGAACAAATGAGCAAAGCAAATAAAAATTTATCAATTATCAAACGACAGGTGAGTATTAGTCGTGTTGTCTCTTTTTATAAATATTCATAATATGAATTTCATGTTGAAAACCCTGATGAATGGTAATTTAAATTGTTGTTTTTAGGTGATTATTGGGGACATTTACCGTTCAGACAAATTAATAATAGAACAGAAATAGGACATGTAATAGGAATTGAGAATTTCTAATTACTATACAAATATTGCATTATAATACTATTTAGCCAAGAGCGTCGCAGCGTCCTGTTAGCGAGGTCGTTCGTATGTATTTACAATTTATGAAGAATAAACGTACCTTTAAAAATGCTTCGAAAAACTAATTTCTTGCTGATGGAAGTCTTTTACCTGGACTTTTCCCAACTCCCGCAGCCGAGTCGAGTGTTTTCTCCGTTTTGTGTTGGCAACACAACCGTTTCTCCCTGCCTTTCACCCCAACTTTCACTGCACAGCTTTTAGTCTAGTACCGACTGCAGACCATGGAAGGAAGATGTATGTATGTATAGGCTGCAGACTGATCTATATCTAGCAAAAATGTAAAGAGAAACGTGGTTGATGTTTTAGTATGCAAAGCTCTGCGAGGTTTTATAAAATAAAGCATGAACCAACAAACAAAATTCAATTATATTCTTTGTTTTATTTGCCTTTTTGTATATTTTAACATTTTTGGATAATAATTTCGTGTATTTTTTTACTAGTTCATGTAAATGGAACTACAAAATTGTATAAAAATCATTACTGCGCAGATTATCGGATACAAGTAGAAAAGACATTAGATTCAGCGACACCGAAATCGTATTATAAATTTAATATCACAAGCGTGTTTCAGTTCTTTCATAAATTGTGGTACCTCATTTACTAAACTAGTGTGCATGACCAACTTTCTCCAGTTCACGGGACTTGTGCGCTTCTTTATAACGAGGCTAACGGCGCTGGTGACTGAGCAACAATTGTAGGCACATTTAAATATTAAATACTAAACTAATGGTGAAGTTAAGTATCAAACATATTATGGCACACAGTTTGAGTACAATAATTACTGTCATGGAATAAATATATCAGATAGTGATTGGTGTGCGTATACTGACGACGTAGAGGTTCATCATGAGCGAGCGGATGAGGTCATTTTGTACATTCAAAATCTTCATCAGGAAATTGGCTGCAGTATCGAACGTCCCTGTCGTCGTCTTCTTGTAGTTCAATCAGAGTTGCTTGTAAAAGCTCGTTGGCAGGGTTTGATGGGTCAGCAAAATATTCTAAATGCGTAAATTTCATGTATTTATCAAACCACTATCCAAGGATTTTACTAGTCTCAATCATACCTTGATGTAGAATGTTCATCACAATAGACTGGCCAACCTTGAGTCGAACATTAGGAACTTTGTCCTTGCTCAGAGCAAGGAATGGAGGTAGAATATTTTGAGCAAATTGTGGTGGTGACATGGCACCAATCTGAAAGGAAGAAAGGGCAAATTAAAGCAAATTCTCAATGTATATGGCACATTCCCCGGTCAAGTGGGAAATTGGAACCTTGTTTTCACTTTCTCTCCACACTCCAGCTCATTTTTTAATTTCGTTTCACAAAATTAAAGTTCTGTTTTAAAATTAATATGGAGGGGGGCGGATACTCATTTGATGATGATAAGGGACCCGTTGTTCCAATAATGGAGGAGGAGGAAGTCGCTGGGCCGTCTTCAAACAAACGGTTAGTTTTTCATCCCTCCTCCTTCCAGTACGTATTTAATTAATTGATTTGCATTACAGGTCAAAGCGGGAGCCATCACCTACTCCCCCACCGGCCCCCACTTCTGCCAAATTGTTACTCGTGGAGAAAGCAAAGGACCCTCTCGCCCCTATAGGATATCTCAACCCTCCTGGGACAAAAGACAAAACGAAGAGGAAATTGGTCACGGCTACAAGTTCAGCTAGGGAGGATGACGACTTTGAACCAGTGCCATGGTACTACTTCCCAGAGGAGGATGAGATGCAAATGGAGAACGAGGACAGCGGGGTGATCTACGTTCGACAAGGAGTACTGGCTGAAGAGTTTAAAGTCAGATACACGACTTCTGAGTCTAGGACTGGGAAAATTAGTCTAGGTAAGTGATGAATCACTTAGCTAATCGAATTAAATGACACGGTATAATAATATAACTATTATTATGATACATACAGATAAAGGTGTCCATCTCATTAAGAAAACCATTCTACAATTAGTTGGCAAAGACTCGCCATCCTCACTTCATGAGCTGGATATCGAGGAGTCGTCCCCCGAGCTCATTTTCACCCAAGAAGAGGAGGGTTTGAGTGATGACGAAAGAGAGCTCCTCTTTACAAAGATTTTCGCAGCAGGTGGACGAGTTCCGGTCACTGATAAACCTGACTGGAATCTAATAATCCACAGAGCTCCAACCACGGGAATAATTCATTTGTGTCTCGAGAGAAAAACAGAAAGATATGAAGAAACGAGATATATAGCCTATAGATTGTGTACTAAGCGTGGTAAACATATTTTTATGTTGACTTTTGTTCATAAATTGGGTTAAGTATTACAATTAATACATTATTTTTATAGACTGCTACCAGATTAACACTAGCGAGTGATATACTTCCAAAATGTGCAATTCATAAAGATAAGCTGATTTTCACCGTGGTGACAGTGACTCCGTATGAAGACAAAGAAGCTCTTGTTATGATGCACATGAAGTTTATAACCTCCGTCCGGATGGATTCGCCAGAATTGGAGACAAATCATGAGGCAAACTTACGCACGTCGCAGGGAATTTATGCTTATCAACAATGGGTCAATTATTGTGCCACGAAGGAAGAAAATAACAGCCCAATACCTAAAAATATTTACATGTGTCATTTCGACAACGAGCAGGATGCGTTAATTCGCCTGTCAATTGAGTCGGTTAGTTTATTTAATTCTAAACTGTGTATTATATAGATTGAGACTTGTCAATTTGACATTATTATTATTATTTATTAGACAATCGGAATGATGATGAAATTAGCCCCAGGAAGTATGCCCTTCACCAATTTGGACGATCTCATACCTCTCTGTTATGGGATGGAAGGCGAGATCGACACGCGTTTAAAAGAGTTGGGCATGCATCTCAAAATCCGTCGCAAGTTGGACCCGGATGAGAAGGTGGTCTATCCCTTTCCTGGGGAGTACTTACTCCGAACGCCAGCAGCTGACACGCAACAGCCTGAGAAAGGGACGGCGTTTCTGTATTGCATAACATCTAGAGACATGTGGTATTTTGGGTGGTCTGATACCCCCGACTTCAAGAAACGACTGGACGGACTAAGGAGTGACGGTGTTACTGAGTACAAGCGGATCACGGAAGCTAAGGCGTACCCACCAGGAGTCAATGCCCCCACTCTAACGTGCTCACTCTTGGCTAAATGTGACACCAAGGATAAGGAGATGATTGAGGCGAAGATGATAACTGCCGGTTACATTGCCTACTTACTAGGACTCCGAAATCCACTCCGCCCTCCCAATCGTTCAGCTCACTGTTACTCGACGAATAAGTGCGTCAGTTTGGGCCTTGTTGGCCCTGGAGCATGGAACGAGATTTCTCAGTTTATTCAGCTATTTTGGAGGATCGAGCCGGTGTTTGGAAAATTTGAGAAGAAGCTTCGTGTCAAGAATCATGGGAAAATGGTAAACTTGATTTGTAGGTATCTCATTTTAATTAACTAAAGTATTTGCCTATTCTTTTTAGGAGGCTGAAGGACCGAGTGATGATGAGGACGAATCTTCCGAGGGCGAGGATTACAATCCAGAGAAGGATAAGCACAGTCTGAACGAGAGCAGGTATTGAAATGCTTTGGCATTATTGTTTTGTGACGTCAATGTATAATAACGTTACATTAATCTAACGTTATGTATAGTGATCTTTCTACTGATGCTGAATCGGAAGACAACGACTCCGATGACTTTAAGGATCCCAAGCCATCAACATCAAAGACATCCTTGTCTCGTCTCGGGAAGCGGGTCAAAGAGGAAAAAAAGGTAGTTCGTATTAAATCATCCCTGATACTTTTTAATTAATATAACTATTATTCGTCATAGGGAAAGAGCAAGAGTTCCAAAGTTTTCTCATCAGACTCTGATTCAAGTTCGAATTCTGACCAGGAGAAAACCAAGAGTAAAAAGAAAGCTGTTTCGTCTCCTCTGGCAAAAAAGTAGTGAAGGTAAGGAACTCCTCATTGACTCATTATTTAAACTCGTTTAAATTTATTTATTCCCCTTGTAGAATACAAAGAAGCGACCTTCCTCCAAGGGCTCCTCTGACGATGGGAAGAAGAAAAAGAACAAGGCAGATTCAGACGAATCATTCGTTGCGAGTGGGAGTGGTGGGAGCGGATCTAACAGCGATTGAACAACAGAACCTCTTGTCCAACCTCCACCTCCACCCATCTACTTTATTTATTTAAGAGTTATTATTTACTATTATTTGTCATTTCGATGTCTAAAGTTCGTCAGTTTCAATTAATTCAATTGTTGTTTACTTGTTGATACTAAGTGCTTACCATAAAAGCGTCTGAGTTATTTATTATTCGTCTATTATTTACTAAACTCTGCCTACCTCAACGAGTTGGCCGGCAAGGGTGGCGAATGCTTGTCGCCGCACCCACACATCGCTATAACCAAGAGTTTTTATGAGGTGTTCTAGAAAATCCTTTACAATGCTCGGGTCATTGGGGTGGTCCGCATACGAGTAATTGAGTCTCGTCACCAAATAGGGAATCTATTGACATTGACAAGACCACACTAGTATTGAAGGTACATACATATGGTGATTGAGTGAATTAAATGACTACATAGTGGAAAGGAAACGTACCACACTCAATGCCTTCTTTCTCACTTCAGCCACTCGATCCAAGAGCAGATCCATGGTTAGAGGACACAGTACTGAGGGAATTAAAGAAAAAAATATGTATATTGTGCCATCTACTTGCTCCTCATATTTGTAAAGGATATATACTGCATACTATATAATGTTAATAATAAGCACCTTTAAAAATCTCTTCAGCTTCATAGATTTCTGACAGATTTTTAATCTGGTCGGCCAACTCCAACCTAAACCGCCAATTTCGATTGTTTTCTGTTACTGCGAATCGATCCAGCGTTTCCAGACATTTTCTCTGAGCCTCGCCTCCCAAACCCTGCGGATACACGCAAAAGGAGAATTATTGTAACTATTTTCATATTTGCAAATTACAATTCGAGGAAACTTAGACCAACCTTTATGAAACTGGCCAAGTTTCGTAAAATACCAATCCTAACTTCATCTAGGTCTTTCGTCGTCGCATTGTAAAATGGAACCAAATCCCGTTCGGATAATTCAGGTCCAAGAATACCAGCAATCTCATGAAGGGATGATGCCAAGGTGTAACGAATCTTCCACTACATGAGGTTTAAAGAGGGATAACAATACTTAAAATGGCATACTCGAAAATCGCACAGCACATATTTCCACTTCTCATACAGTCGAATGGGCTATAAGGTAGCAACCCAAAAAGTCCTGTTTTGATGGAAAAATGCCAGCGTGCACGCTCGCTCACCTACTCGAGTCATGTACATGACTCCGTGCAAAAGTAGGTGAGCGAGCGTGCACGCTGGCATTTTTCCATCAAAACAGGACTTTTTAGGTTGCTACCTTATAGCCCATTCGACTGTACTACTCATTCATAAATAACGACTACATACCTGCACATTGCACGCCAAAGCTTCATAGCAGTCACGAAGGAGCGACCAATTTTGGGGACCCAGAGTTAAAACGACGGCAGGAAAATTGTACACACAAAACGAAAGTATTTCACTGTCCGTGTTTTGATGGTCTTTACTTTGTTGACAGAGGGCTGTGAAATTTTCCAACAAGATTTCTGGAACAATATCTTGAATCACTGGAATCGTTTTTGGCAAATCCGTCAACAGTCTGGGCCTGCAGTTTCTGTCTGGGCAATTAAATTACAAAAATTATCAGTAGTACATAATATAAATGAATGCAAAATAGTCTGTGGCGTGAGTATACTTACTTCCCCATAGCGAGTGTGCAGAGTACTCATCACCAAGAGAATAGGTTGCGTTGAGTTGCTCGTCATCATCATCATCGTCGAAGGCATCCCCCAACTTTAAAGACTCAAACCCATATATTGCCTGCTCTCGACTTGTGGCATTAAATAAATTCATATAGCTTCGATGAATCTGCATATCTAAAAACGAGGAGATTCGATGCATGTTAACTATGTGTAGCATAATAAATAAGAGGACTAAGCAGGTCATGTTATTAGCGGTGCATAAATATGTGCAAATACCTGGCATAATGTACGCTGTTTTATTATTGTCATCCTGAGCACCCATTCCAGACGTTGTGTTCATGGATATTACAATCTCACCAGACTTTGAAAGGCCGGACTCAAACAGGGCATCAACTTCCATTTGAGCATCAATCCTTTCAGTCCCAACTTTGAGCTTGCCCACTTCGACGTTCAAATCAATTTCTGGAATCGAATCACGCCAATACTGCCAAGTATCGTACTCTGTCGTCTCGTCAGGAGCTTCTAAAGTCTCTTGATTCTTGTTCACTTCCACTCGGAGAAGTGCATCCGAGTTCTCCACCTTTGAGTCCAGCTCGGGTGAAGGACCCACATAATATTGTAACATTGTTGGTGATGATTGATCATTAGTCCCGTTGTCGGAACTCGACTCATAAACCTTGGACTGATCCTGAGCAATGCTATTTTGATTGTCACTATTTTCTGATGATTTGTAGGTGTTGTAATTCATGACTTCATCTTCATCATCTTCCTGGGCATCTACCTCGTTGCCATTCTGCTCGTATGCAATTCTACGTTTCTCTTCAAAACTCAACGTGACTGAGTTTACAGCCGTAGAATAAAGTTTCGGTTCGCTAAAATTGCTATCCTCCACGTCATCAATGTCCATGGGCATGGGCATGACACTGAAATCGGTACTTTGACTCGTTTGAGCAGGCTCCGTGGTCAGTGATGGTCCTTTCGTGTTTTGATTTTGATCTACTGTTCCTTCTTCACAAATGCTTTCGTTGTTTGCTATCAATCGCGTAGAGTTGCTATTTGGGGCGACTAGGGCAGAGGTGGTAGGTGTCAAAGATGGCAGACGTCTTTCATACTCGGTAAGCGAATCCGTGCTGGTTTCCCGTTCATAATTGCCCGCTTTGTATCTGGACGAAAGAAGAGATATTAATTAACAAATTTTAATAGTACTTGAGGAATGCAGAAAACTTATTCTAAAATAAGTTGGACTTACGTGGATAGGAATGATTTTTCCGCTTCCGAACAATCGGTGGTGACTGAAGAAGTGCCAAGGTTGCTGACGAATGTGGTAATGAATGGTCCCAATGACTGACAAGCCGACACTCTCACCCAGCGAGAGGAGTCCTGAAGTAGTTCCACAAATGCCTTGGTTAATATCTCCTTCCTCACCATGGGTTTACAGCAACTGGAAAAGACTGTGATTGTTTCTGCGCACCCCTTTCGGACCCCCCAAACTTCATCCTGACACAAGGAGCGAAAATGGCTCACCTGGAGTATAGGAAAAAATGTCCTTCGTATTTAATATCTTTACATATACACGTCATCAATATGCTTATAAATATGTACATATTGCATGCACAAATTTTGCCACTTACGAGAACGTGTTCCGTTAGGTTTATACCGACGACGGTGGCCATTTCTCCAATACTGGAAGCACACACTTTCCTGACTTGGAATAACTTGTCGTGGCAAAGGTGGCAGAATCGGTCCAAATACCAATTTATGGTGATATCCTTTCCCACTAGCGGTGCTAACTTGCTCATGAACTGTGTGATACAGAAATACACAATCAATTTCATTTCACACATATAAAACCAGTCTCATCAGCGTAATCATCAATCATCACTTCATGCTCAATTATGACCATAATAATCTCAATTTGTATATACACAAAATATTGGATGCAATGCAAGCAGGTTTATGTTGAACATGAAGACTACTAAATATTAACAGTTAAGTGTTGAACGGTCACGGGTGGCACGAAGGAGGAGGTTCAGGTCGACTATTTGTTGAGCCTAGCTCATCAAAGCTGGCTGTGATATGATGACAAGATCCACATACCACACCCACTTTGCGAGCCATGTTCAAACAAACACATTCGTTCTTCATCCATCGCCGCTGCTGCTGCTGCTGGTTGGCATATTTCATATTTCATTCACCGGCAGGTGAAAACCATTTGCAATGGTGAAGCGTAGAGGGGATTAGACAATGATGCAGAAGCGACCAAACCTACCCCACTACTTCTACCACGACAAGAAACTGACGAAACCACTCCGTACATGAGTTCGAGGGGGACGTGAAAGGGAAAGGATCATCACAACTTGGTTCGTGGCAGAGACTCCAAACACGACGGTGTAAACAAGTGATTACGACGACCACTGTGCAAGGAGCGAGTGAGTGGCAAATTTCTAGCAATTAGCATGTCCTCCAATGCAAGGCAATGATGCAGATAGTCTGTATCTGCATAGATGCACACATATGGACAGTAGGAAGAAAGATGACGAGATGAGAGTGAACACTTCTATGAGCAGCATCTAAACATGCCACTTGGACCCGACGACGAGAAAGAGAGAGAGGTACGAGGAACTGACCAGATTAGTTTACCAGTTTCGACAACTTTTTGTGAGGGTGATCAGAAAAGGGAGCAAACTAAAGTTTTTTTATGTCGACAATCCCCAAAGTGGCGCATCTCCTTTCCCTACACTGCTGCTCTTGGCTGGTGGGTCTGGCTGGTGCAAATGGGCATTAATATTCTGATGGCGTGTGGAAGAGCCGAGCGAGGCAATATACTTACGACATCAGCGCTGATCCTAAATAATGCATCTTGCAGACCTTTCTAAAAGCTTCACTATGATGAATCCAGGGAGTCGTCTCGTCGGACTCTGCACAAGACAGCGAGCCCCCAACGAATCCCTCCCCATTCCTTCCTTCCTTCTTTCTTTCACTACTATAGTGGCTCAAGGGCGATGATATTCTTCTTCGTCTCCTCGCACGATCTGCCTCCTCCTCCCAACAGCCACCGCAAAACACGAGTGAAAGTACGCTATCTTGTTCCTCCCCAGTCTATCAATGTATGAATGTATGTATGTACCAAGCTCCAATCTCAACATGGGCACATCATCACACGCACAAAAACACAGGAGATCATTTCTTAATAAACCACAAACGACGAAAGAATTGGAAATGACTCCACGACAGGAGTCGCATCGTCGTCAATGTGTAATTCCAACATAACTCGTCTTTTTCATTCCGCGCATACCACAACGTCGTCGCGTGGACCTGTTCTTTCTGTTTTATGTGTCTCACCACCCTCTCAACATTTTTTCCTTGGGAATGTTGGGGTTTCCATAAATTTACGAAAGCCAGCTTTCACCAGCAGTGGCCATGGTGCAATCCTCCTCATATTTAAACTTATTTCCTTGATCTCCTAATGAAGGAGGAAGGAGGGATCGAAGGCGACGAGGAAGGAATGAGCGGCTATAACTTAGCTTTGGATTATTAGCTCCTCTCAACCTATTTTCAGGAATTGGCTAAAAAACAACATTCTCCCCGTCACGTCCAATTAGTTGGAATTTACTACACTATTCCCCAAAGAAATGGAAACGTTCTAAACCCGAAGGCAACTCAAAGTGCTCGTTCCCACAGCTCACCAGTCTTTAAATGAACCATCGTCCGTCTCATGGCTCCTTTAAAATGCAGCCTATTGATCACCATTAAAATGTACTATTAGCATAAACCCAAGTTTCTGTTTCTCACGTCAAACCACAATAACTGCTGCAACTCCCCCTCCTCCCATGTCATGAGCCAAGCGCAGATGAGAACAAGCCGAGCAAAATTACGTCGCTAAATAAATAACCCCTCGCTGCTCATTGTGGGCACAATTATCCAAACTTGAAGGGTCCATCTACATGTCGAAGAGGTTCTAATATATGAGACCGCTTGACAATGCTTCTATGCTCACTTCTACCACTGACTAACGGGCTAAAACCAGACACAGGGACACTATTCTTTTAAGAGATAGATACCCTCGTCACGGATAAATATCATCTATCGCAGCTCCACCACCAAGACGTTTACTCGCCTCATCTCTTCGCCGCTCGAAACACGACCCTTCGTGCTCATCATTCTCCTTTCTCATGTCTCATTCCTCTGGAATGGATTTTAAATGAAGGGAAGGGTCTGGAGAGATGCTGCTTTAGGAAGCAAACTTTCACCCCTTATTTTCCATGCAATGCCATTGCAGGGCAATTGGTAACGACTTCAGGAATTCGTAAAGGAGCACTGCTAATGATGTTTATCTTTCGGTTCGCACTGGGAAAATGGACAACGATGAGCGCCACAAGGGGTAAAATATATGTTGCCAGAAATGCAGCACGAGGCCAACGGGATTGGAGCAAATCTTTATAATCTGCTGCTCTTCTCGCACACTGCTAATCCCACCAAGTTAAGAGAATTCCCTAAGTTGTTGGAGATACACAAGTAAGGGAGACTGGGGAGATGATCTTCTTCGCCTTGGTTAGTACTAGCATCCTCTTCACTGCACTGCTCATATGTCGTCATCCACAGTACGAGACTGTGTAGGACAAATGCCAACCTTCCTTGCTCTTCCCTAATGTATGATGTCATCCCCATTCCCCACTCTCCTTCTGTTGAAACTATAAATATTCTCGTTTATTTTTCATCCACGCACCCAGGAGACCCGCTCAAGTCTACACGACACCAATCCATACACACACTCGAGAAACCATCCTCGGTCACGACGGAATGACATACAGCAATATTAGCCAAGAGTAGACTTGATTCATCGCTCATCAAAGCTGGCTGTGATATGAAATTACTCCACATAAGCACAACCACTTTGAGAGCGACGCATTCAAGTAGTTGTGGAGAATAGGCTTCTTTGGTCATCTTCAGGATATTCATTCGTTCGAGGTGGACCGACCATGGGCATATCATCTTGGTCTCCAACAAGTCCCGTTGCTTTAAAAAACTCCTAATTTGGCCTAATATGCAATGACAAGAGTCATCGCCATAAAATCCATGGAAGGAACTAAGGATGCTCACTCGTCATATACAATAACCAAGATTTAATCAACTATTGTCCACCCACCAACCTACATGTCTCCTGATCAGGAAACAAAATGGAAACCGACACTGGGCAATCCAACGCATGAATGAATGTTACGATGTCGCACGTATAGACTACATATTATACTCGACATGACTCCAGCGACATGAAATTTGAAGTCCCCAAGTTGGCGGTCCTCTTGATATATGACGACAGAGTCGGAACTCGTCAAATATGGCTGTGATATGAAGTGCATTTCCACACACCACACCCAATTTGACGCGATACGCCCCCATCTCCTCCTCCAAAACGATGATGAGGGACTCGTCGCGTGGCCACTTTTGGGATGACAATGAGGGACGAGCGAGTGCATCTGCCGCGAAGCTCATCAAAGGTGGCTGTGATATGAAGCAGAGAGAACATAGGTCACAGCCGCTTTGACGACTTTGCAACAGATCTCACGTCCTCCGAGGTGGGTGGAGCGGGCGGAGGTGTTCTTCAGCTGCTGGAAGGAGGCGAGGACGGATGCATCTGAACCGAGAGTAAAGCGTGAAAGACAAGGTAGTGAGATGATCACTTGAGGGCCACATCTCCACTACCCATGTCTTTCAGCCTTCCACCAGCAAAACGTCATCCGCTTTCTCCCAGGAGGAACCCCCGTCATGTTTCTTAATGTCGGAAATCCACAGATGAGAGCGGAGGTGAAAACGGCAGTTAGTGTAGTCGAGTAGTGAAGTCAATAAGTGTGGACATTATATGTTCTCATTAGTTCTCAAGAACAAGTATGCACAAATGCTACTCCTCTTCCCATCATGTGTTCTCACTTTGGGCTTTTATGGAGCAGGACGTCTCAATGCGAGGGAGCAATAAAAGCAGCACCCCTTCACTTGGAGCAGACAAAGGTGCTCTTGATGAATGAAAGCGTCTCCTTTGTGTCCATCACACACACAACTTTGTCAACCGAGAGGAACAGAACAGAGAGTCATGATTTTTCTTACGAGCCCCCTCACAATTTGATGCAAGGGTATTGCATTGCCCATTGTATTTCACAGCTTTCCACCCACCATCAAAAACGTTAAAACAAATGAAATGACTATTTGGACCAAGTTTCCCGTGAAAGTGGAAATGAGACATTATTATCTGGTGCGTGTGTTGTGTATGCATTTATGCATGCATTCCATGAATTTCTCCCACCTTGATTGAACCACACGGCGTGACATTCCTTCCTTAGCTCCACAATGCACAATGCAAAAACCCAACTGCAGTTTATCAACTGTATTTGTGTTTCCATTTTCCTAAACTAACAAGCAATCAGGGTGAGGGCATAATATGCAACTGTGACGCGTTCGAAATGGAGCAGTCCATAATATTGCAGGCAGATCGCAATAATAATATTATGCCATGAGTTGTCTCAACAGCCAAGGGAGCACACCATCATCATCAGCTTCGTTGTGTGCAGACATATAATGTCCATGACACACATATAGCCTTCTCACCATAGGCTATAAACTTGTTAAAGTTGCAAATATGTAAGTTGCGCAACCAATGATCGCTGTCTCTTGTCTGAGAGACTCAGACTAATTGGCCACGTTCCAAACGCCATGTTCTCTCAATCCAGTTGTTGATCTGCACACACACAGATTACATGAAGCTCTAGTACATAGGCACATATCCCATTGGTGGGTGGAATCATGGTGGTGCAACACAACAAACAACTACACAAGTATGAACATGCGTTCTCCTTTTGGCCGCCATACATGCATGCACGTATTTACGTTGTTTGGGATCCAATTAATTTGCAGACTTCAACAAGAAGAGGGATGAACAAACCGATAAAAGAGAAATTTCGCAAGTCGGGGTGCACGATTAGTATTTTTAAGCACTTTTAAATAACACTTGGGAAAGCACACTTTTCCAAATGTGCTGGGAGCTAATGATGATGCAGGGCACAATTTTACACGACGATGCGTATATATCTTCCTTCTTGATTTTTTAACTGACCTCCGTCGTCCACTTTCACTCTAAATAACGAGTCTTTGTGCATAACGAGTGGACGAAGCCAGGACCCTTTTAGATCAATGACGATGATGATGGGACGAAGAAAAGGAAACCCAACTCATCCATCTTGATTTTCGGGTAGGATTTCCTCCCCAGGACTCAAATCACCATTACATCAAGCATCTCACGTAACTAGTCATAATCCCCTCAATGTCACTCCAACCAACCAGCCAGCCCATTCTCTTCCCTTTTCACCAATATCCAGAAGAAAGAAGCTCCCACTTTATCGTCGATGCCTCTCAAGCTAAAAAATGAGCACACATTATGTAAATAGAGCTAGCAACAGCACGTTTTCTCCCTTGGAAGGCCTCTCTCGTTTCCCAATAAATTACGACACTCCGTGATTTGCCTCGTAAATTGGAATCCAGTTTAGCAGGCATTGTGCTATACTCTTCTATTACTCAACCCACTCAACAACCAACCAGCAGCCCTAACAAACAAATCCACTTTAACAGGAACCTTATTTCCTACTTTAGTATGATGATTTTTTAGCACATTGATTGTCGTGAATTGATCAAGCCTCCTATTTCCCTGATGATGGATTGTGAAGGGGATTTGGAATGATGATCAATCAGTTGTGCCCTTACCTGGGTTATCTCCGTCCGATAGTCCTCATGGGCGACGGGCATGGTGAACTCCATCACAATGGGCACCACATGCTCTTCCACTTGACTAGGAGCAATGATTCCTCGTTCCACCAGCAGCAAGAGACCAGCTTGAGACGTCTTCCTCACCTGGAACAAATGACCCTTGTAATTTCGTAGACACGACTGGGCCATGACCACGGCATCAACTTTCACTCATTCAGCATTGCTCACACAGTCACAAACTTTCCCCGTGCTTCCAAGCCGAATCACACATTTAATAGTGAATTATGGGGAAAACCTCTGAATTAAGAGTTATGCATGCATGATTACTCACACGAATGTCGGGATAAAATAGCAAGTCAGAGGGCGGGCTTTCCCCACAGCTCAACGAGACTATCAGGGAAGTGGCGATTTACTAGGGGAAGCTATGAATAGTACTAGTCTGAGATAGTAATCTGTGCAGGTGCGCAAACCTATGTGCCGTATGTGTGTATGAGTGAGGGTGAGTTGACTACACATGCAAATTTTATTAGGCACGGTGACTGAGTGGTAGTTTGTATCAGAAAATTTGGCTCTTTCATCCACATGTATAACTGTGTATATACTATTGTGGGTTCATACTTTCACCTCAAACTCGCCATTACTACCACTCACTCACAAGCTCGAATGAGCATTAAGCCGCATGACTTTCTCCAAAAAGAAGAAATTTCTCTCCTTGTTTGCTTGCTCCCATGTTGGTACTTTTGTGTGTGGCTACTTCTATGTGTGTGTGGCTGGTTATATAACATTCTGAACGTGTAATGCAACGACCGACAATATTTCACCACATGCAAACAACTTGCTCCTAAATTATTCCTCCCTCTGCTTTCATTCAGGAATTTATAACCAGAAATTCAACTGCTTTAAAGTAGACATTCACACAGTAAGGTTATGTGTCCGCGATAACAAGGCAACCCACACAGCACCGACGAAACTTTGTTATTGTGATTAGAGTATACACGAGTGTGTTGTGAATGGAAATAACAAGCGCACGTAAACTCGTGAGACACATTTGCATAAATACATACGTAGTGGTAAGATAAAGAGGCGGAATGAATTGTAATAATAATACGACTTGCATGCTTTCACTCGCTACATTGGAATGAATGAATGAATGAAAGAAAATGTGATAAAATCATACAGACCGAGTGCAAATAGTGAAATTGAGTCAGATTGAGAGTGGTCGTCTTACCTGAGTGAACTTGTCAGTGAGGAGTTTGACGACGTGTGGGAGGATGTGTTGAGGAAGGACGTGGTCCAGGTGAGGCCCTTCCTCGTGACAAAATAAGGCGATTTGGGGAAGTTGCTCCATCACAATGGCTCGAACAGAGTACTCTGCAACAACACACAAAGAGAGATCAACGTAAGGAACGAGTTGAAAGGAAAGGCTGGCTGAGGAGTGTGTGACGTTGGCATTGTTAAAGGGCTTAAGGTTGGATCGATCTCACCACAAAATCAATAGGCTCAAGATACCCTATGAACACACGTAGAATGAGGTGAATGAATGCTTTCACTTTCTTGTAAAATTCCCCTCCCACCTGACCAGCATTAATTCTCATCCACTTTGGTTGGAACGAAATAAATAACATTTATTCTCGTGTTAATATCTCGACTCCTCACCCTCACCACTCCCAATACTTTTTACTACGACTGACTGGACTGACAAAGTCCCCTCAACTACGTCCCTTGCATTGCATCATAGGTGGCCTCTCTGTGGTTTGACCATCTTCCAAATATTCGATAAAAACATGGAAAAATAGGTACGGGGTGCAAGTTCTGAGTCATAATAAATCAGCAGTTTGTGAAAAGAGGAGCCTCAACATTGGGAACGGTGCTGTCCACCATACTCGCTCGCTTGACAAGCGATCGAAGCAGCATTATTACCAACCAACCAACCATCATGAAGCGCATTGCTGTTGCAACGAGAATGCTTTGTGGTGGATCCAGTTTCAAATAATATTCTCTCTCTCTCCCGTAGCAGTAGTAGTAGTATTCATAGTAGCAGTGAGTAAAATAAAATAAGGGAGAGGAGAGAAGCTCGAGTCTGAGAGAGAGATCTTTTTTGAAAGAGGGGTTGTGCGCAACTGCAACCAACGCCGCATATCCGAACTTCGGATCGATACTTGCAACGCCTCGCCTCCACCAACACACGCTCTCTCTCTCTCTATTTCTCTCTCTTTTGGTGAGCCATCCGACCATATCCATCCGAAAACCAACCCTCGGTTCGGTTGGATCCCACAATTCCAATCACGTCTCCCCGCGCCATCACTGCGACCGACTCCTCGTTTAGCTCACTTGGAAGAATCCCTCTCCTTCTTCTTCTGTGATAATAATATTCCTTCGTCGTCGTCCAATTCTGCTGCCTCCTCGCTCGCTCTCTCCAACAACACTTTCTTCTTCGTCTTCGGCAGCAGCATCCTTCCGCCGCTACACAAAGTCATCATCAGACTTCCTTCCCTTCCTTCCTTCCTTCTCCTGCTACCACCACCTACTACTGATCCCACTACGACGGAATGTATATGGTCACAAACAACAACTTCTTCCATCCAGCACGCACGGAAATAATATAGTAAAATCCACACACAGCACACCGATTTTATGCCCCACTCCCTTCTTCCATTAAAACAGCTTCCTCGTACGTCAGGCCCCAAAGTGTTGTGTTTACACAAGGTGCAACTCTCGCACTATACCTGATGAAAGTTTTATCTCGGATATTTCAGTTCTGAAATTGAAATAATCCACTCACTGCTGAGACACTGGTATCATGGTCCAAATTTCAGACGAGTCGTAGTCTAGAGTAGTATGCAGTCTCTCCTGACCTGACAACCTCTAAGTCTGCCCTGGTGAGTACATAGTAATCAACCGACTCTTTGGATGGTCGAAATTGACACCACCACCCACACATCACTGCTGCCGGCAGTGTTTAAGCAAGACGCTGCAGGAGAAAGACACTGACACCACGACGGAAGGAAATGAATCCATACAAGTCAAGGTCGATAAAAAAGTACGACAACTCTGCTCACTCACTTTTTAGATTGGAGCCTGATAAGCTCATCCGCACCACACAGAGAGAGAACAAGTCGGAGTAAGTTGTGGCGGTGAAGTTGGTGAATTTGGTGATGGGTGCGAGATAGTGGAGATGACCAAGAGGCCACACAAAGGTACAAAGGCCAGTGAAGAGAGGGGGGGAGGAAGTCGGATAGTATGGCGAGTAGTGGTGTTGTTGTTACGGGAGAAGCGAGAATTCCCTGTGACACGGACCCACACGCCAAGAGTGGTGGCAGTGGCCCTATTGTGAGCCGAGTTGGAGGAGGTCGGAGATTATAAGGAAGGAAAAGGCAGAGAGAGTGAGAGAGTAAAATAGAGAGAGAGGGGAGAGAGAGAGATACGATACGAGCAACTCTCACTTTACTCTCTCCGTAAATTCGGGACTCCCGAATTCCGGCAAGCAGGAGCGGAATAGAAACCCGTAGTGAGTGCAGCGAGTGAGAGAGGACAACGTACCTAGGAGTAACTCCCCGTCTCATTCTTTTTACTACTACGATTCGGTCTTTCAAATCGGTTGTAGACCAGACTCCGCCCACCCCATCCATTCTCCGAAGCCCGGTTAATGGTCTCTCTCCGAAACTCCGAGCTGAGGGCACAGCAGTCACCGGCCGCGCGCTATGTTCCTCCGATCCCATTCTCACAAAGCCAATACTCACTCTCCACCACCACCACTTTTACTCCATTCTCTTCAACACTGCATTTCTCAGCAAAAAAGTTGAACCCTATTCATTTCTTCCATGACACAGCAGCTCAGCAGCCTTTTTCATACGTTTCCCTCACATAACAAACAAGCTCTACAAGATCGCCTCCACCTTCGCTCTCTGTCACCAAGTAGTTGGCTCTAAAATCGTAAATATAATAATAATGATAAGCCCGTGCTCGATCAAGATAACTTTTGCCAATGACCAGCACCGCCCGAGCTACCGCCGACCAAATCCATTCCAAGAAAACCGGAACAAAACAGAAAAGAGATTCCAGAAAATAAAGTCCATCATCCTCTTTTCTGGTGAATCATGTATGCATGTACGTCTCATAAAAAGCCCTGCATTTCTCTCTTTCGCTTTCGCAGTGAGCAAGCATTGGGTTTCTAATATGGAAGGGGGAAAGGAAGAAAATTCTACGAGTGAATTACCACGCGTACAACTCGTAAGTAGAGAATGGAGAGCCTAAGCCAAGGAAGGAGTAGGAAAAAAAACTATCGTTTCTCGTCAGTCTGTCACTTTTTGGAGTTCTCGTTCCTCCTTTCATTTCTGCCATTGAGAGAGCAAATCGATGGAGCCCCCTCCCATTTTTCCAACATTTCTCCCTCTCTTCCTCCACGGACGGACAGACGTACATATACATACGACGGGATCTGGAGACTTTCTCTTAATTCATCCTCCCTGTATTTCTCTCGCTGATGATATTACTTTCTTTTCTTGTCGCTCAATATTAACCACAACCACCACATACACACAATTCAATTAGCATTTTCCCTGCTTTCACTCTACCCCTGCTCTTCGTCAATGAGCACAATGCCGTGTGTTTGTCTTGTTCAATGTACGTTGTCCTGCTTTCTTTCACTTCTTAGCCCAGCCATGGCTTATAGAATCGTAATGTTCGTCTGTCCGAGACACATCAGCAAGTAGGTGAACCACTTCACCAATTTAGAACAACGTGGTCTTAAAGTGCGTAGATATCTCAAAATCTTACACCTTGTTAGAAATTGTGGATGAAGGTGCAACTCAAATGAGCCATTCGATGGAAGAATGAAAAATCAATTAGGAGAATCTTTTTACGAGATGACCCAACAGGTGACAGAGTGACCCACACTGGACTGAGAAAGTATTTGGCTCGGGCTATATAAAAGCTGCAGGTTTTTCTTCAGCAACTAATGTCTTGTCAATCTCGTTCCGCTTAGATCTGGGCTCTTAAAGTTGTGGTGGTGGGCAAAGTGAAAGCACTACCTCCGCAGGAACTGTCCGTCTCAATCCACTTTATAGCTTTCACTAATAGGCACACTCGCAATCCCATCCATCATGGATTTACTCGACAGACTCATCTCACGTTATCTCTGTCTCTTTCTCCAGACAAATTCCACACAGTAGTTCAGCGCATTAATAACGTGTTGTATTGAAATTAAATTAAGAAAACAGCTGCTCCCTCCCTAAATTAACGAGAATGAGCTTTCTTTCACATTATATTGACATGCACACACAATTGTCACGTTTACTGGATCCTCATCATTCATTGGGAGAATAGTTTTCTCGCAGCAGCAGTGTTGCACTCTGTGTTCGAACGTGTATCTATGAGTTATTATGTGAATTAGTTCGGTTCGATTTGATTTTGATAAACGATGTCATCTTTCAGCCAGCTGAAATAATTCCATATACGGAGGAGCAATATGTATAAAGTGTGGCCGTGGATCCCTTTCTTTCAGTTTTTGTGGTGGTCGAGTCGACCCAGTCATCTCATCGCACGTCATCGGAGATGTGCACATGTTCGTATGATGTATACGCTATTGCTCCGGTACATACATATTAGATGAAAATTCCCTTGCATCTCGCACTCACTCCCTCAACATCTGCTCAACAAAAGCTGAAGAATAAGAAGATCGCTTTTCATTTCCGGTCAGGTTGCTAGAGCTTCCTGTCGTGTGGCACGGCACCAATATTGCCATATTTTCTTCATTACTATCCTGCACATACCTCCTCCGCGTCAAGTTCATCAGCCTCCCCATTGTGCAAGCCTTAGCTATGTACATATGCCTTATGCTTCTTACCTTCGGCCACTACGGTGATAATCCACGCCACATCTTCAACTCAGCCACAATCCCGTGAATACCCAATCTACTTATCCAATTGCTTATCCAACCCAATCTCCCGTCTTATTTTTGATTTTACAATCATTGCAATGCCTCAGGTTTAGCTCGGCAGGCTTATATGATCTCGTACCAGGATTAACGAGTGGTCACATTACCTCTCTTGTGGTTGTGTTGTCATTCGATGCCCATAGTTTCAGCCTGCAACTTTCAGTCATTAGAACACGCCACGCCACAGCCAGCCTCATCTTAGGCGAGGAGAACGACAAGGGCAAGGGTGCTGTGGGTGAATCTCAACACTAACGTGAGTGAGTAATGAGTAATGAATCATATATTGCTTCCTCCTCATTCAATGTGCATATACATTGCTAACGAGGAACGACACTGATCCATCCACCGAATTTTGTAAATGACACCCCACACTGATTTCTCATCAAATACTCGCTTGCCAGTTGAAAGATGACAGTTTCTAGCAGCAATCGCCAGGCATATTTAGGATAGCAGCTCAGCAGGAAAGTTTGCTTTCCGCAGAGAATACATAAATACATACATAAATAGTACATACATAAATATGCAACCTTAGATCTGCAGAATACTGTATGCAACATAGTATCCACCAAGATCACGAGAGATTCTCATCATCTGCCTGCCACCTTTTCCTCCAGACTGTCAGTATGATCAAGAGATTATGAAAGAAAAGACATTAAAATTTGGCATGTTGCAGAGGGGACGAGGAGCTTAAGAGAGGTCCGGTGCTGACTTTCCCATAGGACCGTGAAAATGGGGAGCAGTCAGTTTTGTTTCTGAAACTCTCTGCCACAACCTAATAGCAACTAAACAGTCAAGCCAACTGCAACCAAAATGCTGGGAACACAGGAAATGGACACATCCATGTCAATCATCGCGAGTCTACGCCACAAGTCGACCAGACGTTGATGATGTTAATGATCATGACGCTGCTATGTAGTAAATTCAAAAAGTGGTGGATTCACCCACACTGCACTTCTATCCCCCCGTTCTTTCTCCCTACGTAAAAAATAAATGTCAGCAAGCTCCCTTTCTCGTAATTGTTTAATGATAAACTACTGCAAAGTTTTGATCCCAAAAATGTGTGATGTTGGCTACAAAAGTATTAAAGAAAAATGGAGCAACTGGCGACCACAGTGTGTGTGCAATTGTCCCCCCTCCTCCCCGGTTCTTCTACCAAGCTTACGTAACTATATTGTGTGTGTCATCTGCCAATCTTCCCGCTGCACAAGGTAATTTGTAACTAATTTACACTAGACAATTCTCCAACACGGTCATTACAGTCTGTCCCCTCTTATTTTCTAATTTAATTTTCCTTCCTCGTGCCAGGCAGCATCGCATAAACCAAAGAAACCGAGCTCGAGAAACCATCCACAACTGAAAAGCGTTTAATTATTAGAAAGAAATGCCACCATGTGTTTTGTAAACGTCCTTTAATTTCCTGTTGATGTTACAGGGTCATACTTGATCACGTTTCAATAATATGCAAATACACAATGCAAACTGGATACGTCAGTCGGCAGCAGAATTATCTCATCTGTTCCTTCCGTCAGTTTTGTCTGGGTGTATCAGATAATTGAAAGTTAGTCACGTGTCAACAAATTGGAGATATACACATGTCCACTTCGTCACTGCATGAAGACAGCAAGCAAAGCAAAACATAGTATGACAGCCCACGCGTCCAAAGACCAGACAAGACTACTGGTTGGTGGACTTTGTCGCCAAAAAAGAAGATTTTTGGACACCAGTCATCGTTTTCCAAATTGTGAAGAAAGAAGAGACAAAGCCGACCAACCAACGAACCGGTGGTAATGCAACAAATGACACTGATGGCACACGACACGAGAGCACAAACCAAATGCTTTTCCCCGAAAAAAACTCGTCATGGACGAGTAGTTGTTGAGATATTCCATCCATAAGCCATTTATTTGGTTGACTCATTGTGCTTGTAGAAGGGCCAAGCCAAATTTGTACAAGTCAAAACAACTGTAGCAGCTGCAAACTGTTTCAGTGGTCGAGTCCATTACTCTCATTGTTATGTTACTGGTCGAGACGACGTGACAATCAAGAAGAGTATGGCACACGAACAGAGACACGCTTACGGCCCGTCACCATTACTGTTTCCATTTCGTTCCATTTCATCCTACACTGTTTATGTATATTTACTAATGACACCACGTAGTAGTGTGGTCAGCAGGCACACGACGATACATGAATATATGGATGACACAAGTACGAGTGTATGTATTCGTGGGTTCGTTCGACATGCCACTTTAGATGGGGAGTGAGCGATACTAATGGATTCAGAAGATTCCTTACCTGTGTCAACTGCAAGTTTGTTAATGATGTCGATTAGGCATGATACATCCTCATCCGTGGTGGAGGTTTGACGAAAGGCTTCCAGCAAATCTTGTGCTGCTGATT